GTGGTGGTAGTTGTGGTGGTAGTTGTGGTGGTAGTTGTGGTGGTAGTTGTGGTGGTGGTAGTGCTAGAAGGCGTAGTAGTGGCGGTAGTAGTAGTTGTAGTGGTGGACGGCGTAGTGGAGGTTGATGTAGTTGTGGTGGTAGTTGTTGTAGTGGTAGAAGGCGTAGTGGTGGACGGCGTATGGAGGTTGTTGTAGTAGTAGAAGGCGTACATGGTGGTAGTTGTAGTTGTGGTAGTTGTATGATGGTAGTTGTATGGTGGACGGCGTATGGAGGTTGTTGTATTGTGGTAGTGCTAGAAGGCGTATAGTGGTGGTAGTTGTAGTGGTGGACGGCGTATGGAGGTGATGGTGGTGGTCGTGGTCGTGGTGGTGGCTGTTGTAGTGGTAGTCGTCGTAGTGGTAGAAGGCGTAGTACTAGTGGTGGTAGTTGTGGTTGTAGTGGAAGGCGTAGTGGTGGTGGAAGTTGTAGTGGTTGTAGTTGTGGTGGATGGCTTGGTAGTGGTAGTTGTAGTAGGACACGTCGTGGGACAAGGCAACGGCCTGTTTGCCCAGCGTACGAATCTATCACCACCAAAATCCCATAATTGTAGCCTGCCACTGTAGGCCATTCGTAATGCTCCGTCTCCTGCATTGACGAGCTGATTATTATCATGGCCAGCTCCACACCCTCCAGCAATGATGATAGGCTCATTGCAGGGAGAATTTACACAGTGCTTGTACACTGCATCGTCAGACTTCCTGTAATAGATGTAATCTTGCGTGACGTACGCCACATCGAAACCCAGCCGACCATTAACGGCGAAGTCGTAGACGAACTTTCGTTTGCTCTTACCAGGAGTCCACCTAACAATATGGCCTTCTTCAGGGGAACCTTGTAAAATATAGAGGTCACCACGGGCAAACCTGATTCCTTCGGGATGGTCGAGATGCGTTTCATCATCCGCAGCAACACCATCGGGATTACCAGCAACAAGCCTCTCAGGGTAACTTGAAGAAGTCACATCAAAGCGATAGACCTGATTCATCTTCCTGTCGGACACATAAAGATACTTAGCTGAGCTGTCGAAGATGAGAGCTGCCCAATCGTGGGTATTTTCGGCCGCTCGGATGACGACGAAATCACCCGCAAGAGGCGGTCGGCGATTGCCGGGGGTACCATACATACGAATCTCGCTATCAACGATTGCGAAAACATAAGTGTTTCCGCTGGTAGAGTATAGGTCAATCGATGTTGCCTCTCCAGTGAATATCTCGACCGCCAAACCTTTCTCATCGAATGGGGCCTTCCACACCTTATATTCCTTGGTAGATTTGTCTTGACCAGCGATATACCAATTATCAGAATTGTCGAACACGAAGTCGACCATAGATATCCCACGAGCTGGTAAGCCCAGGGCTTCCGTCGTGGTAATCTGATCCGCTTCGTGAGTATCACACCAGTTATTAGACGTGGTTGTAGTGGTGGTGGTTGTTTTAGTGCTGGTGGTTGTTGTAGTGGCGATTGTGGTGGTAGTTGTGGTGGTGGTAGTGGAAGGAGGCGTAGTAGTGGTGGTAGCTGTAGCGGTGGTGGTAGTTGTAGTTGTTGTAGTGATGGTGGTAGTTGTAGTGGTAGTGGTAGAAGGCGTAGTCGTGGTGGTTGCTGTTGTTGTTGTAGTGGTGGTGATGGTGGTTGTGGTGGTGGTGGTGGTTGTTGTAGTGGTAGTCGTCGTAGTGGTAGGAGGCGTACTAGTTGTAGTGGTGGTGGTAGTTGTAGTGGAAGGCGTAGTAGTGGTGGTAGTTGTAGTGGTGGAGGCGTAGTGGAGGTGATGGTGGTGGTCGTGGTCGTGGTGGTGGCTGTTGTAGTGGTAGTCGTCGTAGTGGTAGAAGGCGTAGTACTAGTGGTGGTAGTTGTGGTTGTAGTGGAAGGCGTAGTGGTGGTGGAAGTTGTAGTGGTTGTAGTTGTGGTGGATGGCTTGGTAGTGGTAGTTGTAGTAGGACACGTCGTGGGACAAGGCAACGGCCTGTTTGCCCAGCGTACGAATCTATCACCACCAAAATCCCATAATTGTAGCCTGCCACTGTAGGCCATTCGTAATGCTCCGTCTCCTGCATTGACGAGCTGATTATTATCATGGCCAGCTCCACACCCTCCAGCAATGATGATAGGCTCATTGCAGGGAGAATTTACACAGTGCTTGTACACTGCATCGTCAGACTTCCTGTAATAGATGTAATCTTGCGTGACGTACGCCACATCGAAACCCAGCCGACCATTAACGGCGAAGTCGTAGACGAACTTTCGCTTGCTCTTACCAGGAGTCCACCTAACAATATGGCCTTCTTCAGGGGAACCTTGTAAAATATAGAGGTCACCACGGGCAAACCTGACTCCTTCGGGATGGTCGAGATGCGTTTCATCATCCGCAGCAACACCATCGGGATTACCAGCAACAAGCCTCTCAGGGTAACTTGAAGAAGTCACATCAAAGCGATAGACCTGATTCATCTTCCTGTCGGACACATAGAGATATTTAGCTGAGCTGTCGAAGATGAGAGCTGCCCAATCGTGGGTATTTTCGGCCGCTCGGATGACGACGAAATCACCCACAAGAGGCGGTCGGCGATTGCCGGGGGTACCATACATACGAATCTCGCTATCAACGATTGCGAAAACATAAGTGTTTCCGCTGGTAGTGTATAGGTCAATCGATGTTGCCTCTCCAGTGAATATCTCGACCGCCAACCCTTTCTCATCGAATGGGGCCTTCCACACCTTATATTCCTTGGTAGATTTGTCTTGACCAGCGATATACCAATTATCAGAATTGTCGAACGCGAAGTCGACCATAGATATCCCACGAGCTGGTAAGCCCAGGGCTTCCGTCGTGGTAATCTGATCCGCTTCGTGAGTATCGCACCAGTCGTCAGTCGGTAGACCATTGACTCTCCCTACTAGGGACACGGCAATGCTCAGTGCCCAGTACAGCATATATTTCTGACCGTACGAGTGATCGCGACGTCGAATAGATAGCATGCAACAATGCGCTATGTCCCGAAAGTAGACAGACCGCACAAGTTTCGACACAGAGTTCGCATTGCGAGTAGTGCGAGTGGAGTTGAAGATGGAGAACTCGGCGATATCGTGGTTGAGAGAACTTCAGTGTTCCGTCTCTGCAGGGCTCACTCCGCAGGGCTCACTACAGGGGGAGATTTCGGCTGCGAGAGGATACCCCTCCCGTAGTCGGCGACTAGGTGCAGCGCAGCACGCATGATGCGTGACGCATCTCCCTTCACGGTCCGAGTCGAGCCGTCTGACGGTGTTGAGCCGATACATGCGGCTCTGAATAGACACGAGAACAGCGATGAGCATGAATTGCCAAACGAGCGAATGAGAATTTCATTCGAAGTGTTTACATGCTTACTTCGCAGTTTTATCTGCTCCGCCACTCTAAATAGCACGTTTTGGAAACGTGAAAAGAAGTCAGTCAAGCAGGCCATCATGTTTTGTGTCAGCCAACGGCCCTCAAGAAGCTCGCCTTCTAGATCCTAGAAACGTTAGGATCTCGCGGATTCTTCAGATAGGGCGGTCACCGGGATCATGTGGTACTACACTCAGGAGTGTAATACGCATTATTGCTCCTCCTGCGTTGTCTCTGGGGGCAGCGTCTCAGATTTTGTTCAATTCCTTGAATTTTGGTACTCAGGGTCCATGTCACGGACGTCACCTCAGGCCAAACTCATAGGTGAGACATTTCCTGGAAGTTTGAAAAACGGCTGTGAACACATCGAAAGCGAATTTATATTATTAAGGGAGAGCATACGTCGTGCGTTGATATATATTCTACGCTTCGGTGATGATGCATCTTCCTCCAAGCTTTTACGCCATGAAGATCATCGTGAAATTTACGGGCATGTACACCTTTGGTTCCCCGCTGCAATTCATCTTATTCCAACGAGCTTTCTTCTAATCCTAACGATGTACGAGCTCTGGAAGGTAAATGTTTTGGTGATTTTCCCGATTAAGAATGCCACAGTAGTAGTTTGGGTGCACCCACTACCGGTTAGTGGCTACCTATTGAAACCTGACCTTCTTACATCATGTGATTCGTTGGTGATCATACTTTCTCCGATGCAGAATCGGTCGTAAATTCATATAGTTCATGATAGTGCATACAACGCAAACTCAACTGAGGAAAATACCCCGAAGGTACATGATAGTTTCCGGAAGAAAATTCATTTCAATCATAAAACGCATATGCACCCTCTGTCGAGAAGTCAACGGAAGCGATGCCTCTGATGAATATTATGATGGCACCTCCTCCGTGCTGCTGAATATCTCCTTTCTGCCTACGACTCACCACTCTCCGACCTCAACAGCGTCCTTGCTATCAGGCAGTCTATATCATCCATCATATAGCAGAGCTACTCCCACTTTCCACACATCACATTTTCTAGAATGTATCGACTCATGTTGTGGTTGCAGGTGATTAAACTCGCCCATGTCCACTACGGGAGGCATTGCCAGGCAGCATGCCGGGCCAGGTGAAGTGTAACCGAACGCCGTACTTCCGAAGCACTTGAGACACCCCCAGAGCAAGCACGCTCCTGTTGGCTCTGATTAAAGTCGCCAGCCCTGATAACACTGTCGAGCGTCGTCAGAAAACATCTCTCACCCAGAACAGGGTCGCATCCTAATGGAGTCGGAACAGGGTCAGGTATTACCCAGGGGAATATATTCTCAAACTTCGAGAACCTCCTTGAGCTGCTTGAGGAACACAGTGCCAGGCGCCAAGCAATATTCAACGCTCATCACAAAAAGCCTGGATCAGTCGAGTATGATCAGCAAGCTGGGAGATACTTCGCAACGAAAGACTTACTCGGGGCTTTCTATTGCCGATTGAAAAGTGGGCATTGCTTCTCATGATACCACTCAAAGTTAAACGATTCACCGAGTAGTGACCCAGTCAAGGTCAGGATGTGGCCTCATGGAGCCAGCTGGACAAACTGCGAAGTGTTGGCCCAAGGTCAGAGGCTTGCCCGTCAGCGCCATTGTCGCGAACGAAGCCCAGTGCTCGATAGCCGTTTTACCCTGAGGTATTATCTGAGGCGAGCCTTCCACATGCAGCGTAGCGGAAACACCTATATTCACCCAAGAGAGCATCGGGAAGATGTGGAAGCGGTCCTCATAAACCTCGAGTGTCACTGCGTCATCGACCCGTTTGACGAAGTCTAATATCTCGTCGAGGAAACCTTCCGAGCCACCGGCCTTGAATGGAGCATGACAGTATCAGCATATTCATCACAAGCAGCAGCCTCACCTGTACGAGAATTGGGATTCCCGCAAAAGTGGCGCTGTTGGCGTCGTCGAACGAGAACGTCGCACTCTGAGAGATATTCAGCACCCGTGATGACTGCCAAATTACAACGACTTTAGCCCACCCTCTCCTGTTGCCCCTGCTCCACCCCCGCTGGAGCACTGATTCGGTCCGATTCAAATGATGATGATGATGCCTCTTTGGAGGATTCGCCATTGAACGGCCGATGGCCTATGCCACACCGCTCGCCGGGACGCGATGGACGTCCGTACAATGCGCAACTGGCTGAATACCATAACAAACAATTTGAGAGGAAATCTCGGTTGAAGTTGTACGCCTCTCGTGCAAGGCTGCGAGAGAAACTTAACATGGGTGAAACGGCGTGAGCACACCCAGGGCGGGCCAACGAGGCACACCCGAAGGCTCCCTCGTCGAGGCATTTGAGTAGACTGAGCACCAACGCCCCACCAGCCGAGTCACCGCTGATCACGACGTCCCTAGCCTCCACGAGAAATCTATCCTGCGACAGTAAGAACCTGTAGCCTTCAACCGCCTCCTCGAGCTGAGCGGGTAGGACGGCCTTCGGTGCCAGCGTGTAGTCCAAAATGAACGCGACCACTTTTACTCTAACCCCACCAGCAGAAAACAGATCAGCTTGTAGCTTGGCGATCATACGCGTCGCGAGTTCTAGATGGCTCGTGATGCCGTCGAAGAAGCAATAGCCACCACCGTGCAGATAGTATAGAATCACGAACCTCTCAGCGTCAACACTATCAGCATGCCAAACCTATGCAGCAAAACTTATACCGGGGATTAGTATAACCATTGTATACCCAAAGACCTCGAGGAAAACCCGTGCCACTAACGAGCTCCGTTCTCATAGTCGGGTGCAATATCCGACTCAATGGTGGGCCATAAACCTGCGGTACTTTCGGATAAGCTCAGGCTGAGTGCGCTCTACTTACCTTGTAAGCCGCCTCCACGACATGGACTAGCTCCACTGCCAGTAAGGAGTCCTCGCTATGCTCAATTTCCATCTGCTATCGATACAATACATACCATGACGCGACCTAGCAGCATACCTCCTTCGGAGCCTTGAGTATTTTCAACAAGAACAGCTCTAGGCTGGATCCCTCCCGTCGTAAGCAGCCCAGAGTAACCTGCTAGTCTGCTATCAAGTTGCACCGACGCGGACTGACTCGACTTACTTCTCGGAGTACTCGAAGTATATGCAGACACGTGTAGACTCTAGTTCTCCAACTGAGGCATAGCAGCGACCTAATAGGGATCAAACAAACTCCACCACAAGACCAGCTAAAGTGTTGAAGAGGTCACATGAACAGCTCAGTCCCTTCTGGCGTCAAATAGGGTATAGTATGATATACAGCATCGAAGACTGCCGCTAGAACATTCACGACGGGGAGGTGAACGAACATCCGAACGGCAGTAACTAAGGAAATACGCGTGAGAAGAGCCATTCCTCAAGAATACTGTTAACCATTAGGGAACTCAAGGCAACGCTAAATGGAATCTAGCGATTCTATCTACAATCATACCCATAAAATCATCAACTAGTTTCGAGCTAAGCTAAGATTCCATAGTTGTGCACTCTGCACAACTACAATGTACTTCTTGGTGAGAAAAACCAATATATTCAGCAACAACGACCAATTCCTCTCGGACCGTCATGGGACTCTAGCAAGGTCAGATAGACTCTTCCATATAATATTTACAACTCAATGCAGAAGTTCAAGCAAGTCAGTGGTCACGGGATAGTGAATGAATGGCAGTTACAACATCGTCCCCATAGACGTCGTCGATAGTTCATCAGTAACGAGTCATCACACTATCCAAGCAATAACTGCAGTCTTCGCACTCACCTTGCAATAATTCAATGGCCCTGTTCTATCTTCGAAGGTAGAGTGAGTAGGTCCTTTCCACCAACGTATCTCAGCTTTGGGGGCGAAATCAGTATATGCAATCCCCCAGCGAAATTCATGGGGCTAACATGTGTCACAACACCGAACCGCCAATAGACTCTAATTCAATGAGTAAGGTTCTCATGAAGCAATTGACGGCACCTCTCTCGGCTAGTACTAAGTAAAGCCCGATGATGATCGTAATGGTCGAAGCGATCTTGTAGTCTTCGAGCGCATCGTCAGGCCGAAATACTCGAGGTAAAAGACGGTGAATGCAGCAGAACCGAAGATGTTGAGGAAAGTAGCCAGTCATGAGGAAATTGGCTTGCAGCAGATCACATCTCTCCGCAGCGTTGATTGGCAGATCAGGCTGAGGCTTGTAGCTGCGAGCACTGGACGAGTCTTAACTTTGAACCCCCAACTCACAACATCTAGATCAGACCGAATGATGTTCATAACACAAATACCAATTTGAATGAAGAATCGAATCAATGAGAGTCTACTTAACTTTGATCATAAAATCGGCAAATCTCGCCTATTCGTGAGAATAAGACATGGGGAAATATGATAATCGAGACTGATGGAACGATCTACGTCCAAGGTATCATCACATCACAATCAGTCGCAGTGACATAGGAGGTTATGGCCCCAAACATTGGGAGATGCCCAATATTTGCAGTAACTCCCCAAGTCTTTAGAGTTACAGAAAGCATCGCATCACAGGCCCGGTGGATTCGAGGTAGTGATAACGGTGGTGGGAGATACCGCTGACGGCGGTGGATGGGCTGTAGTTTTACCGCATGAACAGGGAATATCAGTTCCGAAGCAAACACTCGGAGTCTGCCAGTACTTGCAATAGCTTCCCTTCTTCATTTTGGCACAATAGGCATCGCAATTAGGACTCACAGTGGTCGTCGTGGCAGCAGTGGTACACGGCGTACTAGTAGTAGCTGTGGTACACGGCGTTGTAGTGACGCTGGACGGCGTAGTGATGGTAGCTGTAGTAGTGGTAGCTGTAGGAGCGGTAGCTGTGGTACACGGCGTTGTAGTGGTGGTGACAGTTTCAGTGGTGGTAGTTGTTGTTGTGGTTGTTGTAGTGGTGGTAGTGATTCACTACTAGTGAAAGGCGCCATATTGATGGTTGTTGTAGTTGTAGTGCAGTGGTAGAAGGCGTACTAGTGGTTGTAGGTGTGGTGGATGGCTTGGTAGTTGTAGTTGTAGTGGAAGGCGTAGTGGTGGTGGTAGTTGTAGTGGAAGGCGTAGTGGTGGTGGTAGTTGTAGTGGAAGGCGTAGTGGTGGTGGTAGATGTAGTGGTAGAGGTGGTTGATGGCGTAGTGGTGGTAGTTGTGGTGGTGGTAGTTGTAGTAGGACACGTCGTGGGACAAGGCAACGGCCTGTTTGCCCAGCGTACGAATCTATCACCACCAAAATCCCATAATTGTAGCCTGCCACTGTAGGCCATTCGTAATGCTCCGTCTCCTGCATCGACGAGCTGATTATTATCATGGCCAGCTCCACACCCTCCAGCAATGATGATAGGCTCATTGCAGGGAGAATTTACACAGTGCTTGTACACTGCATCGTCGGACTTCCTGTAATAGATGTAATCTTGCGTGACGTACGCCACATCGAAACCCAGCCGACCATTAACGGCGAAGTCGTAGACGGACTTTCGTTTGCTCTTACCAGGAGTCCACCTAACAATATGGCCTTCTTCAGGGGAACCTTGTAAAGTATAGAGGTCACCACGGGCAAACCTGATTCCTTCGGGATGGTCGAGATGCGTTTCATCATCCGCAGCAACACCATCGGGATTACCAGCAACAAGCCTCTCAGGGTAACTTGAAGAAGTCACATCAAAGCGATAGACCTGATTCATCTTCCTGTCGGACACATAAAGATATTTAGCTGAGCTGTCGAAGATAAGAGCTGCCCAATCGTGGGTATTTTCGGCCGCTCGGATGACGACAAAATCACCCGCAAGAGGCGGTCGGCGATTGCCGGGGGTACCATACATACGAATCTCGCTATCAACGATTGCGAAAACATAAGTGTTTCCGCTGGTAGAGTATAGGTCAATCGATGTTGCCTCTCCAGTGAATATCTCGACCGCCAACCCTTTCTCATCGAATGGGGCCTTCCACACCTTATATTCCTTGGTAGATTTGTCTTGACCAGCGATATACCAATTATCAGAATTGTCGAACACGAAGTCGACCATCGATATCCCACGAGCTGGTAAGCCCAGGGCTTTCGTCGTGGTAATCTGATCCGCTTCGTGAGTATCACACCAGTATGACCATTGTATACCCAAAAACCCCAAGGAAAACCGGTGACACTAACGAGCTCCGTTCTCATAGTCGGGTGCAATATCCGACTCAATGGTGGGCCATAAACCTGCGGTACTTTCGGATAAGCTCAGGCTGAGTGCGCTCTACTTACCTTGTAAGCCGCCTCCACGACATGGACTAGCTCCACTGCCAGTAAGGAGTCCTCGCTATGCTCAATTTCCATCTGCTATCGATACAATGCGTACCATGACGCGACCTAGCAGCATACCTCCTTCGGAGCCTTGAGTATTTTCAACAAGAACAGCTCTAGGCTGGATCCCTCCCGTCGTAAGCAGCCCAGAGTAACCTGCTAGTCTGCTATCAAGTTGCACCGACGCGGACTGACTCGACTTACTTCTCGGAGTACTCGAAGTATATGCAGACACGTGTAGACTCTATTTCTCCAACTGAGGCATAGCAGCGACCTAATAGGGATCAAACAAACTCCACCACAAGACCAGCTAAAGTGTTGAAGAGGTCACATGCACAGCTCAGTCCCTTCTGGCGTCAAGTAGGGTATAGTATGATATACAGCATCGAAGACTGCCGCTAGAACATTCACGACGGGGAGGTGAACGAACATCCGAACGGCAGTAACTCCTGAAATAAGTGAGAAAATCCTTTCTTAAGGATACCGTGCATCTCCCCAGTCAGCAAAACCATAACAGCCAGCACCAACAACGACAACTCGATACAGAAGTTAGTGATCACAAGACAATAATGAATGTCAGTTACAACATCACCTTCATGAACATCGTCCACAGCTCATCAGCGACGAATCATCAAGCTGCCCAAGCGATAACCGCGGTTTTCGGGCTCAATTCTGGCTGCGAAGATTTGGTGGGCATTTCCCATCGGCGGCTTCTCGCTTTAGAGACCAAATCATCCCATGAAGCCCCAAGCGAGTTCCTTGTAGGTTAGTAGCTACCTTTTTGAGCGCATCGTCAGGCCAAAGTTCTCCAGGTTTAAGACGGTGAATGCGGAAAGGAGGGAAGTATGCGGCTGGGAGATCTAAGGAGAGTCATACGCTAGTACGATGATGATAATGTTCAAGCTATTCACAACAAGCCAGCCATGAGGTAATTGGTTTGAAGCAGATTACATCTATGCATAACGTTTATCGGCAGATCATTCTGAGGCTTATGATGGAGTAGTAAAAGATCCTCGGAGTAGCTCCAGTGAGTTCAATCGGACTTAATCAATCCCGCCTGCATTGGCGGTCTGGAACCGTTGTACCAGTGTCCTGTCACCATCTTTCTAGATGCGATGAGAAACGAATCGACGGCGAGATCATCACGTGTAAGATACTGAAAACCCTAAGGGTTTGAGGCAAAGCCCAGAGCGTCCAGTATTGAGCTCAATTCTCATGCAGTGATCAGGACAAAAAATGAGACTCCTAGTATGATTTGGATGCAACATGTATTCGACTTAACTCGTAATAACGGTGAATGTGTCAGCGCCAGGGGAGCTGGCCTGAAACATGCAGAGTACAAAATTCAAGACTCGCATTTTGAGATGTGAATAAGAATCCGGATACGAGCAGCTGAGAGTACTCAACACTGGGCAGAATTGCTGTCGCGCTAAAACGATACGAATATGATAGCCGACCTTAACAATGGGGGCCACACCGGCGTTCTCCTGAGTGCAGTCGGGAGTGCTGCTATGCTTCCGCAAATGATACTGGCAGAGGTTCTCGCAAATCTCCGGGCTATTAACCAATTTGTGGCAGCCGTGAGGTACGCTGACTACGGACTAAGACGGCAAGGTTATCTCCAACACAGATTACCACACACATGTAGCCTATCGCAATCTTACTTTGAAAGACGTTCTCATTTGACCATACTCCTCGTCATCATCATCACTCGATGAGCTATCAGATGACGCAGAAGGTTGAACTCCAAGGGGAGTCATTACACCGGAGACCATCATTTCACCTCCTGGAACACTACGCCTCATCCCCATGGCCTAGCTCATGACCTACCTGGACTGGTGGCGCCATTCCAGGCAGATATTCTTCGCTTCTGCATCGCTCCGTCTTTTTCCACCACCGATACCGTCGAGGAAACCATTGGACTCTCCATAGGACATGTCGTGGCGCCCTTCATTGATAGACATATTCGCTTTGCCAGAAATTTGGACATGCGGTTAACGGCGACCATGCCCGACGGCAGCAGCTGAAGAAGCTTCACCAATCTCGAGCGCGGAGACCCCATCTCTCACCCATGCAAAAAGCGGGAAGATATGGAACATGTCGGTATAAACCTCGATGGACAATTTCGACAGACCATACACTTTCGCCCTTCGCGCCAATGCAAGGGTGTCCACAAGCAGACCCTCGCTGTCCCCACTCTGACAGGGGAAGTGCAACACAGATCTGATACTTCACAAGGCTCTACCTGAACGATAATAGGGATGTCTCTAAGTGGAGTTAGATCAGCATGCAGCGGCGACGCCAGTGGATTCTGAAATCAGATACTCCGACAACAAACACTGCGAAAATTCACCATACCATTGTGACATCGGGTGTCAAGAATCTTGCGCGCCGCCAAGATTCTGGATCGCTTTCAGCAGGTGGGCATTCAGCATCCCCATTCTCGGTGTCCCCGAATAAATAGAGATCAGCACACATCCAGATGCAGGCATCAGTCAAATAGCATATTCGACTCTGATACGCCTACATACAAAAAGACACGATGAGACGAGGCAAGCCTCAAGGATTTCCCACCTTATTATCGATCGCCCTCCTCAGGTCCAAGAATGGACTGCAAACGCCCATCGCGCCGGGTAACGGCATGGGCTTTCCCTCAGGAGTGAAATGCCCCTTCGCCAGTGCGAGTACCATCGCAATAGACAGGCCACCTCCAGCCGAGTCACCACACACCACAATGTCTCTACTAGATGACACAGGATAGCGACTGCGGCCACTTAGTAAATACGCATAGCTCTTAACAGCATCCTCAACAGCTGTTGGGAAGACGTACTGAGGGGCCTTCCTATAGTCAATGATGAAGCCGATGACACGTGGGGCCACGTTTTGACCTAGTATGTCGTCGAACTCCTGCTGGGTTTTCATCACCAACCGAGCGCAGTACTCAAGATGAGAGTGCACTCCATCGAGGAAGATATACCCACCGCCATGAAGGAAATACAAGACAACGATGGATTGCGAAGCTCGCGGACCTCCCATAGACCATCGCTCTACTGGTCCTGTATGAACCCATGCAGCTGGTACAGACCCAACCTTGTCCTCCTCGGTTCGAATCCCGGGTAGAGCAATTCTCGCGTATAATGGGAAGAAGAATGACAACCATGTATCGTCGACTTTGGACACTGTAGCGTAGATGAGGCTACTCTCCGATTCCAGAAGCTCATGTGGTCTCATCATCTCGAGCACTAGCTCAACCGTCAGTGGCAATTTAGAGGATTTCCGTCCTCGCACAAGTACCGCACCAACGATAACTCGTAGGATCCTCGCAACGTAGTGGCTAAGGAGGCGAATCCTTGCTGACCAGGGCAACTTCATATCTCGCAAGGTGAGCCTGAGGATACGAAAACCGTTGAGCGAGAGGGTAGTGGCAAATCTACCTCAGGGCATTCACTGATCTGTACACAACGAGGCATGCAACCTTAATATGGCTCTTCACCGCATATAGCAGCAACAGACGAAGGAGGATAATCTCCTTAGTGCGACCAATGATGACTGATCTTATTATCGTCTTGAGAAGCCCTCTCAAAGCGCCCGTCTGTTGCACTTCCGACGACATTGTTATCACACGGAGAAAACTGCCTCCAGATATGTGGATCCCCACGAACGCAACTATGACGCACATCAAAGATCACCCAGACTTATGGCCCTTAACACCAAGATTGTGGACCACGGACGGTTCGTATTCCTCCATCTTCCTCGCGTCCCCGGCCTCGTATTCTAACAGAGCAACTGTAAGTTTTCTTTGTACCTCAGCGATGATAGGAGCCGTCGTACGGCCGACCGCCGGTCCCAGCACAAGGTTTCTCGATCTACGCCAGTGAGAAGCGAATAGACATTGCAAGGGTGTAGCCAAGAAGGTCTGCTCTAGAGTGGAGACTATAATGACGAGACTAGTACTGAACTAAAGACACCAAATGGTGGTGACCATGACACAAGTCTGCAGTATTGCTCATCTCTGGATACCTCGCTTACTAATGGTATCGTCAAAACCCCACACCAAGCAATGTTCTTCTAAAAACAAACGTCGTGTATGCATCCAAGAGCTTCCCAGCTTGTCTCACCCATATCTTTAAATCGCTGCATTCCACAGTGGACATAGGTTATCGGCCGAAGCACTTTGATGTACTCCAACGTCTCAAGACTCGAAAGGCCCATACGACGCAGTAGACCATAAACGCACATGCCAGTCCGATGTACTCCCGCTGCGCTGAATCAACATGACTACTCCTCACCGCGATTCGGTTTAGGTCCAAAGTCACCAGTGGATAAGGATATTCTTCCCAGTGCGCAGCAGCTCTATGAGGGTATCGAAGAGCGCCACCAGACGTTCGTGACCAGTGGCATTCCCCGAGTGGCGGTAGTAGCAGGACCAAAAGTCAATTTGTATCCACTGCATCCCGAGGGCCGAACAGCTCCTGAATCAAAGCTATAATACATAGTGCCTACAGCGAATGTGCGTGCGTGAATGATCTATTTATCAAATGTACGCAAACACAATCCTGCTGCGCTGCTGTGCCCTACGGACATCTGCAATAGCGAAGATCCTCACTTGGGTATCATCTCTAGCTGACGCTGCTCGTTCGCACTTTGCAGGGTCAAAACGACATCGCAGGCCTCGACCTCTCGAGCATACACCAGCTGCTGCTTCGAAGGAAAGTGCCACAGGCAAAGTCGCCCTGCCACATCCAGTGTTGGAGGAATATATGTTCGCCTTCCTCAGCTGAGCTCAGGAGTTTCCTCACTAATTAGAGGAGTCCACATAGGAATTCGGGTAGAAGTGTACAGAAACCAATGAGAATTTCCCAAAGTTTCTCAGAATTTCCATTTTCTCAACAACATGTGTGGTTGCCCATGTGCATATTTTCCCACACTGACCACACCAGTACCAAGCAACGAAGGCGTCACACCCGAGCTCACGAAAACAGCCGGTATCGGAAACACCATAGTAGGCGTATCAGAGGAGTGGCGAGGGTGCTTAAACTCGGGTATAGTAACCGACCAGGCAATCCCTTAGGTGCTGCCACGAAGCGGGGGTTCTTCTCTGCGAGGAAAGCTGCTCGATCGTTACCAGCAGTAGGCGACAGCGCCATTGCCTGGATAAAAGTACTACGAAGAGCTCTAGATAGATGTCGCTGAATTTATATATGCCCATAGGTTCTCTCGAAAAAAACAGACCCACCATCACTAGTCTGTGCCAGACACCACCGCCCATTGACCCAAACTAACTCGAAAATTCCTCTAAACTGACCTCGCCGGCTCTACTCTCACCAGCTGCATACGAACTACCACAGTCGTCGTGTTCGAGCGTAGGATTGCGGAGATAGCCGCTTCGTCCGATGCCAAGACTTTCTCTAGCACTCGAACCGGGCCAGGAAACGCATTGCTCGATTGCCATAAAGAATCTGGAGAGCTCGAGCAGTAGCGTCATCTATATGTATCCGCACGACACGGGTTTATCTGATCCCTCTTTCGTCTTCATTCCCCGAATATGTCGAGTTCTTCAAGCTACACTCAAGGGCAAGAAATGCCACAGAACTACCACAGTCGTCGTGTTCGAGCGTAGGATTGCGGAGATAGCCGCTTCGTCCGATGCCAAGACTTTCTCTAGCAATCGGACCGGGTCCGGAAACGCACAACGATTTCCATAAAGAATCTGGAGAGCTCGAACAGTAGCGTCATCCGCAAGCGAAGCAAGACACGGCACGGGTATCATATAAGCGTCACCCCTCGCACCATATGATAACACAAACGTTCCCCTCGCTCGGTGGCCGAAGAGCTGTCCTCATCGGTCCAATCGAGGACCAAGGCACTCACGCCTCAACATCCCACTGCGTCCGAATCGCTTATTAAGAGAAATAGAAACCAAGGCACTGCGAAAATCTATCCTCGAGAGGAGGGTGACACCACTGTAACACGACAACAAGCGCGTGGAACAAGGCCTTGTCGAATTCATGAGGACATCACACAGTCACCAACACAATAATACAAATGGTAATATCAGCAGATCAAACAGGACTAGGTCTCCCCTGCAATAGCGAGAAGGAGAGGTTCGATGCCGGTCGAGGAGTGGCTGATAGCCTCATCGGCGAGTAGAAAGTAATGCTTTCCTCCACTCTGGTATACCGAGACGAAATCACCAAAGGACGATGAGTGGCGAGAGTGGTATCGATCGTACACAATGTAGTCCCAATGGGAGTACCCGTCCCAGCCGTCCCAGCTCGTCGCATGCCCACACACCGGCGAAGGCCCTCTTCCCCACTTCTAGTATACGCTGTTCCGCGGCTAATAGCCGGTCCCATGTCAGCGTCGTCACGGGGAACTGCAGGAGCATCGGTCTCTGTGGCTTCGGCCCCTCTACCATGGCCATCCCGCTCAGGGTTAGTTGCTAACCCTCGGGCTTTTTTCTGTCGGAACCGGTGGGAGGACATCTTGAGGCGTCGAGAGCGTGATGCGCCCTCAAGAGTAGACTGTGACCAGCGGCTTAACGCTCCCACCTGCTGCAAGTCCTCAGGCTCCTGGTCTGGGTCGACCTCAATTGTTCTATGCATATCCTGCGAAGGGAGGGCCTCTGCGGAGACGCTAGTTGAATCCCCATTTCCGTCTCTACACCATTCAGCAGTACCGTCAAGGGAGTGATTGCATAACCCAGAGGGACTACCGACCACAGTTGACACCAGCAGACCTTTCGTTAAGACTTGCCATCGATCAGGCACGGTTTCTTCCACCAGACGCGATTGTGGACTATCAGCGTAATTCTCGGGCACAGTCTCTTCGACATCCGCGGCCCCATCGTGACTGCATTGTGAGCTACCAACTTCCTCGGGCACGGTTTCTTCAACGTCCACGGCCCCATCGTGACTGCATTGTGAGCTACCACCTTCCTTGGGCACGGTTTCTTCAACGTCCACGGCCCCATCGTGACTGCATTGTGAGCTACCACCTTCCTTGGGCACGGTTTCTTCAACGTCCACGGCCCCATCGTGACTGCATTGTGAGCTACCACCTTCCTTGGGCACGGTTTCTTCAACGTCCACGGCCCCATCGTGACTGCATTGTGAGCTACCACCTTCCTTGGGCACGGTTTCTTCAACGTCCACGGCCCCATCGTGACTGCATTGTGAGCTACCACCTTCCTTGGGCACGGTTTCTTCAACGTCCACGGCCCCATCGTGACTGCATTGTGAGCTACCACCTTCCTTGGGCACGGTTTCTTCAACGTCCACGGCCCCATCGCGACTGTATTGTGAGCTACCACCTTCCTTGGGCACGGTTTCTTCAACGTCCACGGCCCCATCGCGACTGTATTGTGAGCTACCACCTGCCCTAGGCGAGCTCTGTGTTGTCCACACGCTGTTAGGTGAGAGAGGGGCATCTTCACTGACCTGGTCATCTCGGCACTCCACACTGCATACTTCTCCACACTCCCCACCTCGGACGGCTGGCCCTACCTTGGTGGTGCCTATATCTAATTGTGGTCTCCGTTGCTCGAGTAGTCTGCCCTGTCGATAACAAGACCCCTTCCGACCCAGTAGCAGCATTGGCAGCAGCGGACTGCCACCGCAATCATCTTCATCTTCCTCGACGCTGATGACTGTGAACTTGGACTCCCTGTTATCATTGACCGAAGCCTCTATCGGCGGGTCATTCTGTTGTAGCGCTTGGCCCAGCGAGTGATCGACGAGCTCATCGTGACTACCCTTGCCCTCCCGGCTGGTCTCGCACAGGTTCAATGCTCCAGAGAGCACTCCTACTGACTCGCTGACAGGAGAGTTCTTAGGAAGGCCAACGGAACGTCGAGGCATAGCAGGAAGGTGGCGACTCGCCGACGGCCGAGGTGAACCCACAAGGGGATGCCCCGTGTCATTAGGCAAAGAGCCTTTGAGAGACCGCAGAACCGATTCGCTGACTCCACTCCTCTGGGACCATGACCCCGTCGAGATGGCCGTCAACGCTGTAGACCGATACCCCTGGGCTGTGCATTCCCGTTCCTCGAGTACATGCCGTAAGGACAGGTCGAAACCAGCATCAGAAGAGGCCTTTCTCAGACCTCTACGCCGGAAAGAGCCTTTTCTACTGATATCAGGATGGGGAGGGTTCTTGGCAGTAAGATCGCTCTCTGTGCTAATCCTCTGAGCTGTACAGGACGACAGAGAAGGAGCCTGGTCGACAACTACGCTATTGTCGTCTACATGGCACTCACACTCTGCTGTAGTTCGTCCAACGCTGGAGATGCTCGAGTCGTCCCAGGACCCTAAGCCGGCCGATAACTTTCCCAGCGAGCCTTCCCTACCATCCCCTTCAACCACAACTGACATATGTTCTACATCGTCATCTTCCTCGACCATGATCGGTGGAGACATATCGCCACTACACTCCCAAGTAGTCTCGCCCGAGCTTTCAGGAGGCCGCCCCTGCCGTGACCTCGGACTTGGACTCAGGGACAACTCCACTTCAGACTCGACTGGTAGGTCCTCCTGGGCCTCCATAACTACTCCATCCGTAAGCTCTATACCCGGCAATCTGGATTCGGACCCACAACTTGGTGAGGCCTCACACTCCACCACACCACTGATATCTTCCTCAGTATCAAACCCGAAGACGCAACTGAAACGACGACTGCCGCAAGCCTGTTCTATACCGTGCAACCCCAAGGCATGGCCTCCAAGGAGAACACATGGCTCATGTCCACCTCCCCCTGCTGGCTCTCTAGTGGACTGAGCTGTCTCCGAATTCCATACGCGCATCGTCCTCGCAGTATGGCCAGATCTTCGCCACTTTGACCTGCGTGGCTTCTTCCGCACAGGAAACTTCTTCACAACCCTGCTCTTCCTCGTGTCGTAACAGCTTCTGCCTCGTCCAGCACTTGTGATCGGAGCCTTGTCACCCACAAGCGGACCATCTCCGCTCTCAGGATCCTCATGTGCCAGGCTGTTTCCAGAGCATCCTACTCCGCTACCCTGCTCGTCGGAAAGCTCCCTCCTCTCAACAACAGACGAGAGGCTCGCAGCTTTACTGTCAAGACTGCTACAACAACTACCAGTGTCATCCCGCTGGACCATTTCCAGTTTCCGAGACCTGGACGGTCGAGGAGTCAGCTGTTATGCTTAGTCTCCCAATGCTATCAAGTTGTCCCCTCACCTCCTCATCGTCTTGGCTCTTACATTTGCAGCTAACCCGTGTGCAACTCGAATCTAATGAACATACATTCTCATTGCACTCGTTCTGCTTCACAGCTTCCAGAGGCGACACCAGTTCAGTGAAGCGAGCATTCGCGTCAACGACCCTAGCCGTTGGGTTCTCCCCGGGTGGCCCTCCCCATAATGAGTCCTCTACCTCCATAGAACATTCTGTCTTGGAGCATATCAGAGACTCCAGCTCATCGGCCTCAAAAGACTGAGTTACCCCATGGTTACCGACAAAAGAACTTCCCTCTACATCCAAGCTCTGCGTTAATGATATGCAAGTCTCATCTAGCTGCTGTATCACCGTGTGTAGTGACGGCATCGACCGAGGACTCTCCTGCGGCGTTGGTGGTCCGTCCGTCCCTCTTCTACCATATCGCCGGGCAGTCACCATGGATGTAGGGGTCGCAAGGTCCGGATCGATCCTGGTGGTAGGCATCTCAAGAACGTCTAATACGACACCTCTCGTGAGAGCTTCAATGCAGAGTTCTAGAAAGTCGCAGCTGACCTCAGAAATTGCTATTCCCATGACAATCGAGTCACGATCACTGCCTGGGGATTTCCTCACAGCCCCTATGGGCTTCTTAGGGTCACATCCTCTAGATGTCCGCGCAGTTTTACTGCGTGGTGCCACGGCGGTTTTCCTTCCTTTCGTCGCCATGGTCGTACCCCCGCCCTTCCTCTCCCGTCCCTCACTCACCCTGAACGGCCGCATAGGTTCCCGATCAATGCGAACCATCGCGAAGGTACTTCGATCGTCAACCGGCGTCGCTCGGTCGAGCATACTCGAAGGCGATCTGACCCCGCGCCTCCCTAGGACCTCATTGGGGCCAACGATCGGGCAAGCGAACCGTCCGTCCAACTTTCCCCTCGTCATCATTGCCGCCAAAGATGACGCATCCATGAATTAAGCACGGGAAGAATATACGACTACTGCCAACTATCTACGTCCTCGACAACGAAACACACAGAGTAGGGAGAAATCTGGATTACTACTACTACTATCAGCAGCAAACACTAAGTATAATAATCGTACGTAGTGCAGCAGGAGCCGGTCCATCATCATCATATAGGTAGCAGCTACTCATCGCTATCATCACTATCGGCGTACCACTCATCATCGCTCTCATCAGACTCCTCGCTATCACCAATTGCATCAACTACAACCCGAAAGTGGTTCGTCTCCGCTTTGGAGGTACCCCTTTGGTCGGGCCGTTGGTACTCTGACCGCTGGAAGTGCCCCCCTGACTTGGAGGAGACGGACTCCCAGCTGACGCCCCGCCATACGAGGACCTGACCATGCGCGCTGCCGCCGCTGCAACACTCGTGGCGGACGAGTTCAGTACCTCGGATTTCAGATAGTCGTCGAGTGAGCGGACCTTCAGCATTGACCACTCGTTCGAGGTACCAACTTTTCTCGCCAACGCCTCATCCAGCATCACACCAATCTCGGCATTAACCTCCTTTTCCCTCTCCCGCGCCTCCTTCTGCTCTCCCTCGCTATCCTTATCATCATCCTTATGAAGTATCGGCGTCAGATGCAGGACCCCTCGAGTATCATCAATCCAATCAATATACGTATAAACCTTCATACCAGCCTCCTTTTCCTGGAAATGCGTCCGCACTTCCTCGACCAACGCCAAGACGTCACTGTTCTTAGTCCCAATCGGGATGCCCTCGAGAACCCGATACTGACGAGGCCTGTCATTCACCGCGCGATCTCCTGCTGCCTCCGACAAATTGACACAGTAGTAGGACTGGGCCAGTGCAATGTAGTTGAGGAACTGCTTCTTCTCCTCATCACTCATTTCCGCTGTGAGAGCGGCAAAGACCTTTCCTGTAGCCACAGCATCATAGCCGGCCTCATGAAATTTCTCCTCTCCATCTTCACCATCGAATTTTCTAGAGAACTCATCCGCGCCGTGAATTTTCTGCACTACCGGGTCCTGTGCGAAACGTTCAGCCAACTGCGAAAGACCCACTCCGTGAAAGCCAGACTCGATGGCGATCTGTCGAGTATCATAGACTCCCGAGGGGAACAGTTGCCGAGCTCGCGCCTTGAAGTTGGCCAACTCGCTGGGCAAATCTTGATCGAACTCCTGCATCATCCACATGAGGTCAAGCATGCCGTTATGGAGGATAATAGGCTTCTTAGCCTGCAGTATGGCCTTCCAAACTCGACGAAAACCAAGCTTTTCCCGCACAAGGTCCCGTCTAGACCGACGAGTAACGAACCTCTCAGTGTATGCCCCAACACGGACCGACTCGATCAATAGGTTGGGGTGGTTGGCCTTGATACGAGCCGTAGCGACTCTCAAGGCCACTCCACGCAGATTGGGCAGTTTGAAGGAATCTTGTTCAGGGTCCTTAGCAAATTCGGCCACCGACTTCACTGCTTTCTCGACATTTTCCTTAGCCTGAGGGTTGTGAATTTCAGGTAGACCCTCCCCACTCGAGTCCTCCCGATTCTTCTTCTCCAAAGCCTCAGCCAGCCGAGATTCCACCACTGCATTGACGTAAGTGAGACCCTTGTCGATCCACCGTTGGAAGTCCATCCCCTGGTCCTTCATAAAGGCGATCGCAGCCGAGCACAGCGCCACTGAGGGCACCCAAGTAACTCCCAAGTCGTTGATTGGTCGAGGGAAGACATAAAAGTTCCAAGCGCGGTACTCTTCCCCTTTGAAGGCCGCTACCCCAACTTGCATGATGCCGTATTTCTTGGCTGCTATTCGGTTCTTCCTATACCGGACTGCGGTAGAGTCGGAGCCTGAGGGTTGATGAGCGGCGTCATGGATGCCGGTCATTTCAAGATCGATGGCGATGTAGTCGGCATCATTCAAGGCAGCTTTCACCGTCTTGAACAGAGCGTCGTCGAAGTTCGTCGCGTCGACATCCATCTGGTTCTAGGAATCAACAAAAGCTCTCCTAGAAAGCAATACTTCTCCCTAATGACCCTATTCCTTCACAAGAAACCGCACGAAAAATTCGGATTTTCCTAGCGGAGCGAAGCAGAACGCTGCTGCTCAGCGCTACATCTTGGACTGATTTAGCCACGAGGCAAAGTGAAGATTCATATCGCTAGAGAGTACACTGTCGACCCCCTTGTAGACTGAGTGCTCCCATTCTGTCATGGAGGGGAAGAATACGGACCCTCCGTGACGAAGATGGCGGGGGCGACCACTTCAGGACTGCGGCCTTGTTAGCGACATCTCCTGTGTTCAGTTGTAGGTTTGAATTCACAATGCTCAGCCGTCTTCCCACAGCCACTCGGTTACTGGCCTGCCGAGCATTCACCACTACAGCCGTTATGGCCAGACCAGCAGCTGTACGGTGCTTCGCTCCGCCGACTATGTTTAACCGACCGGCCCCCATGGCTCGGTTCGGTAGGCGTGGGTTTGCCAACGAGACCGCTGCTGCGACAGAGCGAGAAAAGGAAATGTAATGCATTCAAGGATTCACTTAATCTCACTGATGTCATTGATTTCGCAGACTTCAGCAATTGTCGCTTATCATCGACCCAGACCTCCACAAGGACATAGTTACTCTAGGATTCGTAATAGATCTAAAAGCCGCCTTCGTGGCTGAGACAGTCTTGGCAGGTTCAAAACCTTACTATAAGCGACGAGGGCGTCGTGGTGTTCGATCTAAAATTGACCACACCAGCTTGCCCTGTCCGAGATCAGTTTATAGATGCTTGTACGAGAGCTTGTTCAGCCCTACCATGGGTAACTGACGTCAAGGTAAGCTGTCAAGTCGTAGCCCAACTACATAGTTTAACGTTATAACAGCTCTCAGTGTAGTTTCAAGATGCGATTGCTTAGAAATACGGATCAGGTAACGCTATCGGCGAAGTCGCGAGCCGGTGGGGCCCCTGAAGTGAAGTCTGAGAATCTCTCTAATGTACAGAATATTGTAGCAGTCACCTCATGCAAAGGCGGCGTCGGCAAGAGCAGTGTTGCTGTGAACTTAGCGTAAGCCTCAAGGGTCAGTACTCGATGGCGTGCTGTTGGGGCGGAGTCGGAATCTTCGGAGGGATCTCCAGTCTTCAACTACATGTTCCCACCGTACACGAGTAATTCCCCTGTAGGTACTCAATCGCCAAGCATGGTGTAAAGGTAGGGATATTGGATGCCGATATTTTCGGACCCTCCTTGCCCTACCTTATACCCTCAACAGAAAGGGCCCCTGCTGACCCTGTCGAAGGAGAGCTGGAAGGAGCTGCCAAGGCTAAGCCTGGAGTACTGGTAATAAAATACCCCAATGCTGGTCGTTGTTCGCCGTGTAACTGCTCTTTTTCAGCAACCGTATTACCACAATGGCGTGAAGTTGATGTCGATGGGATATATACGACCTGGCGAGAGTGTTGCTGTCAGAGGTCCCATGGTCAGCGGTATGATCCAGCAGATGCTGACCATGACTGATTGGGGCCATTTGGACTACTTGGTAGGCTCCTCCCTTCTCGAATGATGTTGACCATTTGTGGTAGATAATCGACTACCCTCCAGGAACCGGTGACGTTCAACTGACGATCGGCCAACAGGCTAAGGTGGACGCCGCCGTAGTGGTGACGACGCCTCAGCAGCTGAGTCTAGTCGATGTCGAGAAAGGCATCGAGCTCTTTGATAAACTGTAGGGCATGAGAGGAGACGGCGCAGGGTAGTGTTCATTCATCTATCTCAGTAACATCCCATCCATAGCAGTAGTAGAGAATATGGCCTACTTCAAGTGCCCTACTTGTTCTGATAAACACCAAGTGTTCGGTAGAGCTGCTGATAGCAAACACCTCGCTGAGAAGTACGGGATTCAGAGCCACGTGGAGTTGCCCATAGATCCTGATATGGCTCGCAATGTTGATGACGTTAGTAAGTGCGGGAGATGGTGACACATGTCTCTCACTATAGCGGTCGGCTTCAGAAGCATCGGCCTTCCCCTTCGTCTGCAATGAGGCATTCGATGGCTCTGAGGCTTCCAAGGCGTTCGAGTCTTTAGCTGATGATGTCATTCGAGGCGTCTCCAAGGTACTCTGAAATATTTCACTTTGCTACTGAAGCCTTGTTGTCGAGGTACAGCATGGAGCTACTCAAATTGCCTTTATGGGCGCTGGCAAACCAACCATCTACTTACAGGAGCAATATGGCGACCACAAGGTGAAACCGATAACCCTACTGTTCCCGGAGGACGACCTTCATCAGGTCGCTTGGCAAGGTCAAATCCCGGCTAGGGCACTCAGACTGGCCTGTAGGAGTGCTGATATGTACGATGAATGGACCGGTGAGAAGTTGTTCAAGGAGGAGGATATTCCTCAAGACGTCGTTGCTACCAAGATTGCCAAGGCTGGTACCGTAGTTGCCACTATTCAGGGATGTGGTAGTGTTATGCTGTTGTAGGCACATACGCCCTACGTATCAACTGGTCTGATGGGCACTCCTCTATATTCCCTCGAGAGACTATGAAGAAGGCCGTGGAGGAGTACGGCATCGTTGAAGTCGAGTAAGGCTCATTCGCTGTTGTTACATTTCGCCATTTTCACCTCAGGAACGGCGTAGCAACGATGGCTTATGCTGAGCACCTAGATGCAGCTGAGAAGGCTAAGTCGTCCGCCTAGGAATGACCCCTCATCTCGTCGTTGAAGCAGTTTCTCGAATCGCTGCATTGCTGATGGACTCCAGCATATAGCTCAACTGTATACACCCCTTGCGTGTTTCCAATATCATCAGCTTCGTTGTGCAGTCAATTTGATGTACCTGAGGATGCACTAAAGTGATCAAAGAGTTCAGTCAGGCGTGGTTTCATCATTCGCTTCGTATGAGCGAGCACCTGTCGAGGAGCACAAGGTCTCCCGACATCGTAGATGCTACGAACACTACTCGCCTGATAAAGAAAATCGAAGAGAAGGAGGCCATTGTGGAGTACCTCCAAAATAGAGTAGAGTGGCTACAGTCTTAGTGGTTGAACACCCGGGGCTGGTCCTCAGGTTCTGACCCTACAGAATCGCTTTGGGGCCGCCCAGCTGCTGGGAGGTTTCGATGAACTCGTTGAAGTAGGCTGCAGTAACGGGGCTAAGACAACGAGCAGGGCATTCTCACAGGATATTCGATCGTCAATAGAGTTGCGGAAACAGCTGGAGAGTCAACATCGTCGTGTGGAAGCACTTGAAAAGGACAATGCAGCACTGAGGAAGGAGCTGCGGGTGAGATCAGCGCCTTGGGCGCGCGCGGACTGTCCCAAACTATCAGATAATGCAACAAGGCTATGAAAGTGACCTTCGTCGAGCTGATGAAGAACGAACCAAACTGGAGCACCTCGTTGCAGAGCAGGAGGAAACTCTTTGCTACCTCAACTCACTGGTGACAGGATGTTGAGGCACTCGTAGATGTCGACTCTTCACTGATTAGGTGCAGAGTTATGAAGGACAGCTCTGCCGAGACGGCCCCAGTGCTAGCGGCAGTGCATGGGTAGAAGATGATAGGGAGGACGATGGCGAGCCGCGAACCCCTGCCCTTGAGGTGCTCAACCGATCCGATATCATGGCCAACAAATGGGGAACGGAAATCGTCGCGCCGAGTCCCCACTCGGTCGAGGCTCTATATGATACGCCGGCTTCTGCGGAGGACAAAGCATCGCCAGTAAGGAGGACGTCCACTTCTGGAAGGTCGGAGGGTTCGGTTGTTATCGAAGAAGATGCCTCGTCACCGGAATTGACTTCGGTGGAGCAGCCGAGTGATAGTCGCGTGAACGCCTCTGCTGAGTCTGCGTATATGGTGACGAAGGAGTCGCTCTCTCTGGAGGCCTCGCGTGAGGTGATAGACACGACGACTTCTATTTGCGTGAGTCGGGACCAACCCGTCGGGTCTCCACATTGGAGCGGCTGGGAACCGCCACGGTATCGGCAGCATAGGGATGTGCACACTACTCGGCCATCGGTTACATTAGCGACAACCTTTTACCCTAGCCTGTCGTTCGATGCGATCTCCCTGCGGCCTGTGCTGGCGAGTCAGAGCAGCTCTTTATCCCGCCAGTCCTCTCTACCATGTTGTACTGCTGAGCCCCCAAGCGAGACCGCTACCGCCACAGAGGCTAACGGCGCAGTGACAACGCCCGTGGCTCCGCCACAAGCGACTGCAAGCTGTTGTGGAGATAGCCAGGCGGCTGACGGGGATGTCGTTGCGGCCCATGGGCGTGGGATAGCGATGACCAGTCAAGAGTCGAGACTTGCAGGATTAGAAGTAAATGATGGCTCTGCACAGTCCTCGCCACTTGTACCGAAACTACAACTGCAAACAATATCTGCACCCACGACATCACCTTTGAAGGCACCATTCAGAGTAGATTCGGCTGCCCTCGACTGTCCGGGAGCTGAGGTGAAGGAAGCGTCGGGAGGTGTTATGCTCACTTTCCCAACCAGTGATATCGCTAGCAAGACCAAGAGGTCGCCCAGGCTGGACTTGAGGTTTTCCCACCCCTCGAGACGAGTGGAAGGTATCCTGACTGCCCGTCCTGTTAAGCACGGGGGGTCTACCGAGGGCGCAAGGCTTCAGTTTGCGCCGCCATCTCGGAAGACTAAGTGTATTCCGATGACCCATCCTTTGGATGGACCCCTCACTGACTCTTCGGCTTCAACTGAGGCACATTCAAAGTGGGCATTGAGCTCCTGTACGATTGATGTTGTCGAGAAAATGTTCAGGTTGGCTGCTGCCCGTGACACACTGAAGCGATCGCGTCAACTGGAGGCATCGAGCGCTCTACTGCATACGAGACTGGACCACTTGGTCCCTGACACGTGTGATCATTCTTCGGCACGTCCGCAGACATCTAGGCCTCATCGACGGACTAACCCCCGTTATGGGTAAGGGAGCCTGAATACCTCGACAAGGGGAAGCCATACCTATTCAGATTATCCAAGAGCCTCGGCTATGATGGTGCTCCAAAAACGGCACGAAGTAAGAACCAGTAGTTGAGAATAGACAGATATCATTCTTTTAGATACCAACTGTTCAGTGTCTGCACCTGTTCCTGAGGCCGCTGATATCGTCGACGAAAGCTTGAGAATGTATTGTGACTATTTTCAGAGAAGTGCCCATTTCCTGCTGTGAGGTACTTGTCGAATCCAGCAAGTCCACAGGCTCGGTATGAGTTCCAGAAGGTCAGCAAAGGGGTTTACAAATACGGCACGAAAAGGCTGGTGGTTGCGATGAAGAACGACAAACCGATGGTGATTCGTAACACGCCCCAGGCCTGCTCATGTTCTGTCCCTCAGGTCCGCATCGGTGGTGGTTCAATGCACCTTGGGAGTTTCCTCAAGGCTGAAGAGAAGCTCAGATCTCGAGCCGACCATCGTCAGCTTGGTGGTCGGATTCAACCTCATACTGCTCGTCAACGAGTGGTATGACATTTACCTGTGAAACTAGCTGTGTTTTTCAAATACAGTGGCAAGTCAACCAACCACGGTCCACTGCGACACTTGCTTATTGTGCCTTAACTTGTTAACGCTCATTTGGAAGCTGTTTTGTTCATAGTCAGTCCACGGAGGGGAGTATCGTACAAAGTAAATCACTATCACATATCGAAGTTACAACCACCTGTACAACATGCGGACGGGTATCCCTCACAAATGATGTGTCACAGACTGTGGCTCACAGCGACTCCACAGATGGCGGCTGGCCCTGTTACGGACAGAGCTGTGATATCTCGTCGCAGCAACTATCAGTGCGGGAAAACAGAAGTTCCTAAGAGAATCAGGGATCCGAGCCGTCCCGCGAGCGTGGCGATCTCCTTACTCTACCGAGACGGCATTCACCGTGCTGAATCGAGACTGCCACCCGGGCGCCGAGTGCTTCTCTCTGTTCGAGCCGTCTCGTCACTCAGTCTTTCGGTGATTGATTTGGGTATCACCAAGCTTGATATTCCCTGGATCTAGAAGAACCTTGATATGCTCGAATATCTAGTTGAGATACTTCCTGGAAATGCATTCCGGACATTCCGATAGACTATCGGCAATAGTCGTCCGTTCTTTGCTTGTTAGTGGACGGGTGGTTATAGCTTGTTCACATTGGTTCGCGGAGACCGATACTCCGATGCCGATTCGACATTAGCTAGCGCTTAGTGGCTTCTCCATCAGATTCCTCCTCAGTTCTCGAAGATTTTGATTCCTCCTCAGTTCTCGAAGATTTTGATTCCTCTATGCGCACCTCTTTCGCGCTATCTGTCGCTTCTCTATGTGGTGCCACGGTTGCCCAGAACAACACCATTCTGAGCATTAAGTCTGGTATCAGCGATGTTGACATCCGCCAATTGCCTCAAATGCTGAGGAGTGCTGGTGAAACTCCTGACCAAAAGATTGTCTCTTTCCTGAATACCACTGAGGTCACCACGCTTGTGTATGTCCACACTCAACTGGTCCAAACCTCAGCTTCCAGCATCGACAGCGATACCCTCTGCAGTTTCGTTACCGAGGCGAGCCGCAAGCTATCATTACAGTCTCAATGTGCCGTCGATGTTCTTGGCGAAGCCTTCGAAGAATCCGGTGATGATTTGCACTTGAACGATCCCGATGCCGTCTACCAAAAGCATTTGGAATGGATGAAGATGGACCAAGTGTGGCAGCTTGCTCTTCCTCATGTTACTCGAAAAATCAAGGTGTCCGTTATAGATTCCGGTATAGACTGGACTGATCCTGATCTGGCTCCTTTGAAGGGGACGGTGAAAAGAAAAAGCGGTGGCTATAATGAAGGAGGGTGGAACTTCAAGACCAATTCATCGACTCTGACATTCAAGAACACCCACGGTACCAGCGTCAGCAAGCTTCTTGCCGCCAAGAGTAACAACTCGATTGGAGTTGCTGGAATTGCTCCCAATGTCACTTTAGTGCCACTACAGATATTCGCAGAGGACTCCCGTGCGAGTCTATCACATTTCGTGGCTGCCCTCGAGATGGCTATCGACCTGGAGGTCGACATTATATCGGCATCCCTAGGTTTCAGATTGAGCATGTATCAGCTCGACCAGCAACATTTGCTGTTCGCGGCTCTGCGTGAGGTACAGCAGAATGGCATCATGCTCATATCCTCCGCTGGCAATTCCCTCGCAGAGGCATCCGATGTTTATCCGTGTTGGTACGGCGGACCCCTCGGTATCTGTGTGGCCTCCTTATACGACTATATGTGGGAAAACAGGACTGAACCTGTGTTGAAGACTAGTTCGAATTACGGGGACAGGGTTGACGTCGCAGCCTATGGTGGAGACCTCGTCGTCGGCCGCGATCAGGACGGTGAGCTCATCACATTCAGCGGTACTTCAGCTGCACAACCACTCGTTGCTGGCCTGGCTGCTATCCTCTTGTCAATGGATATCCAACCGATGATGGTTAAGAGGCTTATGTTGGCGAATACAGATCCTGTCGTCTGTGAAATGCCTGACCTCATCCCTCAGCATGTAAGAAGTGGCGCCGTCAACGCTTCAAGGCTCATACAGCACGCCATCAGCTTGCTCTCTCCGACGTCGCGGAGCTTGAGAGGCAGAGACAACTTCAATTTGATGGAATAATACCCATTCAATGTCCAGACACATACATTTTCACACACATTTTAACCCTCATATTGACTAAGCAGGGATTTTTAACTGTCAGTGAGGACGCGAGTGTCGCTCCTCCAACTTCCACTATCCTCTTTGCGGTTGAGTAGCAGTCATGAAATGTTGTGTGTTCAACGCACGTGGCCACGTTCCTACGCGGTTTTTATCGAGATTAGGCGGGGTATTCGCCATCGGCTACAGTACTTGTTAACATCGTAATGGATTCTGAGCCGGATGCCTCATTATTGCGCCAAACGGCGTGTCACCAATCGTTCTGCCTTCGGCCGCGTACTATGTGAAATCGCAGCATCATAGAGGCCCGCAAGAAAGGGGTGTTGGAGGTGTGAATCTCAACCAAGAATCATCCGAACAGAGGACACGGCTCAATGTTGAGACGTGCTGTCGTCCGTCGTAATATACCCGAAAGGCCCGCATGGGAGAGGGAATCTGTTCTGCTGCTTCAGGAAGGGTGTATTTCTCTCATCGTAATCGAATGTATTCGCCATGGTGTGCCAGGTGTCTATAACCAACAAAAGTCAGGAAGCAGTATTGAAACACAAGTGATCACGATGCAGACGCGAGCCCGACGACGCTCACGATACCATGACGACTAAATGATGAGGCTAATTCAATGCCACGTGGTGTAGTGACACGCAAAGTTGATTGCCGCATGCCATCCTGAAGCGACGACTAAGCGTGAGAGGAGGGACGCGGGTGATAGCTACCTGAATGGGGCCTTGGGTAGAGTCATGAGATGTTGGAAGGCCTCGTCCGAGGAGAAGATGAGGACCATCACTCGATTCACATACGTCAGGCTCTCTGTGTCCTCCGTTGGCTTCACCATCTGGAACGGAATAGTCGCTAACGTCCACGTATTGGTACCCACCCTGATCACGGCCTGGTTATCATCTTTAGTGACCTCGCCATACCAAAACACACAGCTATCGTCGCTGATGGGATGCAGCGGCTCTCATTCCGAAGAGGTACCTCTTTGGCCCACCCTAGGATCGGGTCCTCAGTATGGTGGATGCCCCTCGCTATCATCATGAGCACCTCACAAGCGACTTCCACTGGTACTCCTAAGCTTTGCTCACCTCCTCTAGCTTCTCGCGAGTGACAAAGAAGTCCTTAGCTCGAGAGCTTACATAGTGGTCCCAGCCTAACACCAAGACCCTATGAATGCAGACAGACAACGGCCATGCACACTCGCTATAAGACGCTGCATCTCTTCAGAGTTACGCCTCACAAAACTCGACGGAGACCTTCTCGTCTGTCGAGTCGTCGTGCCCCCTAAAACAGCGAACCTAATAACCACTAGGCGTAGTTACCTGGTCCGACTCGCTCCTCCCTCGGGCAGCCCACGAGGGCTCGACACTGAGAGGGATAGGTCGAGACTCTAGACATGAGCATGACTTCACCTGGTGGAGGGGGGTCGGCACCGAACAGCCTGGCGAAGGGAGACTCGCTGCAGAACCGACAGGAAAACATCTCGTCTGACATTCCCATGCTAGTCCCGGTCAACGACAACGCAAAGCTGCTGTTTCATAGGTCAAAACATGAAACTTAGATTTGCCACAATCTACCCAGAACCCCTATGTGAAAGAGATTCTACATCACATCATCAACTCCAACGTCTCCTGATCAGATCTCTTCTTATAGAACTCCTCCACCACTGTAGGGGGACCGCCTTGCTCGGATACCCAATGCCCAGTAGCACTGAACACAGCCAGCCTGTTGGAACCTCTCTTGAGCACATCTGACGGCAGCCTATACGAAGCCTGGCGACCACCAACCGCTCGCCACCTTCCTATGTCCACACCATTCAGCCAGATATGACCACCAGCTTGCTGAGGCAACCCCAGCGGCAGAGTAAGAGAGATCGATTTCGATCTTACCGAGTGGAGGGTGAATCCTGCGACGAACCACGCAGGCCCCAGCGAATCGCAGCAGGGGAGTTCCGCTTTGCCTTGGCCGCCGTCCACTTCCCCATCCAGACCCTTCACCATACTCCATCGACCTTTCCTAATGGACTTCTCATTCAGCCGGATGTCCCCGAAAATTCCCTTTTGTAAGGATGGCTCAGTCGCGGCCGGCGCGCCATAGAGCATCCCATTTTCCACACCGAGTGACTCAGATAGAATCCACAAGTCGTAGGTCCGACCGGCCGTGAGATTATGCAACTGCGCGACCGCCGTCCACTCGGTATTCCCCTTGTTCACATCCATCACTGTTGCCGCCAGACTGCTGGCGTTATCAACCGAAACATGGAACACCTGGGATATTCTCGAGTCGATCTCCAGTGATACGTTGGTGACACCCTCGGTAGCTGTCACCGTCGTCTTGTATGTGACATAGTCTGTATCCAGCCCCGAGACCCTGAGATGCTCGACCGGCTCCCTCCCCTCCACTGTAGCCATACCGTGCAGCAGCTCCTCCTTCCTCATACTCCATCGGTCCGCTGTCAAGGTGGCCACCACTCTCCGTACCAACTCAGGCGGGGGCTCAACACTAGCCGTTGCGAAGAGGACCGTTGAACTTGATGGATCCACCACGAGGACTTCACGGCAGGCAATACTATAGGTCGCCTTGGCGTAGTGGACCTCTACCGGGGAACCACTACATGCTGGACGATGGAGGAAAGCGAGGCCAGCGGTCCACTCGTAAACTTCCACACCGTTTTCCAGTTGGACTGGCATCACCGAGTGGCGGTCCTCCACCTGCATGAGCTCCCCGTTCAACTTCCCGAGGACCTCATGCAAGCGCTGGAGATGCGACCTCTTCGGTTCATTCGGCAGCCCATTAGAATGGAAGTTCACCCCATCAGCATAAGCGTTGGTCAGCGAGGCCGCTCCCCATTGAGCCAGATGGTTACCACCATACCACATGTAGTAGTTATGATGGCTACCTCCCACAGCCACCCATTTGGCTAAAACGTAGGCCATCTCCTCGGCTGACCTCTTCGAATTCCCAACGGCCCCACCCCATGTATCGAACCAACCCTCGTTCTCAGTCCACCCCAGTGGCTCGTCAGGCCATCGCTTATCGTGATCCGTCTTATACTCGTCCGCACAGTCGTCGCCATTACAGACATTCAATGTACCATTAGCAGAGATTCCATTACACATGACCCAAGGCACGTCCAGGCCCAAGCCGAAGGACAGCTCCCCGACCCAGTCTATATACGCCCTACCAGCATCAGAGTGATGTCCATACTCGTTCTCCAGCTGCCCCAAAATGACTGGGCCCCCTTGGGCTGCCATCAGGTTCGCCTCTTTCACCATCCTGCCTATCTCCATCACGAAATCGGCCATGTATTTTCTCCACGGGTCGCAGCTCCGAAACTTCCCACCCTCCCATGGTTTGCATTTCCCAGGAGATCCATTGTAACCACAAATAGAGCGAAAACACATCCCCTCCACATCTCTCAGCCACAGGGGAAGGCCACCGAACGCCCATTCCGCACAAACATACGGTCCTATCCGAAGGCTCACGAAGAGATCCTTCTTAGCAGCAGCCCGGATGAACCCCAGTAGGTCCCCTCGTCCACTGAAATCGTACTTGTGCTCGAGTCGATCTTTGAGTTGATCATAGCGTGGCGGTCGTGGCTCGTGGTAGTTCCAAAAAACATACAGTTGGACGTGGTTCAAGCCGTCCCTGCCCATCTCCTCCAGCATAGGCTCCCACTCATCGACGGCCACACGAGGGTAGTGTATGGAGCCTCCCAACAGCAGCGTCCGCACTCCATCGATCTTGAAGGCCCGGGAATCATAAGTGACAGAGTAGGGCCGACCAGCCACATGCGAGTACCGAATCATCTCGCGGGGTACGTCGCCAGAGTAGAGACCAGAAGAGTGAGAGAGAACACTTTCAACGAGGAAGAGAGTGCCCAAGAAGACACTTACCATAATCACCAGAGCGGCAAGCATGTGGGGAAAAAACTGAGACCAGTCAGTTGTAGAAGTGCATTAGAAGGCCATATGGTCGCCTCTTCGCATTCCAGCCTTCCAAACGCGACATAGCAAGTCGGGGCACCGTGTAAACACGGACCGCGGACTGTTTTGGCGCAAATGCGGGATGACGACTAACCTAGTTCAGCCGTTTACTGCATCTACGGCGCTTCTAATTGCGGAGCGAGCGAAGCGAACGGAACATATACCGCAACAACAGGCACTTTCGCGTTGTGCGTGCGTGCGTGTGTACGTGCCCGAATGCGTAAGTGCGAAAGCGCGTGAGTGCATGAGTGCGTACGTGCCCGAGTGCGTAAGTGCGTGAGTGCGTGAGTGCGTGAGTGCGTGCGTGATGAATTATTTCGACTGAACTACCGATCGTCCGAGGGCATCAGATGAATCAAACGAGTCCTCTATTGTAGGAGGCCCTCAGCATGATCCATGTGGTAACTCGACATGAGTCGAGAAGGAGCCGTCGCAAGCGAAGGGTGCAAGGGCGACAGGCAGATTAGCTACATGTTGCACGCAGACGCAATCGTGTGAAGGCACCAACTCCACATCTATATTCCGAGCTTTGCAGGAAGATCGAAAAACTCGAGTACGCCCACAGCTTCAAGAAATGTGCGAAAGCATTTTTTGACGGAAAAATGTCCAACCCGGGGATCGAACCCGGGACTAATTCCGGGATGGAGTTTAGTGCACGATTCGAGATCTATGACTATCAAATGACCATGACGAGCGCAATTGAAAATCAATTTTGATCATCGCATCTCTACAACGATCATTATTTCCCAATATCTCAAGCGAAAGATGCGGACTAATCGAGCTCCGCCCCTTCGTCACGAAGGCCTAGCAAGGTACCGTGTATTCCATTCTATCCGTTGACACGCAACTCATAGAGCCAGCATTGGCTATGCTGTTGTTGTTGTATGAGTCGACTCAGTTCGCTACAGTCGAGTTTCCCACGTTCCTATCTTTGTGCCGAAGTCGAGCGCGTACTCACCTATACAACTGCGTACAGCCGCAGAGACTTGTTGCACTTCTCATTCACCAAGGGATATGCCGTGGGAGTGGTTCCGGCGTCGACATACTACGATATACTACTCCAAGCCTGTCCTTCCTTCCAGGAAGTAACCCTTCATCTGAGCTACTTGACATATTGGAGTTGTCGCGCCCCTGTTGTGTTGAACACGAGTAAACTTGGGCACTGTGAAATTATTCGCAACGCGTGAAGCTTTCACTCGACCGACTGCGCCCATTTCTCGCTTCCCGAGAAATACACAAGATCTCTCTCTCTGGCTTCACAATTGTCAACAAGGGCAGTCCCACAACAGCAGCACCTATCACCCTTCCCGCCACTGGATGTCCGAAACATGAAACCAACTATCAATACCACATCTCCCTCAACATAGCCCCAAATGCTCGATCACACACCATCACATACCAGGAGTCACTGTAATAAAACACCTTTCCAAAATCCCCCTTCGCATAAATTCACATCTCACTACCAACTCTACAGTATTGTCACTGCAAGGCCACACTACGCCGCGCTTATCAATGCCTGCTACTCCTCAGCTACACAGTATGAGGCCCCCCAAAAACCATCCAATTCAGGAAAGCGCGGTATGACGACTACGCTCAGAAATGCTTGCCATTGACATTAACCTGACAGGCCCCTGTATAAATCTTGGCTATCCTCAATAACCCCTACCTGGTGTTTGACGAGATTGTCTCTGAAAAACTCCACAACCTGCTTAGCGGCTGCGATACCAGAATTACTATTAGCCTCCGCCGTTTGGGCTCCCATTTTCTTGGGAGTGACCAGGAACTGAACCAAGCAGCAAAATAATGATATCACCGGAGCAACTTCCGACCTGTTTCTTCACACGAACTTCACCAAGGCTTTCTTTGATCTCCTCAGTATTATCGGGCTTATCATCTGCCAGATAGCTGAGGTCGGGACGATCAACCAACGCCTTCAACAAGTCCGCCTCCTGTACGATCTGACACGAATAACATGATAACAGGAGCTCGCAGACCTTCCCACATTTTTCCTTGCAGTATTAATAAGGACACCGCCCTTAGGCATCGATCTCAACAGCTTCTCATCAATAGAGTGCTTAGTCTCCCGTGTGGATGGCACATGCAAGGAAACGACATCGCACTTGAAAATGGAGGGCACCTACTACAACACAGCTTGTCCCCCCACCACATGGCCACGACCGACATCATAAAGAGGCTCTGCACCTAGATCCGTGATTTGGTCGGGAGTGAGGAAGGGGTCATAAGCGTAGATCTACAATGTGAAGATTCATCCCCAAGGCCCCATTGGGCCGCGCCTACATCCATTCCAAAGCCCTGAGCTGCCAGGATCATGAACCTGGACACATTGCCGCATCCATACAGCCCAAGACTGCTCCCTCTGATCTCCGTTCCAGAGTTTCCTACGCGCACAAGTACCATGCCTCCCCGCCCCGAGTAGAGGAGCACCATCGAAATAGTTCCTCTTGTGTGCTAAGAGCATTCCGAAAGCCAACTCCGCCACAGCGTTAGAGTTCTGCCCAGGAGTATTCTGCACGCAGACTCCTGAATCGCCACCATACCACACAACTGCTGCATATTCCCCGGCACCTTACCGTGACGAGTTGCCGCGGCTAAGTCTATTGCATCCACACCGGCTCCAGCCCGCACCAAAACTTTCAATTTTTTGGCGTGTGAGAAAAATTCTTCGTCGCAAACATCACTGCGAACAATGCAGGCCTCTGCTGAGGCCACAGCCGCGTACAGCTCAGCTCGGTCCTTGTACCTTATGAGTTTAGAGAAACCATTTCACAAAGGCTCACTGTAGGAAAATCTGTAAGTGACAATATGAGAAAATTCTGATAAAATTTTTGAGAAAAAATTTTCATCGGTTTCTGTACACCCCCGCCTGAATTCGTATGTAAGCTCCAATAATTAGTGAGGAAACTCCTGAGCTCAGCTGAAGAGAGCCAACATACAGAGCCGGTAGTGTGAGGAAGTATTCCTACCCTTCTAGCTTGTCAAACACAAGTCCATGCTCTTCACAGATGGTCTTGATAGCGGCCACCGCATCCTTCGCAAAGGGCTTTGTAGTAGCTAGCAACACCGTATGAGCAGTCATGAACACCGCCACAAGCACAGTGGAAAACCGTCAAGAGACCGACACAGTGGTCCATCATTGACACTCAACACGACGAAGCACCAATCTTCAGAAAGCAAGGCTGCAGTCTATCCACCGGAGAGCGACTTGAATGATATACTCTCTAGTGTGTTACTTTCTGACCTCCATTGGCAACGTCCTTCGCTTGCTGCTTCACACGGCGAAGGTACCTTCACACATAACGAGAGGTCTCGGGTTCGATCCCCGGCTAGGACATACTCTTCTTTATTCTGCGTAAAGAGCTGGAATGGCTCCGCCTGGGCAGGACTAGCCGAGTTAGGGTTATCCAAGAGGTCTTGGATGCCCAACAAGATCTGTTTGATAGTTATCGAAGGCTTCCAGTCCTCATCCTCGTTGAGTATACTGAGCAACAGTAACAGAGATATGCAAAACGATATAAACTTCAGTGTTGGTGAATACGTTCGCTTTCCTCACCTAGTTATAGAATTTCACACACGACTTGGAATAACAAGACTTTCCTCAGAAATTTCATATTGTCACTACCAACACATGTAGTTGACCATGTGCCTATCCCCTCCCCCTTGGCTCACCTCAGGCACACTGTTCCAGACGGGTAGATGTTGGGATGAAACAAGACCTTCCCATTCACGAACACGAATTTGCACTTAGGCGGCTTGCCAGGGTAGTCCTCCGAGAAGTCCATCGTTAATTTATATCTGATCAATGGATCTCAACGACAATCATCTCAATGGAAGTTTGAGAAAAAAGTGTATTGCTTTTCGACTGCTGCGCCGCACCGCGCATAATCTGTAAAATATCTTTGAACCAGTGATACTTCGCTGCAGCATATTCTCTGTATATCGTGGTCTACTTTGAGAAACTGAGAGTAAGTCTAGTGTCACTGCTAAGTTGGAAAAGGTGAGTAGTGAAGATGACAGGCGAGTGGGTGGAGCTTTGATCAGTTGGCAATCTCTGACCCAACCGATGATGCTGCTCTCTTCACTACTTCGGAGGCTATACATGCTGTGCATATAGTGCCTATCACTCAGTTGAAACTAGTTCACTCCTTTCCCGACTGGCATTGAGTTCTCTATAGGAACATCATAAACCTAATACAGTTTCCCCCTGTTATTCACTTACGTCGCTCCCTCCCAAGGTGTCCCGGCTCTACCAGGGATACCACAAATCCAGCGAAAAAGGTTCTGGCCTACATAATGATAAGGATGTGCATACCACACCTCCGTCATCTCCTCCACCACCACTACCCTTGCCATCAGGGTTAGCCATGGGCTTTGCAGAGAACCCAAAAGGATGGTCTTTCCGCCACTCAGCCCTCTCCTTCTGGAGCCTTCGCGAGGCGAATGATGCCATAGGGGGGCCTAGTAGTAACCAAAGAGAACAGACGACAGTACTGAATTGAAGAGACTTCCAACAACACAGTCATTGGAGAATTGAAAACAACAATCAAAATTATACATCAACATGTAGGGCTTTAACATCATCGATAATGTGCACCGTCCCAAAGTACAACTATACTGCTATGGCGTTTCACCCGTTTTACGTGAGGTGGCGTAGAAAAGGGTGAAAACGCGATATTCGCTGCCTGTAGTAGTCGTGAAATATGTTTTTCCCTATAGTGTTTTTCATATCACTAGAGTGAAACTCCAATGTTCAACCTGGCAACCATGGAGGGCATTCTGGAAAGAAGACTCTCCCCCTCGTGAATAGAAAGAGCCATTGTTGATATCGAGACTTCATAGGTAATACTAATGGGCCCTACAGTGGATCAGCTGAGGCAACCTCCATCTGGCTTAGTCTCACCAGCGGCTGAGGCACCAGACACGCCAACGCCGAAAGACTCTGGGAAAAGGGGCATTCGGCGATACTGTGCACGGAGGAGTCAGACCTGCGCATGTACGAGGGACGGCTACTGCAAGTGTGTTTGGTTGGTTGTTTCCACTCCACTATTACTACTCAGACACGGGGTAGTTCGGGGAGTAATAAGCTCATATGAAAACTTGACTATTGTGTCACATAGTATGAAAAAAATATGCACATGATCAACCAGCTGATCATGTAAAAATTCTGAGAAAATTCCCATGAATATCTGTACATGTCTACCTATGCATGTGTGAAGCCCTATGATCAGCGAGGAAACTCTCAAGCTCAGCTGAGGAAAGCGAACGCATATATTCCTCGAACACTGGCGCCATATAGTGTAAAGAAACCCTCCCCTTCAACTGCATTCAAAGCAGTACCGTTCGACGAGACCTCCGGGAGGCCCCTGTAGATGAACGAGACTCGACATAGCGGGCTGAAGGAAGGGTGGTAGGGATGACCATGGACTCCACCTCGGGCAGTAGTTGGAGACAATCAGTGTCATCGAGTATAGGGGAGTTAGCGTATATCTGCTTTACAGAGCCGCCTCGAGACCACACAGATTGATGACTAGGAAAGAGTAAAATTCCACTGAGTTCATCAGCGTTATTCACCCCCGTCAGTCAAATCGATCAGCATGGCGCGCGCTACTGACATTGGTCTGTGACCCCACAACTCGACTTCTTCTTCAGAGTCAACTGTCAGGCTTTTTTGATGCTGCCAATGGCAAGTAAAGCTAGCGATATGACGTTTACATCGTCAGACGAGCCCAAATCGGGGGTGGATCCACGTGATGACCCTTTGGGGGAGGCCAGTTTTATCCCGAGGTATTTAGTCTGTGTGAACCCACTGTGCAGGAGGAAGTGGAAACAGCTGACGCCTAAGAGCATCCCTATGTTCTGTCCCAGCTGTAAGAAAGCGTCTGAGCTGGCTCTACGAGAGACCTGGGAGGGCGTCACGGACGATACTCTTTATTTTAACGTACTCAAATACTGGCATTCCATTTACGTGGACATCCAGTCTACCTTGGGATTCCCCAAGTGCAGTGATCTTACCCTACCACAAGATCCCAAGGAGGTCACCATATACAACGTGATGGACTACTACTATAAGGCTTTCCCAGAGCCCCCTCACCCCGAAGATGTGCGGAATTGGAGCTCTATGGGTCAGCGGAAGAAGCAGATGACCGGAACCATCATAAGGCAGTGTGGCACCCTCCTGTGGGAACTCACTGTATTAGAGGATCTACAGCAGCATCCCCATGGTAGTAACAGTATCGGGCTTACACTCGGGAGGTACATCATCCCTCGTTCAGGCGGGTCCATACGTCAGCAGGACATGGTCGGGCACCGCTTTTATCTCATCGATTGGAGAGGGGCCCTCAAGATAGGCGACCACATCCAGTTCGTCGCCTTCCCAAATCCATCAGTGGATGAGCGCAACAAACTTCCTCATGTGCTGAAAGTAGTGATGCCAAGCATATGCTCACGCGCTCTATCGCCCCTTGCTAGGTCCTTGACGATCGCGTCAATCCTCCTCATCGTCAGGCTGAGCAGCCTCAGGATACGACGAGAGGCTTCCGAACTGAACAACAGAGACGCCCAGTCGGGCGCACCATGGCCACGTAGGTTACCCCCAACCGCCCTTCTTGGTTCACTCCGAATGTCTAGGAATAAGAGCTATGACCAAGTAGCTGACTCCTACTACAGACCCTCTGGCGCGACTCATTGGGAGCAGCGTCAATCAGACTCGTCCTCGAGGAGGTTCCCTCAGTACGACGGTAATGATAACCGTCGATCCTATGGAGGGCCCTCTAACGATTTCTGGACAGCTGAAGGGCCCCCCTATCCTCCCAATCGGAACTCCACAAATGGGGCCCGAGGTAATACTGTTGTTATTTTCGCTCCCCCCTCCCCGACGTTTTGGCGCAGGTACCAGCGTGAGATCCTCACTTGATGGACAGCGTCAAACGGCAGTGACTTCAAACAGCTCCTCAGCCGACCTCCCCGTGGATCAGAAGAGCTTCTCGCCAGCAGTGGGGTCTCCGGTTGATGCTACCGTTGCCCCTCCACCAGGCTTCGAAGGCCTAGCAGATGATACACACCTAGCATTGGGCCAACTGGCACAGTTACTCTCCGCTGCAGTGAATAAGGAGGTTCCCCCAACCCCTCAGGCCCCGACTCTTGAGCCCAAGGTGCCCGAGTCTGCCCACCCTAGCCCAAGCCCTGCGATGCCCCCCGCGAGGAGGCCCGACTGGATACCGGATACTCCTGCGAGCCCACTGTATCTCCATCGAGACATGAACTTCGGCCAGACCCCGAACCCTCTTGTACAGTTTCTGCAGATGCAAGCTGCAGCGGGAGCAGCTGGTCAGGTCCCTTCAGCGCCCCCTTCGCGGTCCTATGGGGCGGCGGTGGCCCCGCCTCCGATGACGTCACCGTTCATGCCAATGGGTGGGCCTCTACCGGTCTCAGCGGCAGCAGTAGGTCTGGAGGGCGACTTGGCCGGCTTGGCCGCATGGGGCGCATCGTGGCCGTCTTCTGGGCCCTCTGGCATGATAAAACGGCAGAGTACGAGTCAGCCTCCTACCCCTATCCAGGAGGAGACGGTTAATGACGAGGGTGAAGTATGTGCACCCCCTAGGGCCAACCAACCCCATCGCCAGTGAGGAGGCCAGGGTTTGAAAGGTTTGCCAGGAGGTCATTTTTGCTTATAACTAGGTCCCATATGAATATTCTCTTTGGGCTCAATATTCGCCTCCTGTCATCGGCCTCTAAGTTGAGAAGCCTATCGTATGGGCATTGCCCTGCTGCTGCTGCTGCTGCTGCTGCTCCTGCTCGGCAACAAGATTATATCGTTGAACCCTCCCCTCCCCACTATTCAGGCCTCTGGTCCTTAGTTACTGCTATCCTTCATCGATACCTTTCCCCCAGGCTTGCCGCTATGACCTATCCCGCTTCAGCTCCCTCTCTTCCTCCTCTGCTACTACTACGTCGTCACTGCTGGATCCCGCTGCTACTGCCGAGGTGGTGCCGAAGGTGGGCGGCGATGCTCTGTTATCAACCTGCTGCCCTTTGGGACGAGGATGTCTCCTCCCAAGTTGAGTCCTGTCATGTTTGTGTCCGTCATCACCGTTCCCCCTCATTATATTGCACTATACTTCTCAAACGCCTTTCCCGTAACAGTTGACATACTGTTTGTTTCGTTTTGACAAGCGAGCCCATCGGTCAGCCTCTCACAGGCCCTCTCATCCCAATGGGTTCGTCCACTCAGTCCCGGTCGAGATCCCCTGCCGGTAGTGGCAGCACCACTGAGAGCACGGCTCCCCGACGGTCGGCGTCTGATGACGTCGTGCCTCGTCCCTCGACGCGGCGGCATGCTCCGCGGCGGAGGTCTCGAAGTCGTGATGTTGCAGTGAGTCGTCGTCGGAGCTCGACGGAAGAGGTAGGCTTGGTACACGTCTGTCGTGCTCATTGCTATCGGTGGTCAGCATTACTATCGGGACGGTGGGAGTAGTAGCTCTCATCGGTATGGCTCGAGGGACAACAGGGGGTCCTCTCCCTCTAGGGGGTACTCATCTTACTTCGACGATAGACACCGACGGCAAGGCAATGAGGACCATCGAAGGCGGGAGGAGAATGTTGACCGTAGGAGACGAGACGATGGGGATTATCGAAGGCGAAATTATGATGATCATAAGCCTAGGTGAGGCATGGCATTATCCCTCCCTTGTGTAGTTGTCTCCCTTGCAGGCGTCGAGACGACCGCTCTGACCGTCTACCTAGTGGTGGGTCTTACTACGACGTCCGTTCCTCTCGTGACCCCTCTAACGGTACGGCATCACTACACTACGTGAACAGCAGCCCTCGAGTGGGCAGTAAACAGGACGAGAGTCGTAGCCGTGAAGTTAGTGATCAACTCCATCGACGGCGCCGCGAAGATAGTCGCCCTCGACCCCGAGGGGCCACCAGCGGTCCTGGTCCGGTCGACGAGTCTATAGATGGTCTCCCGCGTGATGCCAAGACTCAGTCCATCGTGCCTCCTCTCAAGGTGAAGCCTATGGTTGAGTTTGGCAAAGCTGTAAGGCCAGACCCCCGGGCTACTGCTGAGAAGGGCAATGTATTGGAGCTCAATTGCGACTGTCCCCGGAAGTACGTCTCTGATGGTCGCCCTCTACGTGAACCGGCATGGCTATCGAGGGTCCGGTGGGACGAGCCAACCTTCGAGGAACACATTTTGTTGAAGCGGGAGTTCGCCCCGCGAGCTGTTGCCAATGCTCGGGGCCAGGCAATGGTACCTCCTCCGACGGTGTCCCATGGCTCTACTTTGGATGGGTCTTGGCACGAGACGTGGCCCAACGATGTTGACTGTCGGATTATATGTGTATTGCGATTGCCCGACTTGGTTTCTTCGGATGAGACCTTCCTGCGTGCTGCTAGGGAGGCAATTCCTCATCATTCGCGGGCGCGTGTCGCCCTCCAGAAGGCTGTGGTCATCAGAGCCTCTGGCATTGGTGGTTCGGTGGTTCCGGCGAAGTGTGGCTATTTAGTTTTCCGTTCACGACGTGACGCTCACGAGTGTTGGTCTCTCCAGCACCTCAAGCTCTACGGCTACGTTTGCCCGCTTATTGCGGACCCTACAGCCTTCAGAATACTTTGTCAAATTGCACTGGTTCTCAAACTTTATGAAGGAAATTCGGTTGGTGCTACTTCTAGCCTTACAGCCCGACTGGTGCCAGAAGCCAGTCCCTCGATGCCCCCACTACCCCCACCCCAAGCGACCATCACTAGTACTAAGTTTGGTGGAGGGTTGTCCTCGCGAAAGCCTCTACCCAGCACTGCTCGGGGGGCCGACACCAGTAGCGGTGTAGCTGCTGGTGGTACTTCTAGGGGACGGTTTGTCCTTAGGGGCCTGAAAGAGAGCTTGCAACGGCTTAAAGGTCCGCCCGTAGATGCTTGTGGGAATTGCTCAGCGAGTGCGGTTAGATATAGTCGTCTTGATCAGCGTGATGGCGCTGTTGTTGGGAGGTCAGAGTATGTTCGAGCGGAGACTTCCTCCGATGGTCAAAGCCAAAAGCTCAACATTGGCCTCACCAAGGACCGGAATGTGGTGGTATTGGAGACCAACGATGACACCAACTTGGCCGACTGGCGGCCCGAATGGGTACTCAGAGACTGGAGTTGGGGTTGTCGACCTATGTCTGTGGCCTTAGCTGAGAAGGAGTCCGCTGATGGCGAGATAGACCCCGCTGAGCTCTCTGATTACAGCACGTACAGCGCCCCGGATATGAGCGTGTTCAAGCCTGTTCGGTCGGTACCATTGACAGGAGGAACGTCACCGCAGAGCAAGGCCCGATCGGGTGCTACCAGCCGGAAGAGTAAAAAGTCCAAGAAGGAGAAAAAGAAGAAACGGAGGACTAGCCATGAACTTGCAGCGAGACTCGCAGGAGAAGGGAAGGCTGAAGGCGCTACCACCAAGGCATCAACGTCCACAGCGAGGGTGCAGGCCGGGAGCTGACCATCGACTTCATAGCATTATTCTCCCATATTGTATAAGATGTATTGTATCATATTTTACCATTGCAATGCTACTGCAAAGAGACTATTGATGGCGTTGCCTTCTAGTGGGGGGGAGGGAAGTCTGTAGATCAGTCCTGGGAGTGTTACGATGGTCACGTGTGTGCGGAGGGAGGTAAATGTCAGACTAGGATTGCTAGTCGTTTGCGGGCTATGCATAGACAACTCCAAATAATTTCGTTCGCATCGGAATGATGATCTGATCATCGTGAGAGTTTAGATATCTTTGTGACAAGGTACAGTTCACATGCATGCATGTAATGCTCTAGAGTCGTTGGAACGGGGTCGAGTGGTCATTCAAGCATGTGATTGCCGGGCGCCCATGTGAGATGTTACACCTTCCATGTCTTCCTTTGCCCTGAATGCCAGTCACTTAACGTTCCCCATTACAAAATTTTATACAAGAACGAACTGCAGCTCGAGCTGTTCGCAGCGCTTACGGTGGGCTTTGAGCACCAATCTCGACCACTTCCAACACAAATACTGTGAACATGAGCACAACTACAACAGAGGTACGAGCATGCTGGGTATCAGCTGTCAAGCTGAGTTAACATTGCGACTCCTCGTTTGATCCAATGCTCTTGAGGAGTGTTGCTCGGCAGCCGCATGTACATGACGAAGTTCGTACCTAGCAGGAAAACCATCATACTGAAAGTGTTTGCGGCCCTTACTGTGGCCAGTAGTGGCGAGTACACCCCTTCTGCTGCTAATTTTATACCTGCAATTCAATGCAGTAGACCAGTTGCCCCCATCATTATACCCTACAATGGGCAGTTATAGTGTGGGTAGTCTAGGTTCATATCCGATCCCACCATCGGTTTCAACCATAACCTCGGTGCTTCGACGAACAAAACCTACACAGGAATCACACCTGTGTACTATCACGCATCAGAATCTCACTTTCGGATCGCTCTCGGTAAGTGTCCAATCACTTTCTGACCATTTGCAGCCTTCGATGAAAAGACCGTGTCTGGAAACACAACGTCCTCCTGGCCTTCCCAAACTCAAGATGCCTTACATATACACACCATCCTCAGGGGCCTTTTCAGGGGTACCACTGACAACCTCGAAGTCGAAGTCAACTGTATCGATTGGCGTTGTATACCTGCCCGACAGCATTCATAGAAGATACCAGCGGAAGAACGTCTTGCTTTCTCGCATAGTTTTGTAACGCTCCGGTTGTGAAGGCTTGTGTGAAAAAGAAGCCAGAAAACCAAAACAAGTGTGGGGTCTTGCCACCGTCGACCCACGACTGGAAGTTCCGTAGTCTGAACCAACAGTAATAGAAGATAGTAACTTGAAGGATTCGACCTTTCAATGAGATCATTCACGTAGCTGCCAAGTGGCTTCAATGATGGATATGACTTCGCCATCCACATCTCGGGCGTCCCTGCGCACAGCGAAGATTCGAGACAGACAAACTCGGGAAGATTCCCTACGGCCGTCGTTGATCGAGTGGAACGCTGCCTCTAATTGTGGTGACATCAATATAAGCCCTTTCACTGCCTTCTGTATGTCTGCCAATGAGTCGCGGATTACTTCAATCAGACCATTGTATCTGCGACCACCATCCGCCCCGTATCAACAACCGTCATTTCACCTCGTGAGCTCTTGTGCCAATACAGTATTCATGCTCTCAGTGTACGTCATAGGGAAGGACTCCTGGACCTCTTCAACCTTAAATGGTGACCTTGCTCGACCATCCAGAACAGACCTTCACCTTCCACGGCATCGGCATCCGCTGAAGAATGTCCGCGCTGATCGAGCCGACCACTTCCTCAGGGCTCATACCATCTCCACTGGCTCCGCCGCCACTTTGCGAGCCCTACAGTATCATATGAAAGAGACATGATACACTGTTGTCGAGGTCACCATGAGTAGAGCAGCTTTCATCAAATCGAATGCCTCATTCTGTTCTTTGGTTAAGTTGGCATTGGGGTGGAAGCCGAAGACTCGTGGGTCAGTGATAGGCGGCAAGCCTTTTATGGTTTCCAGGACTGAAAATATCAACGATGATGGTCATGAGGGAATTCAAAAAGCCTTACAGTCTTCGTAGCTACCATTGCCATCTGGAGGCCGATACTGGGGACACTCTGGGGTGTAGGAGTATCTATATTGCATACATCCAAGTTTGATAGCGTGGCGGCTCACTCGTCATCGAAGACCTTCTCTGTGAAGTAGTCGGCAAGAAGGGTCATGATGAGTCGACGGTCCTTATCGTCCGTCACTCGCCCACCATAGTTGCATTCACCTAAAATCGACAATCACAGATGATAGACTGCAGCGAGGCTACCAGTGAGATAATTCAGAGCCTTGAAGGGCACCTCACCCGATGCGTACTCGTTGATGAACATCTGCAGCTGCAGCACCTGACGAGATGGTGGCAAACACCTCTTTCTCAGTCACCGTCTAGCCTACCGATATACGCATGTCCGAATCGGTGAACTCATATGGTATATTCCAACCGAGCGGACCGAAGAGACGGCGTTCTTGCAAGACAGCGTGGAAGAAGCAGAGCGAGTAAAGCAGCTTCTTGAAATGCCACGGTTTCACACCTGTCACCACGGCTATCGTCGGGCATCTCGGGAAGCAACCATACATCTCTCTTCGAAAAATTCCGTGTCACAGATTGGATCGGTGAGGAAGGAGCCCATGAGGTTGGACCGCAACCCCTTGGGCGGCTCGTTGGTCATCTTCACACCATTCTGGAGGATCGCCACTGGGAATTGAGGGCTGGGATAACTCGTCAGCCACAATCTACAAAGCGGAAATTGCATTAAAAAATCGAGAATCAGCGGAGCGGAGCTCCTCAGAATACCTGTAATCCTGATGGCTGTGCTTAGGGTCCATGGTCTCGAGCTTCCTCTCAAGCTTGGGCATCCACGACGTACAGAGATGGCAGTTTTGCAGCACCACCCATGAGCCTGAGCATCCGCGGGTCAGACCTGTCCCTAGCAGCCATGCTCACCATCTCGCATCCCGGCGTCGATCATCTGCTCGGCACGAGGGCCCTAACAGTGGCAACAATGGGGAAATGCAGGGTGGAGGGAGAGCCTCACCTGGCCTTGGCCCAGAGATATAGATCTGAATTCCTTATTCTGATCCGAGGCGAATTTGGAGAGGGCCGCAAAGGGATCAGATCCCGGCGAGAGGACCTGATGGATGCCCATGCGGCTTACGATTCGATACCGTTGACATTACGAAGATGAGGGGCGTCACATTGGACGAATCAGCATAGCTGCTGGCTAGATCGAATGGAGGCGGGCTGATGAACACTTCTCCTGAAATGAGCCTAGACGGTCAGTAGGCAGAGACCGGACATACCAAGATTGCTAGACACGAATCCCATGATCGCCGGCACGAGCTTATCTGGTCGGAGGCATCTCAAGACCTGCCATATCCACATTGAAGCAGTCTCCTCAGGAAAGATGTCTAACCATCAGCAGCTGGAACTCCGAGAAGCCCTTGATGGCACTTAAGGAGTCCCCCAGCTCCAGAACTCGGCCTAGTGGATCGCCATGGTCGTAGGCCGACTTCCACCTATGACCGTGAACACGAACGAGGTCGGACGTCCGAAAGACTCAAGGGCTGCTACAGATCCTGTTCCATCGCGAAGTCCTCCAAAACATTCGTGTAGGGATCTCCAAGACGACTCATCTTGAAAAGCTCACCCCAGCATCGATCAGGTATCCACCTGAGTTGAGATGCATAGGAAAGAGCAGGCCCCTGCCTAGCGCCCTACTGTGCGGCCTTCGGTGGAGGGTCCTCCATGCTGACCCCACCTGTCAATAAGAACCTATAGTCTCGCATCGGCAGCTCATCTCGGGCCTCCTTCAGTGAGCAACACAGCTGAAAGTAGGAGAAGTACTACTCGCCACAATGGGACGACCGACTTGGAAAGACATGAGCAGCTTGTGCTTCTCGAAGAGGGAGCGGCATATGTTGTTGTATAGACTCCTCATAAAGAAGCTGTTGAGAATATCGATCCGGTCCGGGAGATGGTGGGCCTCTGGCGCCTTGCGGATGCACATCTCCTGCATACTCACGAATGACTAGCCACCGCAGTACCAGCGGGGGGGGACTCACATAGAGAGAAACGAAGAACGGGAGGCTGTACTGATACATAGGGTCGATCTGCGCGAGGTCAGCTATGCAGAAGAAAAGGATGGACGCCTAAGAGAGTACCATAACCATAGGCAGGTCTAGAAAGGGCACTCAAAAGCTGGCGACCAGTTTAGCTTGCATTGAGTGATTCCTAAGCGTTAATGAAAGCTACTTGTTCAGCGACAGGCACATAGCAGTTTCTGGCTTTGTCGATCCGGATCTCAGTCTGCTCCGCTTCGCTCTGCTTCTCTGCAATTTCATTGGAGAGCACCTGCCCCAAGCAAGCATCCCCGTAACCGTCACTTGAGAGCGCCTCACCTTGGAGGCACTCAGGACTTTGATCGCAGTTTCGTCCTCTAGAATATTCCCCTGACTGCTACTCAAGACCTGGAGACCACAGCGAGAGCCTCTCCACGCCTTCCGTCAAAGCCTCCCTTTTCCCACCTTGAGTATTTTATCCTCGATTTCCTCCAACTGTTTCTTGTTCTCCGCACCCTCTAAAATCACCCTTGCCTTCTCTGCGGCTAAGTCGGGCTTCTCCATCGAGACGACCTGGAAATGCGAGTGAACATTATACGATGCATATGGGCTCCTAGAGCCTGACCAGATTGAGCAGTTGGTCCTCCAGTCCAACTGGGGTGATCATGAAGTTCAGCAAAGTGACCTTCACCGACACCTCGGGGAGGTAATGCGGATTCCGAAGCTTTGATGTCAAGTACAATCTGCACACAAGATGCCCCCTAAGGTTTTCACACTTCCTTGCAAGCCCACCTGAATTTCTTATTGTACTCGATCGTGGCATCGCCCAGCTTCATCATGGTCATGCCACCCTTCGTAAAGGTCTGTTTAAGCAGCAGCGGCTCGATGGCAGGGTCCATATCCTCTAACACGTTCTCGATCAAGAAAGGGTACCCAAACTGTATGCCTAGGGAAAGACGAGTGACAAGAGGTACAAGGATGAAGCCTCTTACAGCCCTCGAGTCTTCGTAAGTAGTCTCCATCAGTGAATTTACACGTGACCAGGTTATGGTCCTTCTCTGTGTTCTTTATCCACTTGTTTGCCTGACCCTGCGGATCGATACATAGCGGCCAACGCCGGGCCTTGTCCACGATGATACCATTCTCGATACTGAAGGCGTCGTTGGGGAGGCCCGCGATAGTCCAACTCCGAATCTTCACAGGCTCACCAAGGCACTTCTCCAGAGCGAATTGGGCCGATCCAGGGATCTGTTTGGTCTGGCTGATAGAGCTCCAGGCAGTCACTGCATCCCGACGGAACTCCGGAGTGAAGGCACCGAGGTAGGCGATTACACCAGACGCCAAAATGACGTCACCAGTGAGATTCTCATAGTCGTAACCAAGCTGCTCAGCCATCGCTGTCCAGCGAGTCTTCTCACCACCAAGGGATGTGATCAGTTGCTCAGCCCTCTCTAGTTTTCGACTGCAGTCTTCCACCTGATTCTTTAGGTTGGTCTGCTCCGTTTCTAGTGCATTGAGCTTGTCATTGAGAGCTTGCAGCTTATCGAGAACCACTTGTAACTCGGCCTGCTTTTCCTTCAGTCCAGCCATCACCGTGGCGTACTCAGCCTCGGCAGCAGCGAGAGCCTCTCTCTTGGGTGCGACGACTTTGGCGACTCTATCGTAAGTCTCCATGGCTCGAACCCAGCAACAGATGCCATAGGCAGCCTTTGAGACCTTAGCCACTCTACTTGGTTGGAAGTCGTCCTTCACAGTGTAGTCTTTGATTTTGTTGATGACAGCAGGAGGTATGTTGTCCTTATCGTAGTCCTTCAAGCTCTGTAGGAATCCCATCTCGCTGACCATCTTCTTCGCGTTAGGCCAGTAGTCGTCCACCTTTCTGCCGGTGTCTTTATCTTGGACCCTCACAGCGCCAATGCCCTTCATAATGCATACAGCAGTGAGGACCAAGCGTACCGGCTCAGGCGGGTTGGTCATGGCCTTGATCTCTGCAATGTCCTTCCCTGTCAGAGTGTCGAGTGCTCCTAAAGCTTGGTTGAGCTCCGGCATCGCTTCGCCTAGTTCCTTCTCACAATCCGTCTTGATAGCATTGGCCCTGTCAGCGGCCTGTGAGGCTATAGCTTCCTCGCCTGAAACCACTTCCTTCACCGCATTCGTCTTGTCGGACTCGGCGTTAACAACCACCATCATTTCCTCAACCTCCTTGTTCTTAGCGACCAACTGAGGCTGTAGATCAGTAAGCTCCTTCTGCATGCCCGCTACGGACTGCTCAGTGTTAGCGAGCTTCTCCAGACCAACGAGATAGCGCTCCCTCTTGGCACTGACCTCTCCTCGCTTCTCATCCAGCAGCGTCTTGAACGTATTGATAAGCTCCAGATAGCTGGTCGGAGTGGCGTAATAGTGTCGTCGAAGCTCCAGCTTGAATCTCGTCGCCAACTTAGTGCTCTCCACGTGGAACAGCTGGCACATCTCGACACACGAAGTTCGAGTAGCGTCAGCCATCGGGACGGACTCTAGGAACTGCTCCGCGACAGATAGAAGAGCATCCGAGGGCCATTCGCTGAACCAATCAATGGTGGTACAGTTGACTAGACTAGGGAATTGACGCAGTCGGGACCGCCAGCCGTTACCAATAGGCGAGAAGCATAGAACTATATGCAACAAGGCTCGCACTCGCTCCAAGAAGTAAGCGAACAGTGACGTGGGCGTCCCATCAGTCGCCTTCCCCTCAGTCTTGGCGTAGTTCCGGACGGCCTCGCAGCACTGCATCTTCTCATCGGGAGCAAAGAGGTTGGGAACCTCGCCTGTATTGAGCATGTTGTTGATATCCTCGACGAAGCTCTCGTCTTTGATCTGTGTGTCCGTGAAGAGGAATACCATGGGATCAGCCCGCCCTCCAGCGCCCATCAATAACTTCTTCAAGTCGTCGCGCCACGCTAGTTTGTCATAGCCCTTGGCGATCTCAATTTGGAAAATAGTGTAGTCAGCCATAAAGGCTGCTAGCTTCGTGACACTCTGCCTACCAGAGCCTCCTACACCCACCATCAACGAGTGACCTCCGGGTTGCTTCAGCACTCTGGCTACTCTAGACAGATGCTCAATACAATAGAGGAATAGCACAAGATTGAGAGGGGAAGTGCTTATCAGGTTATACTGCTCAAGGTGGCTTGTCACTTGCTTGGCAAGTTGGTCAAAATCGGGACATTCACTGTAAGGGCGCTTAGGTGCTGCAGGAGCAGACATCAGGTCACCAAAGAAGAGGAGCCTGACTTCGTCCAACGTGTCCACCTTGTCGTCGTTGTTGGAGTCGAGATGCTTCATAACCTCGTCGAAGCCTACGCCAAGATGACTTCTCGTCACTTCCCTCATCTGCTCAAGTAGCCAAACTCTGTCTTTATCGTCCACGAGCCTATCACCGAATACTCGGAAGACCTCGTGGACCCACAGGCGGACGTGACGATTGCTCCCATCGCATTGATCCTTGGGTAGAAGCAGAACTCCGAACATGACTTTAGCGAAATCTCGGAGGTTGAATGTATAATGCACCTTGAGAGGCGTCGGGAGGAGCTCGCTGGCAACTGCCTTGTAGACCTGCAGGGTCGCGCTGACCAGCTTTTCTGAGAGGCCCTTCACTTCAGCAGGATAATTCTGAGACTGAAACCTCCAGTCGAGTATGGTAGTGAAGATTCGCGCCATATTGTCATCATCGAGCAGGGCAAACCCTGTGAGCAGCATCAGCTGGGTCATACGCGGGGTGATAAAAGTTCGGCCACCTCCAGGTGGGCCCATCGCAGTCACAACCAGCGTGTCAATGATGTTCCTGAAGGGATGAGTACTGTCCTTCCGGTCGAACCACCCTCCTTGGTCGATAAGCTGTCTGAGAATCTCTATAGGAGGCTGAGCTCCGTATGCTTCCTTAGCTGGCATGTTGAGATCGTCGATCATCACAACACAGAGCTTTCCAGTCGGTGGGCCGTAGGTATCTTTCCGCCGTCGATCAAGCTTGACGTCGATCTGGTCCTGCGTCTGGGCACATTGCGTCTGGGCCGAGAAACCGAGGAAGATCGGCACCGTAGTCGCCTTATCTCTAGAAAGGATCGCTCCCTGCATGTACGCCGTTTTGCCTGTCCCCGTGGGACCACAGAATAGCAGGGGAATCTTGTTATCAATACAGTGATTGGCTATAAAAGAGTATCTTATATTATCCAGCGTGCGCACAATGATGCTCTCAGGAGATGCTCCCGCTGGGAACTGTTGTTCGGCTGTAACCGTGTCGGCCCAAGGCAGCCATTTGCATTGCTGGATATCGAAGAAATAATCATATACAGAGCCACGCTCTGGCAGAGATGGTTCGATCCTCTTGAAATGTTCGGTGTTCTCAACCTCATTTGTGAGTAATCCTCGTAGTGCGGCGTCGAATATCTTGCGACTCTCTGTCGTACCTATGGGCATCAAGAAACGAATTCAAACAGTCCTAATGAGTCCCCGCAGTGCGAAGGTCTGAGCAGCTCATTGGCGAGGTCATCTTACATGAAGCGCCGAGACTCCAAATAATAGAGAAGACCGTGAGGCAGTCGATGATGTTGGTCAGTGTCGAGTCTACTTGGCCTTCATACTCTTTCTCGTCACTCAGAGGCTTCAGCAACGTAGAGAAGAGTTTCTGAAAGTTCCACTCAATTTCTTATGACCCTCGTGACACTCACCAGATAAGACTGTACGCAGTTCTGTTCCTGCGTGGGGCTAACCTCGGAACATTCGAGCTTAAGCGTACGAAGGAGCGGAGGCAACAGCCATTTCTGCATCCCATCTGCTTCCTCGATTTGCTCGCTCTTGAATGTTGGAGGAAGGTCCTCTTTGAAGGACTTCTTCACGAGGTGTTCGTAGCCCAGAATATGCGGTTCGAAGAAGACCATACCGTTCCGGGAGATAGTAGCAGGAGAAGCCACTTCGACATCCATGGGTTCAAAGATCGTCCTCATGTTAGAGCTCATTGCTATGATCTCTCCCGAGTTCAGACACAGCTTCTTGTTCTCGTCCATAACAGTGTTCATATTCTCGATCCATACAGCATCGACTGGACCGTCAAACACAAGCCATTTGCGCTCGTCCGTCTGGTTCTTGGCGAAGTTCCTGAACAACACTGCCACGATACCATCGGTCCACTCATGAGACACTTCATCAAAGTCGCCGTATAGGCAGCCGGCTGGAATCGACTTGGGATTGAGCCTAGCCTGGTGAACGATCTGGCCCTTGTGCATCTCACCGCTCTCGGCCAGGTCGGTGAGGGCTGCCTGGAGGATGTTGAGAGCCGTAGTCTTACCGCTGAACGGGAGCCCCACGAGCATCACTGAATGACGCACTATGTGGCATTCATAAAACTGTATAATCTTATCGACAAGATAGTCGATCCATTCGAGATTGTTTTTCTCAAAGTGCATCCTGAGTTTGCTTATGAGAGCAGTATAATCAGGCTGAGGCAGTACCACTCCGGGGAACAAGTCGGAAGTGATCCCACGGAACAGGGGCACGTCGAAGGCCAGGAACTTGGCAAGATTCACATCGTTGATTGCTCGAAGCATGAGAACGGACTCAGACTCGGTACCGTATTTGCGCTTAAGATTACCTGCTGCGACCAGCACCGAGAATACAGCACGCATACCGTAGTCATAGTGACTCTGTGAAGAGAGCTGCTCAGAACACAGCTTGTAGGTCGTCACGATTTTCCGAGCCAAGCTCCGAGAGTCTTCGAAGCCGAAGGAGTAGAGCTTGATCTCAGCAATCATCGCATAGTCGGGAACCATCATAGCCACAGTACGGAAGAGTGCTTTAAGGTTGTCCGGCAGATCTGATCGACCAGCATAGCCAGGGTTCATGGTGATGAAGCTGTTGCAGGTCCACTTGATGGGAAGGATGCAACCCTCGAATTCGAATTCAGTGAGCCGAGCTTTGATAGCAGTTTGTATGGTGAGGATCTGCTGAGCTACAACTGAGAGCACTTCGAGGTCTATGCGATTAAACTCGTCGAAGCAGCACCAACCACCGGTGGCTGCGAGCCCTTTGAAGAACTTCCCCATGGCGATGTAGTCGAGACCATCAGAACAATTGAAGACCACACACATTCTGGCCAGCGCCTTGGCCAGATCCTTCACAGTCTCGGTCTTGCCGGTACCAGCAGGTCCCTCAGGGGCTCCACCGTATTGAAGATGGAGCGCCCCGCAAAGGGTTCGATAACACCTGTCGGTGAGGGGCGTGATGATTAGTCGAGACGAGTTGCCCAGGGCTTCATAGCCGTAACCAAGGTGAGAGTTGGATATTCGCACGAAGATATCATCAACGTCGCCCTTCTTATCAGCGTTCTTCTCTACGAAATACCGCAGCTGCACCAGCCAATCGAAGTCATCCACCGAGGAGAGTCCCTTGTCGTGCAGCTCCTGGACAGTGTCCTTGTTATGCACGAAAATGACCACAAGAGCCTCCAGCGTGCAACGCACAAGAGGAGGAATGTCACCTCGCACCAAGGCGACTATGTCCTGCAACAAACCGTCCATCTTCTGATAGTATTTCCCAAGACCAGCATTGCCTCCTGAGCTGAGGGCCTCCATGACCTCGGAGGTCCAGAAGATGTTACCGACTGCGATGACCACCTGCCCCGGCCACAACGCCAGCCACTCAGCATAGGACTTCGTCGGGTAGTCCGCTATAGAGTCGAAGATGACCGCACGGATGGTCTCGAGCATCATCGATTCCAACTGGACCAACCACTCCTCCACGTTACCGCGGGCCAGCACGGGATCAACCACGCGAGTAAGACCGATCCGCTCCTTCTCCACGGAGAGCATAGCAGTAATCTTCTTGTCCTCTTGGAACTCCAGAGATTGAATACCTTCGAAAGCCTTGCGTAAATGAGGCTGTACTCTGACCGGGACCTTCGTCTCTGACAAGATTTCCAGCAGTTCATCGTTGGACAAGAAAAAGAACCTGGGGAACTTCAACCGCTTGGCTTCGAGATAGTCATTGAGGCCCTTTTGGACCCTTTCCAACTGTTCTTGAGACTTCTCCAGGGCAGCCAGCATGCCCTCCTGCTTGAACACATCTAATGCTGCTGGAGACTCTCTCGACTTCTCCATTATTTTTCTCCAACGAGTGTCGACATCCTTGAACAAGGCGCCCTCACTGGGGATCTGTCGCATGATGTCCTCAGAGCCAAAGATAGGTTCCAAGTAAAGCCAAACCCCTTGGACTTTGATCCACACCTCGATCACACTAGTTGCTTTCATCAAGAACTCTTCCCACTCAGCGATGCCATTAGCAAAAGGCTGCGCTGAAGGGCTACCTTTCATAGTCTGGGTCTTGATAATGTGGTCGTCGATCAACCCCTGGACCTCGTCGACAGTACCACCAGAGAGGATGAACGTGCCCGTCTCCTTCCATGGCTTGAAGTCGCAAGTCACTGGTTGCCATTCGGTCTGTTGGCTCTCAAGGGAGCGCTCAATTTGGTACTCCTGAGAAGCCCTGTCACTGATGTCGGTCAGCTCTTTTGCGTAGGCGACTATGTCCATATCGAGCATCTTCTGCAGAGTAGTTGTCTTATCTCTAGCTATTGTGAAGCCAATTGCTGAGGATATCTCCGCCCAATGCCGGTCTCGCAGACCCGGATTGCACAGAGCTTGTATCAAAGGTAGATGCTTCTTCACTCCATCCAAGTTGCTCTTCACAAACGCCGCAGCCTGAAAACACCGAGCGATTCATCAAGACAGCGTCTTCATCAACCGCTGAGCCTCACCTTCATAGGAGCTGTCCTGCCGTCCTGCTCAAACGTCGCCTGCAACTTGTAGGCACTTCTCCACAAGCTCATAACGTCCGACTCCACAGTTTCAGCATCAAGTTGGAACATACCTCGCTTATACCACATATGCTCCTTCGTACCGTATTCACTGACTAGACTCCACAGCTTATCGTAGACCTCAAGCTCAGCCTGGCACTCCTCCAAAATGCCAAACTCAGTTACTTCCATCTTCAGCAAGGCTTCTAGAGAGTTGATTTCCTCTCGTAGGCTACTGTAGTCAGCCATCTTTTGCTTCAAATTGGCGATACGTTCACAGTTCTGATCTGCTGCATTGACATCCCCATGCTCGGCAAAGCGTTGGATAACCGTCTTGAACGTCTCCAGTTCCACGATGGCCTTGTCCCGTCGTCCCCCGAGCGCCTGCTCTATATCGTCCCTGCAGAACTCGATCTCCTCGACGCGATCCGAGACAAGCTCGGTTATAGTCGCCAGTCGAATACCAGACTCGTGAACCGCCGTTAAAGTATCGGGCGGGACGGCAAAGTCGCATTCATACAGGACGTCGAGCCATCGTCGAATCTCTCCATACTCGTCCTCGTAGGCTTCCTGCCCTCTATCGAAGAAGTCGTCCAAGTCCTTTTCGATGTCTATCAAGGCCTGTTCCGACTCCGGGACCTCCTTGAATCGCTCCTCGAGTTCCGCGACATTTGCAGTGAACTTCCGACTGCGCTCTCTCACGCGATCGTTGAGGGCTGCAGTGACAATAGTGACGCACTCAGACGCCTGCTTGCAGAGATGTTCATTGACCTAGAGCAGGATCATAGCACGGACCAGATGAAGCTTGGCTCACCTCCGAACAATCCGTAGCCATCATAGCAGTCCGGAGTAACGAGCGACAGTTGTCCTCCACACTGCGTTGAGCTTCTCGCATTTTCCGTATATATCTGAGCACATCGTCGCAAACCGCCAGCGTACTGCTGTCAACTTACTCTATTATGGATTCGGCCTTCACCGTGGAGCCTGGTTGCTTTTCCTTCGATGACAGGTCCGGTATCTGTGCTATCCGCAAAGCCATCTCTTTGGCTCGGCCGACCTCTGTGAGCAAACTAAGATGCGGTTCGTACCTGCATCGCGCGAACCACAGGCTAATGTGATCTATGAATTCCATGGCAACCTACATGTCCGAGACTGTCCCCGCCGCCTCAAGGCACGACGTCACGACATCTTCCAGCCTCTTGAGCAGGGAAGCTATATGACTCTCGCTGGAAGTGACCTAGACAGGATACAGCTTCCACGATTCTTCTGCAACTCACGCTGTGCTCACCTCGTATAGCATAGTGCGATGCTGAGATGACTCCTCTGCCGCCGCTTCTAGGGTCGATGCAGGGCCCTTCATTTCGTTCAAGGCGATAACGACATCTTTGTACAGCCTCGTCAAGCGCTCCTACAGCCGGTAACATTGCGAATCGTCTCCACTAGAAGACCCTCTCACGTGACAGTAGTCCCCGGCATGTTTCAATCTGACCTCGCTACCGTCAACGACCAGCATGTTCAGTAGTAGTGCCCGGGGTTCGTCGGCTGTTTTGTGAGGGAGGTGTGCGACCTCAGGATACCTAGAGCGGGCCATGGTCAAATCGGCGTCATCGAACTATTTTTAAAACGCTCCGAGTGAGCTGGTTGGGCACTCACGTCAATGGGGTGGTGCCACGAGGGCAGAAGCCTTCGAAGTAGGCGAGGAACTCGGCGCAGCTTCGCTCGACCACTGACCTTATCTGCCACCACAAGGTAAGGGGAGTAGGATATTTTCGATTGAGGTCCTACCATGAGGCTCATGAGGTGAGTCGACGCTTCTAGCAGCCGATCAGGATTGCAACTCGGCCATACAACTCCATCGATAGTGGCAGTTGCCGGGACTGTCGTTGTATTGCTCCTAGCGTTAACACCTACACTAGGTCATAGCCACCGACAAAGCCATCTCGACGACTCACCCGTCGTGGCTTCCCCTGAAGGTGGTAGTGATGTCACTCCGTCGGGCGACTGAGCCACTCCCGAGACCGCAAGGAGAGTCGGCTCTTGCTTCACGAGCTCCATGGCCTTAGCGTGCCATTCTTCTGTAATGCACTTGACCTTGGTCTCGAGATACCTCAGCAACAGTAGCATGACGACGAGTGAGATCGAACAGAGGCTGAGCTACTGCAGTTGTATGAACTGGGCTCTTTCAATGTCCACCAGGTCCCTCTGCTCTCCAAGACCGAACAGGCTCATCTGAGGCACTCAAAGGTACTCCCGAGGATTCTCATCGTCAAAGGTACTCACTTCGCCGTAGTGCCCTTCCGACCACTGCTGAGTCAGCCGAGTGCAAAGGAACGTTGGGGCGGCGAACTTGCCGTCGTTCAAGGAGGCTCGAGACTGCGCAACAAGCTGTCGCCAACTATCCGTCGGAGGCCCTCCAAAGGTCTTGATGTCGCCCACCTACAGGCAAGGGAATACTCAGCGACGAGCCAGAAAAGATTCTCACCAAGAAGGCATTGACCCCAAATGGAGGTGCCATCGGCGATGGTGTGAAAGGTATGTTAAGGCGCCTCCTCTGGAAGATGTAACGCAGGTTGTAGTCCACAATGCCCTTCCTCAGAGCTGTGATGTAGGTGTTGATGACCTTACGATGACATAATAATAAAGCCAAGTGACGGAAAGGGACTCACCTCCTCCTCTATCTGGTGCATACGAGTGTTGTAATCGACATCCGGCCATAAATGCATCTTGCAGTCCATCTCGGCCTTCAATCGCGTGAGGACCTCGCCCTCGATGGGACAGAGGTTGTCCAGGGCAATTCCTGAGCTCCTCGAACAACTTCCCGCGTAGTAGTTGTATCTAACAACAGAATCGTCCTCGTCGAAAGAGAACGAATGTCCCACCTGGTGAGGATGTTGTTAAACACAGGCCCATCCACCAGCCATCTTCGCAGCGTTTTCTCGAAACGGGAGCCGGAGGCGACTGGCCGCACCGACCGAGAGGCTTCCTCCAGCTGTGCTGGTAGGGGCGGGGGGACCAAGTTGTTCCAGAGTCTGCGCTGCAACCTCTCATTCATAGTCAACTGCCTCTCCATTGCTCGCCAGGCATCAGCCTTATGCCAGGCCCACCTGGAAAGATACTCCTATCGCACAACATGCATAGTGGCTCACGTCAAACCGATCTTCCTTGGACGAGTATCCATCTCGAGCAGAGTGGCCCACGGAGGGGCATGATAGGAACCAATCTCGGCCACCAGGGAGGGGCGGACCAAACTGTCCTTCAACCTGCATAGGGCACATTATAATTTCGTCTCGGAGGTGGTCACACAACATTCGCAAGATACTATGATGAGTTCTTACGAGGCAGCCGGTGTCCTCGAAAAAATGTCCAGTAGTGGAGGCATGTCGACAACTCCCGTAGGAGCCTTCGGCGTTTCCTCACGGGTTATATCACGAAGCAGTAGCGATCGCATGGCCTTCGGAAGCTGGCCACGACCAACAACTACGCATAACACTGTATGGACTCGAGGTTCGAAGGCTCCCCACCTAAAGTGCCCAACGTCTTTTCATCGATCCTGGCAGGAGCTGAGCCCTGCACTGACAGGCTGGGCTTCTGGTTTCGGGGAGACTCTCGGTCCTTCAGCTTGCGGGCCAGACGGCGCGTCTTCTCCCTCATCAAATGCCGTATGGTAAAGTCCTCCTTATGGAGACTTTTGATATCAATGCCACGTCGGCGGGAAGGCGACTCAGCCAACCTATACCTTGGAGGGGAGCAAGATCCTCGCTGTTCACCACCGAAGCCGATGCAAATTCGAGTCCAATATTTCGGATCGTCATCAGCTGGAATGATGCGCCCCCACCTACTTTTCCACAAGGGGATCAGATGTCTCTTGGAGGGCCACGTTGGCATAGTCGTGTTCAATAGCCTCAAAAGCGAGGGAAGCCGTAGTGGAGTCTATGGAAACAGGAAATCACTGTTCCCATCGACGGTGACGGCCTCACCTATGGTCAGCCGGCCCACTGGATGAAAGTCGATATCCACTGACTGTTTCTTGAGAGCTGCTGAGCATATATATTCCGAGGCCTTGCCGAAAAATGTTGTGATGAATTTTGCAACCTGGCCACGACCATCAGCGCCAATAACCCCAGGATACGGAATGAGAGGACGACGGAGCGATGCAAGATGGTAAGCTCACCAGTTCTATATCCCCAAGGCCAGCAATCTTATCAACAGCATGCTTATTGATACCCTTATGAGGCCCTCTAGGAGGATCAACCCGCACACCACGGCCTGGACTCAGTTTTGATGTCCGTTGAGCCTCCTTGCTGATCCACAGCACCGGCTTTGGGCGAGTGAAGGCCGAGTCAGATCCCAGGATAAGCGTATGGGATGGATTCAAGACCACGGTGAACCCCGCTGCCACTTCTCTCGCTATGTACACACAACTAGCCTGAAAACACTACCCTGCCAACAACCTGCGATCAGGGCACTCACCTTGAACATTCGGAGGATCATGTCAGGACCCTCCGTGCCATCCTCGTTAGGGTCCGAGTCGCGGCCAAGCTCTTTGTAACTGATGACCAACAGAATACCCATGTGGGCATCTCCAAAGACGAATCCACGTACGTGTCATTAAGGATATGCTCAGTGCTAATATGACTTCGCCATTCACTTGAAGAGGGACGGAGACTCCCCGATCGGCGTCTTTCCATCCCCCCTTTGCTGCTCCCCGATCCACGTCGACTGTTCTCTGTTGTTGATGATGCTGCTGGTGACACTGGTGGTGATGACATCAGTGACACGTCTCATAGACTGCGATGATCGAGTCGTCCCACCTCTACTGAGTCCATCAGCGATCCCCTATCTGGAACCCCCCGAGATTGACAACAAGACGCACGACGCTAGCACTAGTCTAAACATCGGCAGAGTGCCGGTAGTGAAATTTGTAAACGTAAAGCAGCTCGCCACGGACCTGCCGTTCTCCAACACACTGTCCCACACAGCCAAGTTCCTCAAACAATAGACACACTTCACTAGGCCTATTCTGCTTCTCCAAGAGGAAGTACAGCACCGGCCGGATCGACTCCTCACTATGCTGGAGCAGACGAGCAAAGACAGGGACCTGCTGCCCAGACTACTACAAGACGCCCAAAGCACCCAAGCCCACCATTCGATCGATCACTTCGCGGCCTTTAACTCCACCTGCCCAGCTAGCCTCGATCCCCTTCGACCGGCACTCCTCAGGTGGTGACGGAACCTGAGCCGAGCAGGGCTATATCAGTGCCGGCAAGGGGGAGCACTGACATATGGAGGGTTGCAGATGATGATGTCCGGTCGGTACCGCAGCCATCGAGGGCTCTGATTGAAGTCCCCAAGCACCACATGGACCTAAACAGGGATCCAAGGGCACACAAGAGGGCCTGTGCGGACCTTCGCCTCCACACCGACAACTTTTGCTGTTCTCAGCGTAGCCTCGCAGGCTCGTCGATTCACGTCAATCGCTACTGAGTGGGCTGTTACTCCGACAGACTCCATAGCTCGAACCAGATAGGCCGACAGGACCTGTCCATCCCAGCAGATCACCGCAGCAGTGGTGGGACCAGCTCACCCCACTCCCAGGGCCGACTTCCAGGATACATGCCCTCCCCGGCCCACTGCCCGCATCACTCATCTTCTCTACCTCTTCATGCAGGACATCAAGGAACAGGTACCTGACCAGTCACCAGACTCCAGGGCTGACAGTGCCGACCAAAGGCCTACGTATCGTCGCTTGGAGGGTAGAAGGCCACCCCACTATCAGGATCACTGTCCCCAACCTCGAACAGCTCCTGCGAGTTCGGGGAGTAGACCTTCCCAGTGGAGACCATCGAGCTAAACAGGCTACTACCAGGAGACTGCAACAACGTTCCTTAACCGAAGGGAACGCAACAGAAGCTCTTTAAGGCACACCCTTTCGACATGGGACATAGTCCCAGTGGTGACGATTGTCATGATGAATAAATCCGTCACATTCATGACGGTCTTCTCAGCGGCATTTCCCGGCGGCAACTTCACGCCTCATTCGCTTACAGGCCTACTACTACTACCACTACGATCAACGTTCCTTCCTAGGAGGTCAACCTCGAAGACGCCCACAGCCACCGCGGGTAGCCCCGACTCTGCCACGTCCATCGTAGATAGCATGTACCTGAGCCCAGCCCTGAGACCATCCTACTCCCTCTTCTTGACTGTACCTCTGGGAAGGTCCAAGGCACAGCATGAGCCTATAGGGCTCCTTATCGCCGCCCAGGGCAGCACTGACAGCATCAGCACTGGGGACGGTAGCGTCTATGGTGTACAGCCTCCAGTTGGAGTGTACCCCAGACCTCGACTCGGGATGACTAGCAGAACCTTCCAGAGGCCCTACTACTCCCAGGGACTATCACACACCTACTTGCTGTGATGCGGCCTTCCATGCTCAGTCCTCCATCGTTGCCAAGCACCTTGGGCCCCTACACACCACGACTTGCTACAGCACGTCCCCTACCAGACCAGGGCTCACTTCCCCATACAGCTCCTCATCACAAGCCAGCATCAGTTCGAGCCCCTTGGACTCATAGCCTGGGGTCTGCACTCCACTGAATAGAACACATCCATATCATCCCTCCTCACTGCCAGAGCCCTACTCCAAGACCTTCCCCGACCCGTCCCCCTCCCCAACTGATGGACGATGGAGCTGAGCGAGGCCACCAGGCAAGTACCATAGGAACAACTAGCGCTCGCCTCTCACCAGCACAGCTCGCCAACACTCCACGTTGCGGGCGTTCCAAATGTGAACGACCAACTCTATATTCTCTGTGCCACTCACAGCTACCCGCTGTACTTCTGCCGATACGCTGTCCGTCGCCGAGCTGGGCCCAAGGGTTCGACAGAGTCCTATGGGGTCGAATCGGCTTCCTACCCCCGACGCCCCATCCCCGTATACAGCTTCATCAGAGCCTCCATCTCCTGGCCAGGCGCTGGTGGGAACAGGTGCACCGTGCTGCCAGAACAGCAATGACGACAAGCAACAGCCCATAGCGACCCACTCCTCGCTGATGTACGGCGCGTTGCAGGGCCGGAACGCAGCCCGGTCCTCACCCACTGCAGCAGCAACGTTCTCACAGAGTAGAGGGGTCAGCTGAGGGTAAGTTGGGTGATGTCATTACTGCGAGGCTACCTCTTCCCGGTCCGTCTCCAGCCGCCCAAACAAGCCTGCCCGCTCTAGTGCTTCCCCAGAGAGGCAGCAGGGTTGGGAGTTGAGCACTGCCGTGTGGTAGCCAGTATCTGCTATGGGAGGTGGAGGGCCGGCCGGGGCCGAGAGCACTCCCTACAAACATCCCAGACTGTATTGGGGAGAACCCAGTACATCGGGTGGTGCTTGAGCGCCGCTCGGCAAAGGGACGAACAACTATCCAAACTCCAATCGCACTTCGATGAGTATTTCACTGGCAGGGCCTGACAGCATCGTTCACCCCTGGACAACAACTCACGAGCCTACCGGAGTCGACTGCAAGGCCTCACTACACTGACTCTGAGAATTGCAGGTGCTGCAGAACTCAAGGAGGAGACCGTACCTTCAACAACAACGACCAGCTTGTGAACATCTCAACGCAGTGCGAGGCGAATATGAAAATACGAAAATTCCAATGAAATTTTGAGAATTTATTATTGGTTTCTGTACACTTCTACCACGAGTCCTGTATTAGCCTCGATAGTTAGTGAGGAAACTGCTGAGCTCAGCTGAAGATAGTCAACATATACTCCAATACATCAGGAAAGCAACAGAAGGTCTCAAGGCAGGCCGTAGGATGCCGCAATAAACTCGGTAGTTCTCACCCGTCACTGCCCTCCATCGCTCGTGGCACGCATGCACCAGACTGTGGCGATACATGGCAGGTGGCCTTACACGACCTCGACGTGCAAGGTAGGTACCTACGACACGCAGTCCAAGCTCGCTGGCCCACAGGGGCATCACTTGGGGTCTAGGAATGCAGCCTTAGGGAAGGTCCCATCATGACCGTCAGGAATAGGTGACGGCTCGCCACCCTCAGTTACCACGCTAGTCGATCCCGCCACATATAGGCTTTGGGTTGGGACCTCACAGTAGGTGTCTGGTCAACGACAAGGAGATGGGAGCCGACTCCCAGCACCAGCCCAGTGTCACCACAGAAGGTGTCAATTTCCCCCACTCGATCGGTCCCGTTCACCCTAGTCCCCGAGAGTGCCAAGTGAAGCAGTCTGTTGGTGAAGCATCTCGACTCGACCACCTACAGCATGGAGTAAGCCCCCCCCACGATAACGAGCAAGCCTACCCCAGGACCAACACTAACGTCCGGGCCGCACACCATAGGGCAGAGCTTCTCCGGATGAGTAACATCGCCCGCGCCTAGCAGACCCAGAGGAGGGATACTTTCGGGGTGATCGAAGACGCCATGCTCCGACGATAGTAGCCGGTGAACCTCGGGATTGGACAGCGATAACGAAGCTAGGCCAGCAGCAGAGTAAGCCTGACCAGTATAGACCCAGTGAAGGGGCACGACAGAGAGGAAGAGGCCACGTACCCATCGAGCTCTATCAATAGCTTCCTGAGTGATGCCGGCCAGTGTCGCCTGCCTTCTCCTAGGGTCCATCATAGCTATGCTGCGCACGTCTAGAGAGCCCCAACTCCCCGACGATACCGGCCCACTCAGCTCAGCTGAGTTCTTTCCAAGCATGGCAAGGACCTATGGGAGGAGCTGTGCTGTCGGCCCATACTTCTGACTGGCACACTACTATTACTACTATTACTACTCTCACTACTATCACTACTACTACTATTGCTACTACTACTACTACTACTACTACTACTACTACTACTACTACCTGCTCCCCTATTGTGTTACCATCGCGATGACAGTCAACCTTCGCTGCAGGCAGGTCTTCGATCGTACTGTTGAGTAAACGCTGTAGGAAACTGCTGACACTCTCCTGTGTAGGCCGAAGCCTCGATCGGGAGCAGTGGGCCGATACAGCCGCTAGTAGTATAGTCAGCCTCATACAAAGTGATGAATAATCTACAGGAGGCCGTAATATACACGAGTCATCACCAACACAACATGGCGAGAGTGGCACATGCCCAACCGGCAACTCATGAAGCCCTTGGGGAGAAATGGCAGAGGAAAGGTAGGCCTCTGAGAAAGTGGACTTCCCCAATGACCGCAATCCCCACCCCCCTTCCTCCGCCCTGCATGATGGAGTGCTGTATCGCCATGGCCACAATACACTCGAGCAATACCTGTCACACACGGCACGCGACCCCACACTACAGTGAATTGCCACAACCCAACCGAGCCAGCACTTCTCTATAGAATCTCTCTCTGCACTCACAGCACAGATTTTACATAACAGCTGGAAGGTCGAGTCATGTGCTCAGGCCTGAGGCAGTGCTACTCAGATACCCCCGTGTCAAGGCTTCTCAGTACGTTCCACAATGGCTAGGAAGGCACTACTTCTTCCTGTAGACCAGCCGGAACCCCCTTACTCGCTCGATGCGGCTCCGATCGCACTGTGTTCATGGGCTCAGTGCATGCCCCTTTGTTATTATGATGAAGTGGAGGGTGAAACAGAGCACCAATATCTACCGTCCTTTCCTCCAGTACTGCTTGGCAAGGTCCCTCGACACTCCTAGGGAGCACATCTTCCAGAGGAACAACAGAGAACGCCCACGGTAAATGCGCCGACAAAAGCGCGCGCCCCAGAAGAAGAAGAAGAAGTTGAAGCAGCAACACAACATCGTGACCAGAAACGAGTATCACTACAGAGAAGCCAGTGTCTCTAAAGCATCCCGAAACACTCTAGCTGGGGCCTCGTCCAAGTGCCCAATTGAAAGCATCTTCTCTCTTAGCGCACTGCCAAGATTCGTGTCACTCGAGGTCTTCGCCACCCAAAGGACCACCGAACAACAGGCCTCTGCCGCTCCCTGAGAGGACAGGACACTTCCATACCAACAGAGTCGTGACCGAGTCGGTTACCTCGTGCTCACGTATGTGCTCATCTACCATCATCGACCATACCCTCCTTACCAAGGGCAGACCATCAAGCCCACACAACAGTGAGAAATATCTGAGGGGCTCTAAATACGACGACAGTATGAGGTCCATAGGAAGTCCTACTCTGCTGTGTAGTGCCCTGGTGCACTGTGCCGAGGGGTCTGGCGGAGCATGCGGCCCAGGAAACTCTCTATTTGGGGGTACTCTCGGGGAGGAAGCTGCTGGATGAGCCACCCGAAGTGGGACCAAGGATAATAGGCAAAAGCGTGCTTCAGAGCCTGACGAAGGCGGGCCCTCAACAAGCAGGTAAGAAGCACCCTTGACCTTACCACAGCTTCGATGAGGTCGACTTCCGAGGGAATATCCCAGCGCTCTACAGGCATGGTATGGAGGACAGACTCCCTGAAACTCCAGGCGTCCCCTCCGGCCTTAGGGTGGGCTAGCAGGCTCAATCGGGTGACTGATAGCAACTGGAAAGGATAGTACTCTAACAGGAGGGACCGTCTATTGCACGCTACCAGCTGAGTTCTGTCAGCGTCTGTGCACGCCGGTGCAAGGCAGGACCAAGCATCGGAACAATCAGGGAATGTGAGAGCTGCTATGGCAGCATAGGGTAACCTCATCTTGGCATCATCGCTCATCAGTCCTCCGCGGCAGTACCTATAGGACGGAGCCCCATAGGACGCCATGTGGACCGGCATACCCCTCACCGATGGAGAGGAACAAGGGTCTTCATGGACACAGCCACATGGCCTTCAGAACACAGCAGCCCTCTGTCAGTCTCATCAACACCTCCTATGAGGTAGTCGTTCACCACTGGCAGTATCGTAAACTAAAACCCAGTTTGGTCTATAGACATGAGCACTCCCTGGCCTCACCTCACGGACCCCCTCGGGCTTATTGAGCTCCCCCCACAGCTCATCAACCATCCCCTGTAATGGCTTCTCATCTACTGCCGCACATTCCTCCAGCATAAGCAAGTCTAATACCACGTCCCCTCCGTACTAGTAAACTCAACACTGAGTCTGTCAAGAGACCACCTATGGTAACATAGCATCACATCATGTATGGGAACTCCATTTTATGCAGATGTAGAACATCCTCCGTCCCGAAAGAACCCTGACGACCCCGACTGCGCACTGTTGGGAAGTGTATTCCTACCCATAAGGGCCACCGAGGAGGAGTGGTCGAATACTGGGGTATAGCCGCCTTTCCCAAGGGGCACACCGGACTGGTCTAGTGACATCCCCATCTATCCATCCAGGCTCCGTATTACGGAGTAAGGTAGTGGCCACTGATCACACGGGAGAAAGCAGTACCCTATTTGCAACCTCCGGCCATATCTGCCTCTTACATCGCGCCGACCAGGACAGACATCCACCACGGTTAGGGACCGATGAGCATGCAAATATATAGGTCTCATCGCTCTCAGAAGAGCCAAGAAAGAGCGATCACCCTGGCATCCTAGGTAGCTCCCCTTACCATCCCAAGGTAGTAGTACCAGTGTACAGTTCCGCCATTAAACCAGTCGTCGCCCACAGCCTGTGGACCACGGGTCTACTGGTGAGTCCTAGGAAGGGTTCTTAAGGACCTCTAAAGGCCTGCCTGACCTCTCAAGCCAATCTAAGATCGGTCTAGGGGGCAGTAACCATCCAGCCATGATGATCTTATATATGCACAGTCCAGCCTGCACCTCTAGGGAAGCGTTTTCGTTGCCCCTGGACGATGGGTACAGATCCACCTATACCCTCCTACATCGGTATAGGTGTTCCCTCATCCTCACCATGCGATGATGTTGTCGGCGAGACCTAACCTCCCCCAAGGCAATACACCCATCCTACGAGTAGTGCCTAGCAGCAAAGCATCGTCGTAGGCGGTAACTACTTTGGGACTTTCCCTTCATCATTTTAATAGCGACTATTCCGCCAGCCCCTTTGTTCTGAGTTCTCAAGACACTACGCTAGAGACCATCAGCAACCAACTTCCGCATTCTACAGCCACCCATGGTCAATTTGACTGTACATTGGGCCTGTAACTGCTCCTTAAGGGGCACCTTAAAGAAGGCCTTCCGAAGTTATAAGGACGTGCTCCTTCCTTAAGGAAGGCCTCCTGAGTTACAGGCCCATTATTACCGGCACTAACATCAGCGATATACTACTGAGCTGGAGTTATCCACGCTGCATTGGAAAGACGATTCATTCAGTCCTAGCGACAATGACCTCGTAGAAAGCTTCTGTAGCCATTCTAAGACTACTATCTAACGTTACAACAACACCGAGGAAGTTCCACTGAAGTTGCCGCCACGAGTGTTGCCGCCTCAGGGCGCCCACTGTTGCCACAACCCAGCAAGGTGTCACTCTAGCATTACACAGGAATTATATCCTCACAGAAGAAGCGTTGCAGTTTAACCCCCTAAGAGATATTTGAACGTTGCTTTACGAAAAGCGCCAAGTCTTGTTGTAATCCTTCCCGAGGTCGATCCTGCGCAGAGCTAGCTTAAATCGATCAGTTGATCGATATGATGGTAGAAAATCCCACGGCGCGGTCTATATCAGTGGAGTCTCAGCCTTAAACCATGCCCCACTCCTTCGGTCTTAGAGCGCGTACCCGCGATAAGTTCTCCAAGGGCTTCAGGGAGAAGGGTCTTCCCAACCTTACCCGCTACTTGACCCCCTTCAAGCGTGGTGACTTCGTTGACATTGTTGCCGATGCCTCCATCCAGAGGGGTATGCCCTACCAGTTTTACCACGGCCGTACTGGTGTCGTCTTCAACGTCACTCAGAAGGCTGTCGGTGTTGAGGTAATACACCATTGAGACAATCCGTCGTCTACTTTCGCTTGCCTGTTGCCTATAGTGTTTTCATTTAGGTGACCAAGGTCGTCGGCAACCGTCAGCTCCGCAAGCGTCTTCATGTCCGTATTGAGCACGTCCGCAAGTCTCGCTGTAACGAGGCCTTCCTCAACCGCGTCAAGGCTAACGATGCCCTCAAGCATGACGCTAAGGTCAAGGGCGAGAAGGTCATCACTAAGCGTGAGACCCCCGGCATGCCCAAGTCCGGCAAGATTGTGAAGGTCGGCCGCAGTGGTGAGACCAAGGTCCATGTCTTGGAGGCTCTTCCCTACGTCGAGAACTACTTCTAAGCTGCTGTTGCTCAATGATGATATTGACGAAATTGGAGCGGGTCTCTTGCCGAGGAATCACAGGCTGATAAGCTCTTGTTGTGTTCATCATATCAATTACCCTTATGGTCTCTTATTATCCTCAGGGTCTGCACTGTGGGAGGATGTGTTCTGTTCCGCCGATTTCGATGTGAATCAGGACGTAAGGGAAAGCTTCAAGTTTGCCTTACGTCTGTGGTAACTTTTAGTGTGTTTCTACCGACTCCAACAACATGAATGAATTTTAGCGGGTGAACAACATGGGTAAAGTACACTTGATAGTAAACTTTAATAATAATCCACGTGGCAGTTGTTCTAGGCAAAATTATCATCTAGAACAGTGACTGAACAACTTCAGACTCAGGCAGTTGGGACAGTATGAAAGCAGTTGGGATGAAGCTAACTCTAGGACTACAACTATGGAATATTATAAGTATGATACATGATTAATAAATAAGATCAATAGGACTCGCACGGGGTGTGGACATCTCTGTTGACCCCAGTGTTGTTCAAGGCGTTCGGAAGCTCCTTGTTGAGGCACAGCTCCTCCTGGTCCTGAGCAGCCCGCCCGACCTCCAATGCCATCGCTGACCGATGGGCGAAATCACCGAACATGCTGTCTTCCTCTGCATCATCGTCTTCAGGCTCTTCCGTTTCGTATTCGTATTAATTTTCGTTCGTCTCCTCCCCCCTCCTCACAGTACTGGTCGCCGTCAGTGGATGAGTCCTCCCAATCCTCCATCTCCCGAGATGAATTCTTCGCTGTGCGTTCGCCATTCAGCTCGGCTGCTTTGGTCTGTCGGGATTTCTCCCAGCAATCATCGCATAGGTGATGGCCGCTGTGTTGCCGTCTTGACTACCGCAAACGTCACAAACTGACTCTTCTGCGGAGTTTATTTCTCACCGTAAATCGTCGTGAAGAAATGTTTTGCAAGCTAATGATTTCGGTGACACCCTAGGAAATTAGAGCGGGAAGAGTAGTGCAAGGTAATAGGAGTTCGCATTAAAACGCTGGCCGATGCTTCAATCAGAGTAGCCTACCACTCCTCGGTGAATTCACGCCACCTAGTATGAAGTCATAGACGACGCAATGGGACAACGGACTTCACTCCTCCGCTCTAGCGCAACAATTTTTATACTAGCACGGTTCTTTGGAGATGATTTTACTATGGGTTCTGGGTTCCTCTCTTGTTTGTTTGACTGGTTAAGGTCGATGAACGTCTCACTGGTGACTCGTATAATCTACCATGCTAGACTTTGTGTATAATTCTGTTCCCCGGTAGAATTAAGGACTTGTTTTGCACAGCATGTTGAGCTCCGTCGTGAACACTTCCGTATCTTGGTGCCAAGCTAACTTGCCTGTGAAAGCTGCCAGGGAAAGGATTCCCCTCGTTGATACGAGTCTGAGGCTAGCGGACGCCTATGGTATGCCTGTCGTTGTCGAGGTCGACTCCATCATTGATGCCGTTATTGACAAAGGCCACTCTTATGCTGTGGTGAGTTCCCTAGTGGGAGGTATGTATCATCCAGTTTATTCTCCTCAGAAGTCTGCGGTTGCGATGGAGGCGGTACAAGGCATGAGAGACTCCCTTTGGGAAAAGGAGAGAGACGTTAGAGATAAGGTTGACGACTTTGTTACTGAGAAAAAGAACGAGCTTATCAACGCCAAGCAGGTGGCCATCACTAAGGTTAACGATCTTTATCAAGTGAGTGCCATGGCATATCCCTATGAAATATATGTTGTAGTAATGTAGTATAATACGAAATATGATATTAATCTACTAGCGGATGTGTCCTCCTCATGACAGTGTTGAAATATATGTTCGTTTTCCTCAGTCTAGAAGTTTCCTCACTTTTTATACAAATTTGGATAGAAGTGTACAGGAATCAATGACTCCTCAGAATTTCCATATTGTTACCAACATGTATAGTTGACCATGTGCATATTCTCCCTCTTCCACACTGATCAGGTTGTATCCTCTACACTGTCGGAGATCCCCACCTGTGTCGATCTAGACAGTCGGTTGGTGAGAGCCGTCCTTGGCTTGAGAGACCACCTCCTCACTATCACTGCTAAGGGTGAGAGGACGCTCCTGTTTGATCCCAATGCTACTCTTTGGATTACGTTCAGGCTTGGACATGACCCTTGGTCACGAGAGACGGAGCCATCATCTTTGAGAGAGGCTCTGCTGCCTACGAGGGAGCTGCCGCGATGGTTTGGAGTTTCCTCGGAGTCCAAGGTTCTGCGGTGCCAATGCCTGCCAGCCCGACTGGGAGTAGTACTCAAGCCGCTACTGACAAGGCTTCGGAGACTAGCACGGTTGAACCGATGAAGACGGCGTTAAATGAGAAGGTTGATGAGAAGAGTTGTGATAAGGTTGAATTGTGCAAGCCTAAAAGTTCTAGTCTGTCACAGTAGGATTCAGTCTTTTTACTTAGCCCCCTTATTTTTTCTTGTAGCTGATACTCTGATGCACTAAGCCTTACTTGTTGCCAGTACTGTAGCATTTCTAGCATCTCTACTATGACCACGAGAGGCTCTGTCAGTTGTGGGGTGTCAAGACTGGCTTACGATAAAGTGTGGCACGACCCTAAAAGGGGTCGTTGGACTTTTGTCCAGCGGCATTTATCTATTATAGTCTCTCGCTTTTTCTCGCCGCTGCTGGGACTTCGTTGTTTAGGGCTACTCTGTCGTAGTAGTCGGGAGGCATCACCTTAGTTTTTTATGCGAGTGACCATTGAGGCGTCCGCTCTGTTGTCGTTCTTGATGGTGAATGCATATCCTCTTCATGCTGATAAAGTACTGCTATGGTCTTGCCTCCTACTGTACTTCCTATCGTGGAACAACATTGGAAGTTTCAGTTCAATTGCTGTGCTTGCGCTAGTCTGAAATTGAGGGGGAGCTGAACAGCTAACACTATCTGGTTGATATTACTCTTATTCGGACCTTCCCACTCTATTGCCGGCCACGTGGAGTTCATGTTACGTTCTTTCAATGTTTCATCACTAAGCCAACGAGGGGTCGGCGGTATGTCGGGGCTTGTAGGCCTGCTGCCTCTAGCGGGAAGGCGCTGGGTGAGGTCATCAGATCTAACCAGGCTGCCTCCTGTGAAGCCTGAGGACGCCTTCAATGATTGGAATAAGGACTTCAGTATCACCGTAAAGGAGGCTAAGAGGAGGTAGTGAACAGTTGCTGTCCGCTCCTGGGGCGTTGAGTTCTTGCCGAGATGATTTGACGCGGATTACCTCCGACTAGGTACGAGCTGCATGGTGTCAAGATACAGGGAAAATACAAACGACAAAAAAGGAAGCTAGTACTAAGACAAGTCGTGAAGGACATGATAGCTGTACATGGGAATAAATATGATTACTCTCTAGTGGAGTAGGCTAGTATTGACGGGCTCAGTATTGAGGTTATTATCAGTTACCACGGTTTGCTTACTGATGTCACTATTCGTTGCCCCGTCCATGGGAGGTTCAGGATGTCTCCTCAGCTACATGTGTGCGAGAGGCGAGGTAGTAGTGGTCCTACTAGTGTCTTGATGGTGGTACAAATGCGCTTGACAGTAGCACAGTCGCTTGGGGACAGACGAGTGGTAGAGGATAATAATGACACGTTGGGTTATCAGGATGCCCATTGTGTCAATTCCGTCTGGATAAGAATCGGTATAGGATGCAGGCCAGGCTTGAAGGAGTTTCATACGACGAAATATTCAATAGGGGAAGGGCCTTAGCCGACCCTACATCCCCTTATAATGTGGAGAGGGTCAGCCGGTAGGCACTGCCCCTCATTGTTTTTATGCCATTTTGACATGCCCTGCAGGGCTGACGCGAGGCTACTAGCAGAAATTATCGGACTTATTCCGGAAAGCAAGTCCTTCGTACTGATGGGTGATGGCGAGGACCAAGATACGGCCCGGATTCTCGTCAAGATGACCCTAGAGGCTTCGCGTCTCGGCAAGGAGTGGGAGGGCATCACCGCAGCTGTAGGGGTGCAGAGGTGCTTTAGGCACATTGTTGGTTTGTCGGTAGAGGATTTCGAGACCGCCCAGCACATAGCGCGATCAATACGGGCCAGTTGTGTCCAAGCCGGTGTGAACTCTGATAGGGCGGCGACAGTTCTACCGTACGAGGGCGCCATTCGGACGGCTCAGGCCGGCGATGCCTTCGTCATCTTCGCCACTGACCTGGTGAGACTAGAACGCTTGAGGGCTCCCCCAAAGGGGCATTATTGATGCCCTCGATCCTCAGCACGGCGTACTGGCAGTGGCCAGCTCGCTACTCCACAGACCCTGTCTCCCGATTGTACTGTGCTATCCGAATGAATTGAAGTTGAAGGAGAGGTTGATGGCTTCTCCAGCGATGACCACTGGGGAGGACTATAGCGAGGACGACCCGACCGCTTATGGTCGGCTGGCTGTTCTCGCTCAAATGGGATGGACGGTCGAGTCTGTGGTCGAGCCACCACTCGAGCAGGTTACGGACCCTCTCCCTGCTGAGGAGACCCCGGGAGAAGTGGCTACGCTTCCACCAGGGGAGAATGCTGCTGTTGAAAGGGAAACTCCCACCTGGTTGGAAATGCCTAAGAAGCAGAACAAAGGCGTCCTGTTAGCGGTAATCGAGCCCTGGTCGCCCTAGTGAATGACTGATCGCATCCCCCCTTAGGCGAGAGGATGGGTGAAGCCGGCTGATCCCGAGCCCTTCCATTACATTTTCGACACCGTGCTGTTGCTACGGCCTCGGCTACAGGAGGAGGGCCTGGGTTATGAAGACTTGGTCTTGGCTGATGCTGTGTTGCGTATGTGCTTTTCGGATGAACTATCTCGGAGTAGGCCTGTGGCTAAGTATGCCGGGAGGTAGTATTAGTAGTAGTAGTAGTAGTAGTAGTAGTAGTAGCAGTAGTAGTAGTAGTAGTAGTAGTAGTAGTAGTAGTAGTAGTAGTAGTAGTAGTAGTAGTAGTAGTAGTAGTCGTGGTAACGGGTGAGAATGGGCCCTGACCAATGATGTAGGCTCTGGCCGTTGGCGGATATGAAAGAAGTGTTCACCACGATAGGGAAGGATCTCAAGGCTCTTCCCGCCGACTTGGAACCTATGCATTGGGTACGCCTCATACAAGCCCTTGTGGAGTCGGAAAGACGCCACGAGGAAGGGGCCGATCAGAATGAAGACGAAGGTTCTGCTACATGAATGCTTGCATGTTTCGGCCACTCGTGGAAGCTTGTGTTGGTTCAAAGGGAATCCGCAGATCTGTTTGTCGTAGTCTCCTGATTCTGTTTGACATGTCTCGTCGAGCTGAGCGTGGAGAGACCGACTTGTCCCGTCCATTGGAGAGGAGGTCTAGGCCCTATGATGAGGAAGGTCGCAGGTATGCTCTGGGGGGCTTCTTATGAGCCCAAACCTGAACTACAACAAGTCGCTTGCGGGCCTCATGCTGATACGGTTTGCCTCATACGTAGGTCAGACTACCGGAGACCCCTGATGCCCCCTCCGGGTAACGACCCTAGAGGCCCCAGAGGCCTCCCTCAGCGTAGGAGAGGCATTGCCATCGACAGGTGGGGGAGTTCCTCCGACAAATCAGTGAGGCAGCGGTCTGTAATCGTTCAGAGCCCAGACATGTCCTTTCCTCCTTCGAGTCTTCTATCGTATGGGGTCTCATCACAATGACAGCGACTTTGCCAAACTTGGAGAACTGCCGGTTGACGAGGAGCTTCAGGTCTACACCTGGCCAGATGCCTCCCTCAGGGAGATCTCTGGTACAGTCCTCTAACCTCTTCGACGTCCCTCATGACCTCTCTCAGATTTGATTGAAGATATTCTGCCCGAGTCGCGTGGCCGTACGAAGAAGCTCAGCTTCAAGCTCATCTATCCGGATAGGAGTGGCCGCTTTGTGATGGCCAGGATCGGGGAGGTAATATCGAGGATGAAGTTGTGTGAGTTTCATGGCGCGCGAAAGGGACCTTCGAACAGGTTTTCAACAGCCATGAAGCGTTCCCTGATAGCCGTACATTAGCCGAAGTGAAGTTCCAGCCGGGAGACTTCCTCGATGTGGCGATACTCGACAACGAGAAGCTTACAGCCCCTCTTCCCGAGAGGCCCTCTAGGGGTCCTCGGAACCGTGGCGTGACCGGAGAAGTAATCGAGAATAAAGAAGATGACAAGAAGGGAGAGGAGTGATGCTACAGTGATGATAGGACGAACCAGTTTTGACCGTTATACGTAAGAGGTCTCATACGTTGATCCTGGACTTGTTGTTCCCCTCGGGTATTGGTCCTCTCTTGTGCTGGGCAGTAGCAGATTTATCATTTTCCCCTCGCGTTTTCTTATATGACATTTGATGCCGCTCGTCCGAAGGCACCGCCCCCCCCCCTCAACTTCACTACTATCTAGCTTACTCTCTCCGGCATCTGTTGAAGCGGTCTCCCCTTCATCGCTTGTTGATATAGTCGAAGACCAAGCTCCATCATCAATCCATACGTCCGACATATATGTCTCACAATGAGTTGAGATCCATCATAGTCTTGTCGTAGCCGCTCCCGCAAGTCCAACAACATCACCGTTAACAATCTATACATGTCTTGTCGAGATTCCCCTCCCTTAATAGATGGTCTCGGCCTGATCGCTACCAATGAGGTCTCATTGTATCAGGCGCCCTCTTAGCGTTCTTAGAGAGAATCTGGTGGATTCCAACGTGGCGGTCTGGAGCGGGCAATACGCCGGTCTCACACTAGAGGAGTGGGCTAAGCTCAAGGGTGTGCTCCTCGATGAATGTGCTTCTAATAGCCCGATTCTGACAGTTTGGTGACCGCTGGGTTCTATTGTCTGTTGAGAGCTACTGGCTGTCACGATGGAGAGAATCGCTTCAAACAACTCCAGAGGGTCGAAAACGTGGGAGATCTACTCAAGCACACACTGTTCAATCGACCTCTGCTCGTTTTAGCCATGCGAGAGGTCACCACATATCATTGGAGGTTCATACGAGAGCTGAATGCTTCTGGTCAATGCTCGCTTGCTTATCGGACTTGACCTCATCCATTTTCCCGGTGCTAGTCAGGACCTTTTTAATGAGCTTCCCGGAGCGCTCGAGGCCTGGCTCAAAGCTGAATAGATTGTCCTAAGATGATTCATGAGGATTATCATTCTTACGCACTACTTCTTTAGCACACGGATCTGATACCTTCCACCACTGAGAGCGCTTCCATGGTAGTCGGCATATTGGCGCCACCGAGTCTCCACCGTTCGCCTGCCTCTTGTATGAGGCGTCGGATGATCCGACGCCTACTCGGAGAAGAAGAAGAAACAACGTCCGACTCGGATCGGCACGTTGTTCCGACGGGGATACAGCGATGAGTCGTTGAACGTATGCTGAGTTGGAAAACCTCCTCGTAATGAAGGCTATATGCGTAATGCATAAGCATGAGGGAGGAAGCATTATCGCTCTCCAACAGAGTATGCTGTAATCCGCATAGGATGTTTGATTGGAGAGAAGAGTTTCACTCTATTATGATCCAACAGAAGCATCAAAAATAGTCTGCTCGTATCAGAACCACGTTGAAATAGATGGATGGGGGCCTCATCATGAGGCCGGCCTGACCGAGAGCATCGCCTCCTATGTGTATATAATTTTCCGTCGGAAGCGTCATGTACAGTCTAAGCTGTTGGATGAAGGTGATACCTAGGCGCCTTTATCCTCATATCTTTGGTCGTCGCCCGCCCGACCGTGTTGCTCTGTACTAACTCGTAGCAGCATGATCAATCAAGCAAGATTAAGCTTTGATTTCTCTCCTGTGGTTATGCTGAACGATGATCTCGACAACTCTCCCAACACGGCCGACGAGTCCGTAATGGCCAATGAGCATACCCTGGAGCCATCGAAATTTGGAACCCCGGCATTCTCCAGAACCAGTCCGGTCTGCTTAAGAGGAAGTCCGTTCAAGTATGATAATATTGCCAAAGCGGATGGCGGCGCAATCAATACCCTCAACCGAATGCAAAAACTCAGAACGATCCACTTGAGAAAACCGACTGTTCGACAAACAATCAACAACAATGAGAATGTCGAATGACGCTGCATAGTAGAAAAATGACTCAATTCTTATGAGTTACGAAATGTGCATCACTGACCATCACTGACGGTTTCACCCACGACTTTGTACGGGCGCGGTATCATCGCCTAGTTGAAAATTCCCCAGACCATCTGCTGAAAGACTCCTCCCTTCTAAGAAAAGGGTTGATTCTACAACTACACCAAAGCTAGAATGGCATCATATATACCGCAGACAGAGCCGATGAAGGAAATCACCAAGAGAACGCCAAGTCCTGTTATCTTCATAATCACTTGTCTCGAGCGCTCTTTGGGCTGCCGCAGAAGAACGAGACGGATATAAAAAATCGAGGGGAAGAAATTATGAATGAGGGAAAAGCAGACGGAGCCCAGAAGACCGACAAGACCCTGGAACTTGGGGACGAATATAGCAATGAGAACAGTGAAAGCAACCAAGCTGCTTCGGAGAACACACGACTTGACTATTTGATGTTCTTCAGTCCGAAGCGCAACCTCGACGATACGACTGACTGGATTCAACAAGACAGCGTAATGAGTTACGCATATTACTATAATGCTACATATACAAAGGTAAGCTGTTGGACCATAGGTACGAGTGCTCCCGGCCACAGCATCGATGAAATTCCCAAATTTAGTTAGAGACGAGCCCCATCCAATATAGCCCGACACAGACACGATAAAGTAAACAGCACCAACAAGACTAACTCCCCAGTAGACGACGCAACGGTGAGCGGAAGCGTCCTTCATATCGTGCAACACAGTGGTGCTTGTGCACGTGACGGCGAATGCGAATGTCATGCTGGCGAAAGATATACCGAGTCCCATTACACCTGAGGGATACGGTTCGTAGACAACATCATGGTGGCCACTGTCTTCTGCAACCCGGGCAAAGCCTGCGTAGATGATAGACAACGTAAGAATGATGACCGAAGCTACGCCCACTGTGCCGCTGATGTAGCCGACATGTTTCATAGTACGTAACCATGAGATAGGTAGTAGGATGCCTGCCCAGATAAGAACCCAGAATTCCTGGGCAATCCCGTTATAAAGTTTAAAAGAATTTTGACCAAGAAGTAGCATTAGTACACAACACGTGCCCAGCAGTGCACCGTTTACCCCGAATGCGACAGCAGCAACACCCCATCGACCAAAAGCATCCATACCAATATCTTCATAGTTTCGCGTACCGGGTTTCATACAGGCACGTAATAGCTGAGTATACAGCATACCAACAATTCCACTAAAGATGAGAAGAGCGAATCCGAACGCATAACCCGCCTGGGCTATCGCTCCTGGTAGGCTGAGCATGCCAACGCCGATACCAGTGAGCACTAGGTTGGCCACGGCGGAGGCGTTTGACTGTCCGGCGGGAGGTTCCGATCCAACTTTCACGGATTCGACCGATTCTCTCGGATTCGTTGGCGACATTGAAATGGAAACAAAATTAACAACTGCAAGTAGAGAGACAGATAAGATATATATAGTGAGCTGTCTTCACACTCGGCCCATGGAAGGTACGCTGAATGGGACTAGTCACACTTAGGTGCGGCAGGAGAGAAGGCTGCGCTGACCTACTGACTTATACGAATATATGTGGAAAAACCTATTTAGAGAATCCAATTTCCCTCGGAGTCAGTAATTCGACCGCTATGATATTCTGAAATCAACTATAGAAGATTGTCATACCACCAGCCTGATGGCACCAAGCACTGACGCGGATTCTCTGAGCTGAGTGAATATCGCCAACCCAAGACCGTGACAGCTCTGGCGATTGGAAATGGGGTGGGCGCAGGCTGAGCGTATTGATAGGACAGCTCTGCCATGGTGCGACTGGACACCTGAACGTCCCCAGGTGGACCAAGCCGAATATAGCAATCGGAACGAGCCTAAGCACTGCTCCTTGACTGACATGTCATGGCGAAATGTGTTTCGGAAGGGTTAGTGAGATGAAGGCTCTTTATGGAAGAGCCTAGCACCAGTTCAGACTTGATGAGGAACACTCCTGCCGATTCATCACCTTGAGGATGACGTATGCAACCAAGTGAATAACCGAATGGCGAATTGTTAGGGTTAGGCCGCCACGGAATGAACTCTTCCAATGAGTCTCTTTGTCATTAAGGCCTCGAGGACGCCCAACTAGTGAAGTAATCGGATCTATTTAGCAATGAGGATATAAGGACAATATCTGATAAATAGTTAATTTGAATAGGATAGCAATGCCTCGGCTCGAACTGAGCGAGCGTGACCATCATTGTCGTACGCAAGTACACTCAATGCAAGATGGAGATGGCTCGCACAATAGGGCCATACAAGCGAGACCCGTGAAGGGCCGCCCGTTGTTTCTCTCCGGGAGTCTCCACATTCCCAAAAGACAGAGATGTGAGGGTATTAAATATCCTCCCCGACTCGCGCTGCTCAAAGTGATGCTCGATTACTTAACTGTTGATCATCGCGATTAACAGTTTTACACGTATACGTTAAAACAGATGCACGTTTTACACGCGCCTTTGTCGAGTACAGTCGCGTTGATGGTCCACTTTCCAAACTCCGGTCACGAATCAAGCGAACGGCGGGAGGATCAATGAGTACCACGCATGAATGGCCTAGCTGAACCATATGGGGAGTCAGAAGCCGCAGAAGGAAGACCGGGGCGGCTCCAGGCCTGAAGTTCACAGGCGAATTTCTCAGGAAGTATCGATGGAGCTCGAAAAGAGACGTACTTCGACGAAAAATTCTGATCCGAGAATCCGTGAACTGCGGGCCGCAGACTGGGCCTCTGCAATGAAAAAATGAAATTTTTGATTGCCCTATTCCCATGTGAAGCGCCTGTTTAAATCAGCGAACAGATCAATAACTTTGTCTTAACGCAGAGTTTCTAGCCTTGCATAACCTGGTTATGATAACCAACATTGATAACGCCTTGACCCGAAAGTCAAGCATCTCCAGTAGAACTGCGGAGATATTCCACAACCCTACGCACACAAAAGAAACTTGTCTTGCTTGATGCCATTGACATGCCATTGTAATGATAGAGCAATGCGCAGTTGCATTTGGCGTTCCTGTAATTGAACTTCTGACAACCCTATCACTAATGTGTGGTAATTAGACTCGGAGTCTGAACGCAGAGAAAGTGTTCGGTTGCCAGTCCCTACCGGTGCAGAGCAATCCAATTATTGAAGTTCAATACAGGGTCGCTCGGAACTTTTCTACACGGATTAGGAAGGTGGAAATCTCAACTCGTACTCGAAGATCGGGGCCTCCAAATCGGACATGCTAACTAAGCCTCTCTGATCAGTCGCCATCCACCGCAATGGGAAGTTGTCGGTGACCTGTGTAGTTCAGACCACAGGCTCATCCACATCGAGATCGATCACCCGGATTGGAATAGTATTTCCAGAGTGGCCCATGGTCTCACCGATGTAGCTCCCGTATATGGATGTAGCATATTTAATATGCCATATTGTACAGTGGATATTGGGTACCTCACTGCGATGATCATAATGATATTATCACTCACTCAACAACGCATACGAGATGGAAATAATTGAACTTACTTAAAGTAAGTTACTTTGGCTGGTTTCGGAGGGCTTGAGTGCAGCATGTCGGGAAACGTTAAAGAAAGTCTCTCACATACAGAAGGGTGTATGTATTGTGTTTGATGTATGTACTCAGGAGTGAGTATTTATCGGGCGACAACATCTATGTTGAGGCATGTAGGCATGAATGGACGCGGGATTCACTAAGTGTGTCTGGTATTGTTGGTGTTGAGCTACGTTTAACCTTTGGGATCGTTGCATCATCAGTGTCGGAGAGTTTGCATATGGCGAACCACGTGTGTTGATGGCGAACACCTCGGCAAACTCTTGTTGTTTCCATGCAGCTCCACCCTAGCCGTTCAATGCAGTGAGGAAACTCTCTAGATCAGTTGAGGAAAGCATACATATGTTACAACACTGCTCACTATCCGACTCTCGGCATCTTCGGTGGCCACGCCGGAGATTACAACTATAGCTTCCATGGCATTTTTCCATTTTTCCTTACATTTCCATGTGTACATCAGACCCCTTAATGCCATCTAACCGCCACTGCCATGGGCAGTGCCATTCTCACAACATTGTATTGCTCCTCCGCGTATCGTTCTCGGACCGCGATTCGCGGTAGCCATGCACTATCCATAGATACTCTTGAGAGCCCCAAGCCCTTTCCTTCACCAGGTGCTTTCCGAGTCATGATCACCCGGTGACCGGGTCCTGGTCATCCTCGAACACGCCCTCCGAGTGTCTTGTCCATAGGACAGTCTGGTCCATCTGAGCCCTCAATGTAATCCCCAGCCTCAATTGCTGAACTTCGTCTCGGATATCATCGGCGTGGCTATTAAAATTATTCACAAGGTGCGCATCTGAAGAGTAGAAGACTACTTCAGAGTAGTAGATAGTTAAAAGAATGTGATCGTTGAAGAGACGCTCACGATACGAGTCCAAGTAGTGTTTGAACCATGCTTGGGCTCTGGGATTCATCACCAGCAATGCTGGTCCAGCATTTAAACACCAAAATACAATGTGAGCTCAACTACAGCCTGAAAGTGGATCAATCATTCTGATTGAGTGACCCGCTCGCACGCTACAATGGTCTAAGACGTATAATATACGTTTTAGACCATGGTGGTGCGATATTATGTGTTCCGAACTTTCAGATCAGAATGTCACCTGAATTGGCGCCTGTAGCGGCACTACACCTTGATGTACTCGGGGATGAAAATGAACGTTATGCAGGGGGAAATGGGAACTCTCTTACTGAACACGCGCCAGTGAACACGTGCGGGACGAAACCACCTGTTGCCGAATACGAGAATTCTCGGGGAAGCGTAATTGTCCTAATAGATACAAGTGTTACAGCTGAGGTGAGATGTACATACTTCTACTCCATATCAGCCGAACCAGAATTGTGGACCGAGTCAGCATCGCTCAACACAGAAATGAAAAGGTGAGGGCCAAAGGTATCGGCCAGTGTGAAGTTAACTCTTCGTCTATGCCTACTGAACCCCTCAGCATACAGTACATAGTCTTTACTTCAACACAACCTGCCCCCGATCGAAACCAAAGCTTCCGCGTTAGAAGCGAGACTATAATAGGTAATTGTGAAAACGTTGTGGAGACACATCAGACGGACACTCGACCGCTAATAAATAAGAGTGTTCACTGCATCGTATATACCAAAAACTGATCCGACGACAGAAATGACCAACAGTAGTGCGAGTCCTGATACTTTAGCGATAGCCCGACCAGAGCGCTCCTGTAATTTCCCCCAGAGGACCAGGCGAGTGTAGAATACCGAGGGATAGATATTGTGTATGAGCGAGTAACATACCGAGCCCAGGAGACCCACAAGACCTTGGAAGTTAGGGACCGTTATAGCAACGACAGCAGTAAAAATAACAAGGCTGCTACGAGCCAGACACGACCTGACTATTTGTTCTTCCTTGATTCGAAGAGCGATTTCGACGATACGACTGACTGGATTCAACATGACAGCATAGTGAGTGATGCACAACAACAAAATGCTACATATGCAAAGGTACGCAATAGGACCATAAACAGGCCTACTCTCGGTAACGGCGTCAATGATATTCTGGAATTGAGTGAGAAATTTTCCCCACCCGACATAGCCAGATAGAGACACCAGAAAGTAGACAACGCCAATAAGACTGACTCCCCAGTAAATGACGAAACGATGAGCTGAAGCGTGCTTCATGTCGTGCAACACAGTGGTGCTTGCGCATGTGACGGCAAATGCAAGAGTCATGCTCGCGAAGGACATTCCCAGTCCCACAACACTTGGAGGATACGGTTCATAGACAACATCATGGTGGGCTCCGTCTCCTGCAACCCGAGCAAAGCCTGCATAGATGATAGACAACATAAGGATGATGACCGAAGCTACGCCCACTGTGCCGCTGAAGTAGCCGATATGTTTCATATTGCGCAACCACGACATTGGGAGCAGGATACTTGCCCAGATGATAACCCAGTATTCTTGGGCTATCCCGTTATAAAGTTTGAAAGAATTCTGGCCAAGAAGTAGCATGAGTAGACAACACGTGCCCAGCAGTGCACCGTTTACCCCGAATGCAACAGCAGCAACACCCCATCGACCAAAAGCATCCATGCCAATATCTTCATAGTTTCGGGTACCGGGTTTCATACAGGCACGTAATAGCTGAGTATACAGCATACCAACAACTCCACTAAAGATGAGAAGAGCGAATCCGAACGCATAACCCGCCTGAGCTATCGCCCCTGGCAGGCTGAGCATGCCAACGCCGATACCCGTGAGCACTATGTTGGCCACAGCGGAGGCGTTGGACTGCCCGGCCGGCGGTGATGTCACTTCAACCTTGATACTATCCAATGTATTCGTAGATTCTGGGACAGCCATTGAGAGTTGATAAACTGACTGAGGGAGGGAATTGTACCATTGATAGCAGTTGTTGTGTCGCCATATTAGCTCAGCTCCACAGACAGGTACAGTGCAGCTTTTGCACGCATGCGTTATCGACCTGCAGCGTCTCTCTAAACCTTCAGAGCCCATATTGGCACTCAGCACTTCCTCGCGCTAGTTCTCGGGCGAGGGAAGCTATTGACAGGAACTAGAAGTGACTACTCTCACTCCATTAAGTCCAATCGCACGCTGACACTGGATTTTGCTGAACTGAGTATTTTTGTATGGAGTTGCACGCATGCGCTGAAGGCATTCCACGTCTCGAGCCAATACGTCAAAGATTCACGAGCATTAGTATTTGTTGGTTGCCCAGCAAATCACACTTACTTTCTCACCAAATCTTCTACCAAATAGCCGTGAATAAGTGTTCCTGCTATTTATTCGAGGTCGTTATGAAGCTCTCCAGAGACACTGCCGAGACATTGTCTGGCTGGCCAGACATCCTCTGTACTCACGCAGCGCAATCTATGTCTCCATAAACGTGAATGCCACCAACTTTGGAATATTATGTCGATGGAGAAGGGAAGAGGGTGAAGTTACTTGCTTCACATAACTCTTTTTGGGCAGACGAGGTTAATCTTCCTATAGGATACTCCGCGAGCTGGACTGTTGAAGTATATCAGGGGTTGTGGGATCAGTGCCCGATGGAATTGGTCTTTCAGAGGGCGAAATACATCTTCTGAAGGTTAATTCTGAGTTATTTGCATACTGTGGGTAGGCAGTTACGGCTTTCTAACCAAAACACGGAAGTTTAATGGGCCGAGCGATTCAGGTAAGAACAGATGGTATAACTTTTATGGTCGCGATGTGGCACACGAGTGCAGGTGTTAGATCGATGCACGTCCTTGAGTATTATATCATGAGAGCTTCTGGTTCCTAGATGCTTTGTGATGCGAACCAATCATCCACACTTGCAGTATTAGTAGCTCGTGGAGGATCGCTGAAAAGATTCGAGCGTCGCGACTCGCGACTCGCGAGGTATAGTCCCCACCATAGCGGCTCAGATTTATCAGATGAAGTAAGCCTCGAGGTATATTAATTCGCAACACACTGCAGAACTCACCCCGAGATTGACAAGCGAATTATTTTTCCCTGTAGCTGCCAACTTCAAACTTCGGACACTCTCAGGACGAAGCAGCAAAGGGCAACCAAGCATATATCCAAGGACGGCAGTAGCAGAGAAAGAGTAGTGAATATTGCAGCGCTCGAAAACCCGAGAGCAACGGCCGAGATCACGTCATTGATACGTCAGAAGTCGATGATGCGATTTCCAAACACGGGCGACAACAGAATAATACAGACGGTCGATTAACACAAGTCGTTATTGCAAGTGCCGGTCTTATTATAATAACGCTCGATACGAAACCCCGAGAGGCAACGTAACGAAGTGCTTATGCCGTATGGCAAAGAACACTGCTGCTGATCTCGGGGAAACAATACTTCGAAAGTCAACGGCAACACCGCCTAAAGTGCACCAGGAGACTGAATACGATTTGACGATAATGACGATGTAAATAACGAGTAACCATACTCTCTCGAGCACACTAGCTGAGGCAGCTACGCTTAGTCTAGGGTGTCTACTGATAGCCAACTACCAGGGCACTATCATGGGCAAAGGGACATGTACTATCAGTGCACTTCGCTCCGCTAGGGCACATGACAGTTTTGGGGTTCGCCGTCTTCTCTGGGGAATGCGCAAAAGTGCAGTTCTAGTCTTCAGTACAGCCATCCGCTAAGTAGTAAATCCACATCCGCACTTTGTACCTGCCCTAGAGACCCTCACGATTCTCAGAGGTCTACAAGGGCAATACCGCTTCCTCAACATTTCTTACGATTGGTTAGATCAGGAGGCATGGCTAGAAGGGTTCGATGGATGCGATGTGTCATAAAGAATACACGCCCAGAGAATAGCCGTCGGGGTGAACATTGTTCAGTCTGATGGTTGTTTACGCAGCGCTTCTATAGAATTTCCAATGGCAAACTTCGAAGCCACGCTTCTTGGAGAGCTGGGTCGAGCAAGCGTTCCGATTGACCTGCTTCAGAGACTTGCAGATGTTTTAAAATCAGCTGCGGAGCGAAACACAACTCCTAGCATCTTGCAAGGAGACGCCCAGTCTTAAGCACGTACCACTGCTGCCAAGTACATACGAGCCTCGGAGAGTACACACCCCCTATAGTGCAGGGCATACACTGTAGGCCCATTCCCGATCGGTTGCGTGTCAGTCCAATCCACGAACTATTCGAATTCCTAACTGACTCGTCCCAGCTCGAATACGACTCCGTGCTCCCGCTTCTCACCGATATTGAACTCTTCACCCGGGACACATCGCCAACTAGGCTGAGCCAAAGCTGCGATTTCTACCCACTCGGATCCCTAGCATGCCCACTAGCGCGACACTTTGAGTTAGCATAGTGTAGGTCCATTCCCGATCGGTTGCATATCAGTCCAATCCACGAACTATTGGAAGTCCTAATTGACTTGTTCTACTTCGAATGGCACCGCATTAGCCGAGCGAGGAGCTGGGGCGCGCGGAACTTCCGCGGCGGAAGAAAACTTGGGCCAGAGGGAGATAATCTTAGCCGCGCGAGAGACGAGGGGAAGTATCTGGAAATTAGCGAGCACCCGAAACGACTGGTGCGCAATGACGGTAGCGGTCTTCTCTTCGGTTAGGATTGAGTAAAGGTTATAATGAAGATTGCTCTAGTCGTAGTGGCTTACGCATAAGTCTCAGGAATTAGGCTGTCCGCAAGCGTGACCATCTGGTTCAAGTTCTTTCTATGGTTTGCCCTTCCTCGTCGCGTCGAGTTATACAGTTTAGAGGAGACCACGAACACTAGGCTCGAAACCACAGGGCTACTCGTAGAAGGGTCTAAGCAACCAATTAGAAGCCCACTACAACGAACAACAACAGAATGTATGTGAGAAAATGAACAACGCTAATTCACGGTCGTCAGGGTGTCACGAGGACGGCCGACGATGCAGCTCCCCAGAGAACGACCAAAGCACTCAACAAAGCTCTCATAGAGCCTGGGAGATCCACAACCCACCCCGAATACACATATCTCTGACCTGATACAAACATTACTGCCATCCAACATCGGACTTCTGCTATTACTACCATCATCGCCAGCGCCTTGCTGCTCTACCTCAGCCGCTCGAGAGACTTCGTGTGAAACTTTTTTCTCACCCTCCTTCTGATGAGAACCAGTCGGCAGACTACTACTTCCTCCTTCACGAAAAGGGATTACCTTCGTGAGATTCTGGAATTCATCAACGAAAACAAACTGGTCTGTTGCTGCTAGAAATTCTGTCAGTAAGGTTTCACTAGCGGACGACGGGTATAGGTCCTCCCTAAAGTCAAGGCATCACAATACAAAAGCATAAGGTCACGCAGGCGACCTCAGCGTAGCGTGCGAGTGAAGCTTGCTCCACGGTAAGGCGTCAACCAAGTCTTGAACCGTGCGCTGACTTCGGGTATCCTTCACACTATCGGAGAGGAATCTTGATGTCCAGTAGCTAAAGATACAAAGCAGGTCCGGGACTCGGTCGAGCTGAGCCGACATACGTGAACCTGTCCACCACATTAACACCCAGAGACAAGTCGGCATGGTAGCTGTAGCTGTTCTCATCAGGACCACTACTAGACAGACAGAGCATATTAGGCGAATAGAATCTGAGACACTTATAGAACCTGACCCAACTCGGTGTCACCAGGAGCCCACCGATCATGTAAAGTAGCAGCATGACACGTATCAGCAAGCCATAGGAGCTTCTTATACCGCCTCTGGCTGAACCTGAAGCCAACTCCACTGCTATCCACATTGGTCCCAGCGAGCTGGCCTACATCTGCTGGAAAGCATCGGCTATATCATGTGACGTCATCTCCTCCCAATCTTGGAACTTCACGAAGTCCGTACCCGAATGCCCTGTGATATAGACCTAAGGCGTCCCCTACCATAAATCCATCAAATCTACTGCCTACCAGCACATAGCTATCGGCGTCAGTATCAAGCCTCTTAGACTTGGGTGTATCCGCCGTGTGTCTACCTAACGAAGTCGGGATGGCTGGTAAGACCGAAGGCATTATGGTGGGTCACCAGTGAGCAGACGGATGAAATTCTCAGTCGACACTTCATCACCGCGGTAGTCCACCTCGACCTCGGGTGGATACAGATTGAGATGATTATCCGGGTCGTTAAAAACATAACCTGATCATACCATCAACGCCAGCATAGCTCAATAGGACGCGTCTCGGTACCAGGTGCGGGGTTCCGAGGGTTGCAAGCGACATCTTCCGCTAGCATTAGTATGATGTTGGAGTCTGGTATACCTATAGGATGCCATGAACCTCTCACCCCTCCACGTCCGTACCCACCTAGCCTCTTTATCTGATAATACATACTCAGTGTATTGGCTACATGACGGTAATTATACCAGTACCTACGTCCAAGTTGTTCAGTCGACTCCAGCCTAGCGGCCGATCATTAGCAAACACCAACCTCTCCTGAAGACTAGGAAAGTATTCCCCTTCCGAGTACACTGTAAATCAAGTGTACACAAATACCGTGGGATCGCCCCAGCATCTCGCCGATTGCTATAACCACGACAAGTTCACGACAAGGCCGCTATAGGAAACCCAGGCCGAAGAAAGAGCCCCAAATATCACCGTGATGTATCCACCAGTATTGCCCAGTTGTTTCGTCCCGAATCAGATTCCATAGCAGCTCCATCGCGTACAACACACAACAGCCACATCAAAAGGCCAGCCGCGATCATCGCATCCATAGCATGTAACAGAGAAAAGCTGAATCAGGCCGTGAACTCCAGCCTCGCGAGCTTCAGAATCATACACAAAGTCAGACACGGTAGACTATACGAGTCACCAGTGAAACGTTCATCAACCTCAACCAGTCAAGCAAATAAACAGAGCCCGCAGAGGAACGGGCGGAACAATGGTCGCTTCATTACAGTGCGATCGTTACAGAGTTCCACGATAAACCACAACTGCAGGACCGCAAACTCAACAGCATCAGACTAACAGTGATAGACTAGATAGTCGTCAGGAACGATAAACGTGACAGATCACTCCCAAAATGACATTCCAATTTTCCTATGATGCTGACCCTCCACCACGCGTTGCCCCGAGTCCATACCGCTAAAGTAGCGTCTCACCTTCATCGTCTTTCGTGATTCGTCCCACACAGAACACGTCGTCAACATCAGAATTCTCCACCGCTACATGAGCAGCCTTGCTGATGCCCATCTCAAATTAGGCAAGTACATGCCGTCGCTCTGCATGCCCAGAGCTGCGAGTCCATCATCGAGGCTCACAATCGCCATCTACGAACCAATCGTCGAATTCCCGCAGCTCGTCAACCGGATTCTGTTCCTCCCCATCAGCGCTGCGACTCAACCTCCACATTTTTCGTCTGGTCGAGCCCGCGAGAACACATAGACCGCCATAACAGCAGCTACCACACTGCCTGCTAACAGGGCAGCAGGTTTACAAATCCCACTCTTCAAATCCGATTCTTCCTTACGACCAGGGTAATACCGCAGAGACGTATAGCAAGTCAGCCCACTGAAGAAACTTAAAACGCAAAACTGAGCTACCACTACTTATCAATCGACAACACTGGGCGACCCACTGAGGATCACCAGCAGAACGATGAGCCAGCCAAACGAGCTGCCTCATCAGACAACGTGAGCTCGATAATCAGTATACAACTCATTCGAGAGTATCACCATCGCCCACGGTCGGCGTGGCCATGCCTGCCACCCGCAGTGCGACAATAGCCCTTGTGGTGACTGGGACTGTCGCGACGATACACCACATAATTAGACCCGAATAACGATGGGTCTTTGCCTGAGACGGCCGCCCAGTAATCTCCAGCGCCCTCCCCCTCCCTTTAGTACGGTATGTCTCTACTATCCTATGCATGTGCTCGATATAGAACTCGCCCCGCTTCTTCTTCTGCAGCATCCCGCTCAGCTTCGTTATCAACGGTGCATTAGGACTATTTACAGTCGTAACCTGGTCAGTGAGCAGCTGATCACACCGACAGATTTTCCAACACTACTTTAAATTTTATGAAAAGTTCCAAGAGCTGTAAAGTTGTATCAAGGAGGCCGAACGTTATGGAGGTCGCCAATAGTGTTTCCACAGTCTGCTGAGTGATCGTATCCACCCTGTTCTTAGGCGCGGGGTTGCCTGACAAACGCCCACTTCCCCGACCTATGCAATGGTCCTGATATCTCACGTGTGCTCGCTGTCCCCTTAGGGATGGCTGGCTGCGGCTGATCAGGCCGCAGATTACGCAGATGCCGACTCACCATACTGCTACAAACCTCGAGCGCCATACGCCAATTACGATGGCGTATCTGATCCAAGCCCGTCGTCCTCCTCCCCACCAGGCACCTCTCCCCTACTACCGTTTGCTGTGTGAGCTGTGTATACAACCTCAGCTCGGGTATAACTCCATACACTGCTTCCATTTCGGTCTAGAAGGGAAGCATGAGATCCCAACCAGAACCCCAAGAGATCAAGTACTCACATCGAGTAGCTTGAGAGAGCGTACAAAAACATCATTGTACAGGCGACTACTGTGAGAAGGGCCGCTACGGTCAACCTCATCCGCTGCGGTCGCGAGGAGAACTTTCATGTAGATGCTGAACGTCGCACTTGATGCCACAACCTAACCAACACATACATTCCTCTCCTCCCGAATCCTATGCTCACTTTATTTTCCATCATCCCCAGCAAGATCTGATCAGCCAAGCCCTTGCGACTGTGAATAGGCGTCTTGAAGTCCTTCAAAGGGATACAGCAGCCATACAACAAATTGTTATATATAATCTCATCTGGCTTGTACCCTTCCCTCTGAATTGCCATAGTCGGTGCACACTACGGACCGCCAAATACTACCAAAAGCTCATCCAAGAGTCGCAGGCTCACATCCACCTTCCCCGCATCGCAGTTGGATTTTATCAATATCGAGAAAGTAATAAGATCCGGAAGCACCTCCGCTTTGCGCATCTCTGCGAATCTGAGATTCTCATCGTCGACCATCCCAGCTACCCTACACAGCTCACGTACACGTCCATTGCAGACTCCACTTTCCCCTCCTTAGCATACCCCTTTATCAAAGTAGTGTACATTACCTATACGGAGGCAGCGAAAATACGATTGCCAGAAAAGGCTCAACCGCTACTGTGTTCAGTCCAAGATGCCGCTTCTCAGAATCATCACCGTCCTCATCATCTTGCGTCGACTGAGCTTGTCTCATCGCCTCAAAGACCCTCTGCGCTCTACCCATGTCGTCAGCATTAATACAACAGTCTAGTAAGATGCCATATGTCACAACCGTAGGCTGTATCTGCAAAGGCGTACGCTACTACACAAACCCCATACATCATCCACACTTACTCCCTTGGTTTCGAGGATGCTCATCAGCTCGTCACACTTGGCGACATTCCCCTGCCGAGAATAGCCCTTCATAACCGTGTTGAACGACACCACATCAGCCACTGCATGATCAGTATTCTCAGCAACCTTCACCAGCTCGCGAAGGATCATTTCAGCCATTCCCAGTTGTCGTGCATTCACGCAGTTACTTATCAGTGTATTGCACCTGGTGACACTGATGCACCCTCCGACCAGCATCCCCTCCCCCACCACTACGTGATCAAGTCGGGCACTAGGCCCTTAGCCCGCAGGACCTTCAACAACTTCAACGCTTCATCAACTTTCCCAATGGCGAAATAGAACTTCATCATATTAGCAAAGTCCTGGCATAATCAGAGTATAAATTCAGCCCGACCATTCACACTCAATCTACCTTAGCCGCTGGGACCTCTCCGCTCGCTACCACTCGTCGAGCAAATTTCTCACACTCCGAGTACTCCTCCGATTCCACTGAGATGCAAAAGAGCCTCCACAAGGGCAACCAGCGACTCACGCCCACCTACCAGAGCAGAAGAGCAAACAGCTGTTGACGGTCTTGTCAGTGGACGGTTTTCGTCCCAACTCTCCCTCCAAAAAATCACGATGCAGGGCTAAGCACTCCCTATATCGATGCTTGGAGGTCGCTATCTTTGTGATGCTCACGACCAAGTCATCGGTGATTTCAATTCCGACCTGAGCGACTCCACAGATCACATAAGGCCTACGTGTGCACGTACGTCGGTCATGTCCCTCAAGCACCGTCTAACATCAAAGGTAACCGTGGTGGCCTTGGGTCCAACTCGGACAGCTGCTAACGCCAGAGAGTTATACATCTCTGTCACCGATTCTCGACCACTCGGGTGTAAAGACGACTAAGAGGAAGCCACAAACAGTCGAGCTTGCAGCGATACACTGAAAGGGTCTACTTCTACTAGTAAATTCGCAAGGTCACCACTGTCCTTCAATTTACTATACGCCAATACAGCAGCTGAATAGCGGCTCCCTGTGAGCTCTGTTATGGCTTTTACTCGTTCAAGAGGCTGAAAACGGACAAGTGACGAATTTCGCCGACCCAAACTGAAGGTACCTTGCTAGTTGAATCGTCATCTTCCTCAGCCACTGGTGTCAATGGTAACACTCGTACCACACCTTTGATAACTCCTGGGGGAGGCGACTCGGCTGCATCAACCGTCGGCTGAATATGGATTGGCGTTGGGAGAGGTGAAGGCTTTGCACTAGACTGCTCCGACGGTGTGCTTAATGGGAAGTCGCTCACAGGGCCTGTCAAGATTTGAGACCTGCCATCATGAATACTACCAGAGGTCCCTACCTGATGGTATAGACTGAGCTCTGAGGTATCGCGAGGCTAGGAAGCTCGCCACGAAGACCAGAGCGAAGGTGAACTCCATTGACATGCTCTGCACCACGTCCAATATGAGCATCCTAGCGGCGTCGATGAGAGGCAGAGGAGGAACCACCACGACGTTGGTGTCCATATCAGTAGAGTGATGACGATCATTGCTTGTTGAGGAGCCAGTAGTAGCTCCAATGGCGAAAGAGGCAAGGCTTGAGAAGAGTACCAGGATGATGATCCGCGTTGAGAGAGAACGCGAGGGGAAGGCTGAAGGCATCATTAGCAGAGAACGACGTTAAAGGGGTATCAAAGGCTGTAGGGGAGACCATGCGGAGGCTGTTACCTCAAGTCTGGCAACCGCGCAATTCATACCAACACCAGGCGAGTCTGGCCGCCACGACTTGGGGGCCTCGCGCGAATCTCGACTTGGTTTTCCAAATCAACTTGATGCAACTCAGAAGCTACGTTGTGGTGATTAGCGTACTGATTCTGCGGCTCAGAATCGACGAGAGAACTGTTGATCACCGAAGTGTGCACTCAGTCGGTGTTGCGGACATGGTAGACCACGCCGGTCGCGCGCCCACCAAGTGCGTGGGTGTGTCCAGCACCATATTCCATGTTCATTTGACTAATCCCGGAGCTCAGGATCGACTCTTACTCCTTATTCACAGTGCTTCAGAGCCGATAGTGTCCCAAGACTAACCGGGCGTCCTAATGATCGTCAACAACTGCTTATCCCATAAAGTTGCGTCGGATGTAAAAAGCGCGCGCCCCCGCGCGATTTGCGACGGCGAATTGAATTCCGCTCTGGAAATCTAAGAAAGAGACTCAGGTTGACATACTAAAATGGCCAGCTTTGAAGCTGAAGCGAATTTTGAGATCGAGAGGAGATTCTCGTCCGATGTTGGGGTGAGCAAGGGGATAGTCTACAACGACTAAATTAGTTGTAGACTCCGGGCACGGCAATGTGCTTCTTGTAGGGCTACCACAACCAGCCCAAGGCCAATTCGGAGGAACAGGCACTGAATGAGATACAGATTCAACACAAGATTAGTCGGGAACTCATCTCTAGGGAAATTTCCAGGCGAAACGAACTCAAGAAGATGGGGATCGACCCCAAGGACCGTAATAGAGCTGCGACTATCACGTCGTTCACTCTGTGTCTCGGGACTGTTGCCACCTGCTCGAGATTTATGGACGGGTGAGCTTGATGAAATCACTTCTCAGAGGAACCCAAGGGAGATCGTAAGATAATGGACCGAGAGGAGGCGCGCAAGGAGGTGGAAATGGACGAGCATCTGGTTGATATCGGCGTACTGTATGAGAGATACGACTCTGAGCCTAGTCGAGGTGGGTCTAGCTTACCTCGAAGGGCAAGCCGAGCGTATCAGCAGGCATCACCGAAGAATCTGTTGAACGCCGCCAGGCTGAGGACGGACTGAACAAGCTCACACCACCTGCCAAGACGCCTTGGTGGCTCCTCTTCCTCAAAGAGATGACCAATGCCTTTGCCCTGTTGCTATGGACTGGCGCCATACTATGCTTCATTGCGTAACATGTGTGGTATGTCGCGGCATCGACCTCTCGATTCAGTTACGGGCTGGACACAGACAACTCCGAGAATTTATATCTAGGCATCGTGCTCGCCATTGTCAACTTCCTCACCGGCTGCTTCTCGTACCACTCCTTCGTCTCTTCGTCCCCTCCTCCTCCTATGCCCGCTACAGATACTATCAGAACGCCCGATCCAGTGCGGCCATGGAAGCTCTCCAGAGCATGTCAGCTGATACCGCGACCGTCCTAAGGGACGGCCAACTCAAAAAGGTCGTAAAATAGTTTCCCCTCTACTACTACTATCAATAAGAACCTCAGATTGAATCCACTCAGCTATGCCGCGGTGACATAGTGAAGATCACTGCTGGCGAGAAGGTACCGTTTGGACCTTAGAAGTGCCACTATTATCACAGGTGCCGGCTGACGTGCGCGTCCTCAAATCTGTGAATTTCAAAGTGGAGCAATCCTCCTTGACTGGTGAACCTGATGAGATCTCTAAGACTGTCGACAACACCATCGAGCATCCTCTAGAAGCCCAAAATCTCGCCTTCTTCGGGACCCTAGCCGTGAATGGTAAAAGGAGGAGGAGGATTACCTTTCCTGAGGCTCGTCAACTCAGGAGAAGCTGAAGCCATGGTGGTGAACATTGGAGACTTCACAGTTATTGGAAGAATCGCGACTCTGGTCACACACACTGAGGCCGAGGAGACTACCCTTACTAAGGAGATTGACCATTTCATCCACATCGTCTCGGGCATTGCTATCGTCCTCGGTATATGCTTCTTCACAGCGGGAATGGTGAGCATTTTAGTGACGTGTCTGTATGTGAGAGCTCCTCGATCAGATTATCCGTGATGGCAACTTTATGGAAAGGTTCGTGCCTAACTTGGTCTTCGCGATCGGCGTGATCGTCGCTAACGTCCCCGAGGGTCTCCTTACTACTGTAACCGTCAGTTTGACACTTACTGCTATCAGGATGAGAAGCAAGAACGTGGGGCCGAGTTGGTTTCGATAAGGACGTGGAGCCTGTCCATGGTAGGTGTTGGTGAAGAATCTGGAGACGGTTGAGACCCTGGGCTCATGCTCCTGCATATGCTCTGACAAGACGGGTACTCTCACGGAGAATCGGATGACCGGCAGCCACGTGTGGTGCTATGACCAAGTCCACGACATCGCGCCGAGGACCTTCGACAAGGCCAAGATGGAGTCGCCCTCGTTCAAGATCCTCCATCGCTGCGCAGCTGTGAGTCGGCCGGGCCCTAGAGGGCCTACTTGACGGCATGCCCTCAGGTATGCAATGATGCCTCTTTTGAGAGCTCGCCAGAGAATATGGAGAAGCCCGTGTGGGACCGCACGTGTGTGAACGGCAATGCTAGCGACCATGGAATATTCAAGTTCACTGTGCTGGCTGGAGAGGACGTTGTGAAGGATCTCCGATCAACTTATAGGATCTCTGGAGACGGCACTGAGCACCCTGGTAGCTTTTTCATTATAGAGGCTCTCAAGCTGTATGTATTACCGCTTCCAGGACGCGTACCGTTCAACTCGAAATACAAGTTTGCTGCTAGTCTGTGCGTCAATCCGGACAAGGCTGGGATCATCGAAGTGAGATACTCGTTGGGTGCATATTTGGGTTTTTAATTCTTTGGAGTTTCACCCTAGTGATATGAAAAACACTAGTGAAAAATATATTTCGCGACTACTACAGGCCGCGAATATCGCGTTTTTCACCGAGTATTACGCCACTTCACGTCAAACGGGTAAAACGCCATTGTTCCTTTTCAGTTCATGAAGGGCGCCCCTGAGCAAGTCTTTGACCGCTGCTCTCACATTATTGAGAACGGCAAACGGGTCCCGATCACACCAAAACACAAGAAGGTGGTGCTTCCGCTAATTTTTCTCTGCGGGAATGTATGTCGACTAGGCTTTCTCCGAGGCTAATCTGCATCTGGCTAGTTTGGGCGAGCGCGTCCTGGGGTTTGCCGAGCTGGAGCTGAACCCCGACAAGTTGGTTTCAGATGAAATGATGCTGGTCTCTTGAGAGTCCCCTCAGGTATCATGAGGAATTCAAGTGGAACACTGAGGACTTCAACTTCCCTTTGGAGGGCCTCACCTTCTTGGGAGTCATCTCTCTGGTGGACCCGCCGAGGTCGGGCGTGCCACAAGCAGTTGCCAAATGCCATGGGGCTGGCATTCAGGTGAAGTCGTCGGGCTTGGGGGTATCACTTCCTCGATAACGCTTTTTGTTAGGTTATTATGGTCACAGGAGATCAGCCGGCCACAGCGAAAGCCATCGCTAAGCAGGTTGGTATTATTAAATCTAAGACGGCCGATGAAATTGCGGCGGAGCGAAACTGTGACATCAAGGACGTGAGGGGATGGGGGAGTCGAGTCACTGAGAGGGATCGTCCGTGCAGGTGCCTCTGGAAGATGTCAATGCTGTCGTCATTCATGGCGATCAGTTGAAGGGGATGACGGACGAGGATTTGAAGTTCGTGTTGTCACACTACAGGGTGAGTCGGCGCGTCCGTCGGTTGTTTTAGTTGATGCATTATACAGGACATTGTTTTCGCGAGGACAACACCGACCCAGAAGCTCAGAATCGCCGAGACTCAGAAGGAGCTCGGAAAGGTGACGGCCATGACCGGCGATGGCGTGAATGATGCCCCTGCACTGAAAGCGGCGAATATTGGCGTTGCTATGGGTATCGCAGGAACGCAGGTAGGAAGGGCAACTCAGCGGTAGGAGGCCGAATGGTCGCGCTGTAGGTGGCCATGCAAGCCGCTGACATGATTCTGGCTAATGACGACTTTTCATCGATCGTTAATGCTATCGAAGAAGGAAGGCTCATCTTTGACAATCTGAAGAAGTCTATCGCTTACACGCTCACGTCCAACATTCCCGAGATCACTCCTTTCCTGGCCTTCGTTATCCTCCAAATTCCTCTGCCTCTCTCGACTGTCCTCATCCTGGCAGTCGATCTGGGCACGGACATTCTTCCTGCGATCTCCTTCGCATATGAGACCGCTGAGCTCGACATTATGTGTAGGAAGCCTAGGGACCCGCAAAGGGACAGGCTTGTGACCAACAAGTTGGTCATATACTCTTACCTTATCATAGGGTATATGCAGGCAGCGGCGGGCTTCTACACCTACTTCCAGGTCATGTACGACTACGGCTTCAAACCCTCCGGGCTCATCGGTCTCACCAATAAGGTTGTTTATGAGTTCGATTTGGACGATATGACCCCTACGGTTTTCCCTGAGGTCGATGAGAAGAAGCTTAATTGGGATGACAATGACTCAAGCAAATTGCACATCTGTGGGAGAGTCGGCCTTCGCGCCCCTGACGATGCCTCTGTTGCGACCATAGACTCGCTGCCAGTCTTTGAGAAATGCAGCGGACCGATCTTCACATTGTACAATCTCCAACAGTACTGTCATGAGAAAACGGGAACTCCGGCGTCCCAGATGCCCGCCGAGTCCCAGATGGACGCCCTTCTCGGTGGGAAGTGGTCCTATGATCAGAGCGTGGGAGTTGTCTATGCTCGCGACAAGTTCAACAGGCCGGCCTGTGATGCCATGCCTCGGGCCAGTATTGTCTTGGAGGGTCTGACCTACACTCTGTTCGTGCCCTATGGGGTCTGGAGTGTGGACGGCCAGAAGAAGATTGACGAGGCTACTCTGGACATGGAGTGCATGTATTGGACTCGCAGTCCTCTCATTGAGGCAGTCGGCGAGGACTCGACCAGCAATGACGGAGGAGTCCCGGTGTGTCACAGTACTGAGGCCCTCAAGTACGCCCAAAGCGCCTTCTTCCTGGGTATTGTGGTCGCACAGTATGCCACTTTGTTCTTCTGCAAATGCCGTACTCTGTCGCTGACCATGCAAGGCGTGTCCAACTGGTTCCAGAACTTCGCCTTAGTGGTGGAGTCCTCTGTGGCGGCGCTGGTCGTATTCGCTCCTTTCATGTGGGTGGTCTTCAATACTCGGCCTCTGGAAGGGTGGCATGTATGCGTACCGGCCATGCCCTTCGCTGTCTTCAACTACTGTTTTGATGAGGTCCGCAAGTACTTCCTGAGACAAGGCGCTCCAAATTTGAAGGCGATAACGGGAGCCTCTCAGACCAGATTCGGCAAGTGGGTGTATAAGACAACATATTACTAAGTGCTGGTAGACGATGACTTATCTCTATAATGCATTGAGATAATGAAGAATGCGTTCGTCCCTGTTAAGTCTTTGTCCATGATCGTGCATGCCTCTTTATCTGTGAACGCATATGGTGATGATGTTTGACTCGTCTTGTTGGTTTACAGTTAATAGTGACGAGTGCGGTGAGTGAACTCGTATGGGAAATGCCTAAGTGACATGTGCTACATGACGTGGTGGTTCGTAGGAGAAACGCTTGCCTGCGAGAGTCTACACCTCCGAGGCGAACACGGCATTTGCTTTCGTTGCTGATTACTGCTATCGTTGGTTCTACTTGGGATCTTTGGGTTTTGACTAAAGTGTCGCCTCGGTAGTGAGCAGCTTCATCTTATCCCCCGTCCGCAACTTTGCGTAACATTGGGAAAAGAACTTGTGTCAGCCCGAGAGGGAAGACTCCTACCAGGCGACCCCAAGGGAGGGAGCACTACAATGATGGACACAAAATCCTCAAGCGATGAGCACAACGGTGACGTGGCTTGCTTGCACGCATGCACATAGTCGATTTACGGAGCTGACAGCCTTGGATTTTCGCTCGACATACTGAGCGTATCGAACACTCTAATTCCACAAATGCAAGCACACAGTGGAAAAATGAAATCTGATTTAAAAGAATGTCTTCACAGTGTGAAAAAATCTATTTTTATTTTTAAAGTTGTCCATTGCTGGATTTGAGATTGAAAAAGTGTATGTAGTACAACAACCACTGTTGTCGTTCGGCCGATGATCTCGACAAGGGTGTTAGTGACACATCTGGAAACGGTGGTTGATACAGAATGCTGAGTGGAGACAGTTTTCATGTCATGGTCAGCGACACTGGCTTAAAGATAACGAGGCGTGCCTCTACAGCGAGGATGCCTTCTGGAGGGTACCTCTTCGCTGTGGTGAAGGACAAGGTGCAGGAGTACATCACCAGTGACAATGGGCGCGACAGCAGACGCATCATCAGCTTGGGTAGGGCTCAGTCGGTAATCGTATAAGGTACTCCCCCTTAGGTAAGGGGGACACGCCGCTACCACTCCCTCCAGTACTCGCAGACTCCATGGCTGAATTCTCTAGGAACATGCAAACAGTAACTCAGGATGCTATTGTGGATCACAGAATTGTTCGTTGCCTTTCAGCCTGCCGGATTCGTGGGCTACGACTCGCAGTATGAGCCAATTTTACGGCAGCTGATCTCGGATAAGTATTATGGCAGTCGATGCCGCGTTGGGGTCCACGAGATATTCTGTAACCCCCTTTCTCCTCCTCGCCCACACTTGAGTGTTTGTGCTGAAGGTAACGATGGTAGCAAGCCGGACATAGGTCGGCTCCAGCTACTCTTCGACCCATCCATGAGGGTCGCAGTGCAAGACCCGGCGTATCCAGTAAGGAAAGGCAGAGGTGATGGGCTCGTGTACGACGTCGTATTAGGTGTATGCGGACTCTGCGGTGCTCTCTGGAAGGGTCTCTGGTGAGATGGAGAGTCAGGGTCATTATGAAGACATAGTGTGAGGCTCTGGTTGGCAGTCACTGTATGGGAACGCCCGTTGTAGGTACATGCCCTGTACTGTGGAAAACGACTTCTTCCCGGACTTGACTTTGACCCTGGGTACCGATGGTCATGCTGGTGCTGATATAATCTACTACTGCAATCCCAACAACCCGACTGGTGTATCCACTGGGAGAGATCAGTTAGAGGAGCTGGTACGATGCAAATCTGACCCGTGGTGACGCCATGGTGACACGCAGGTCCGCTTTGCTGTGAAACATGGGAAGTTGATCATCTACGATGCCGCCTATGGAAGGTATCAAGTCTAGTTCAAGAGCTGTAACGCATCTCCTCAGCGACAGTTACATCAGTCCATCGTCTGACGTACCACGTTCTATCTACGAAATCGAGGGCGCGCGAAAATGTTGTATCGAAACCAATTCGTTCAGCAAATTGGCCAGTTTCACAGGAGTAAGTGTGAACGCCGGGGAACATGGCTTGGCATCTCATGGGTCTACTGACGTGTGGCGGAGTTGAGAGACTCGTCTAGTTTTGAGAGATAACGTCCCCAGAGTTTGATAGGAAATGGATAAAATGTTCCTAATGTGACATGGGAAACTTATTGAAGATTGTGTTCCTAGCCATTTAGAAAATTGGAAATGAGTTCCCCTCGGGAGCACTATAGATTTCTGGATGATTTGCCGGTGGAGCTCAGCATTGTAGGTTCGTCTGGGCTGGACTGTTGTGCCGGAGGACCTGCGTTTCACGGACGGGACGCCGTTCCTCACTGACTGGCGAAGGATCTCCACCACTGTGTTTCAAGGTAGGTATAGTCTATTGGGACCTGGACTGACACAGTAGGAGCCATCTCTACTAAATGCGAGACGTATTGCGACCATCCAGCGTTGGGGACAATTTTTGAGCGAAACCTTTCGACCAATTCAGGCGCCTCGGCTTTGTCCGTCGCTGGAGGCATTGCTGTGCTGAACAACCTGTCGGTGGTGATGGAGAGGGTGGAGTACTATATGGCGAATATGAAAGTGAGAAGAAAGAGAACACACAGATATTACTTGAACTCACCGTAGATGATTCGTGAGACTCTGGCCAAATGCGCAATACCCTGTTATGGCGGTGTTGATGCGCCCTTCGTTTTCGCCAAGTTTGGTGGGAATTCGTGGACGGCGTTCGACAAGCTACTGCGAGACTGCCAGGTGAGTCTTCCGGGGGGCTTTATTGTACACATCTAACCGTTGCAGATTGTCACGATACCAGGGGTTGGCTTCGGTCCGGCAGGAGAAGGCTTTCTGCGGATATCTGGTTACGGCACGGCAGATGATATCAAGGAAGCATGTGAGAGAATCCTCGCTGTGTTTGGAAGTTGACGCCCATGAGTTATCGTTTGGAGTTTTTCTCTTCATTGTCGTGGTGTTGCATGCAAAGGTTTTACTTGGTGGTATTTCTATACTCTTCCTTGCGGATCTTGTGAATCTCCTCGGGCTGGGTATAGGTGAACGATTGTGTATTCGCTAGCAGCGAGTATACCGGCCGAAACAGTGGCTTGGCACTGTTGGTTGTGGGCTTTCCCAACGTCATTGATGAGGTTGTCCCCGACGTCCACCATGCACCCTGGTACAGGGTCCTCCTGCCGAGCACTAGAGGGAACGCTTAGAGAGCGTTCCTTTCTCTTATTGCAATCAGCCCACTTCTTCACCCCGGGACTGCCGAGGCGAGTCTTATTAGCCCAAGATACGCGGCAGATCCACGGCTCTCTGAGCGAACAGGTGTGGAAAATGTTCGCTCCGTCCTGGGTGCGATGGTTGAAAACGAACGCCTCCGCATATTTCACCCTTGCGTTGCTGAGAGCGATTCTGCCATAAAGAGATAACTCCCCATCATCCACATCGAGTTCGCAGGTGCAGGGGTTGCTCTCCGTGAATGATCTGGTAGAAGTTTCCTTGTCGCACACGCAGGACCCTACGGGGCTTGGAACCGAGGCTTCTGGAAAGTCGTAGACGGTGACATTCAATTTGATCGGACCTTCCTCCTCATAACTCGCATCGAAGAAGTACTCGGTGTTGGCGAACGAAGCACGGAAGAACGCGCATTCTGTGCCGTTCGCGGTCTTCTAATCAGTGGATACTGAAAGGCTTCTGCTTCTTCCCAGACATTGGACACACCAGATAGGGCAGGCGCAAAACCACAGAGTTTGTATCCTCATGACGTAGAGTACCGATGGAAAACAGGAGTTCGGGTGTTACTGAATTTGTTCACCATTTCTCAAGTTGAGCTCGAACGATCTCGCACAGGCGCTCACCTGTCACCTGAGCTTCCTGTTGCTATTGCAGTCCATTCCGATCCACGTTCTAGTGAGCCGCGAAAGGCAATCTGAACTCGCCCCGCTGTCGACATTAACGGGGTATTTACCCTCGGCTGACCAGCCATGTATCGTGGAAGCCAAGACAAATTAACCTATTAGAATTCCATCTCTCGGAATAACCGTCTTCGGGGGCGTCTGTGGTTGTCACGTGAACACAGTAGAATATGAAGTTGGTAGATCTACTCCCAAGCTAATCGAGATCGACGCTGAACTTTGACGTTATCCGAATCGCAATGGCGAGTACAACCTCCAGTTGAGGCTTTTCGATGTCCCAGGGAAACCTACAGCTTATATGCTTATTGGCATGCATTTCCAAAGGTGATTCCCAAACAACCAGTTCCTACACTCTACCAGACTCTTCCGGACTGCCCCCCACAGGTCTTGCCATTCCTTGCGAGAATTATTACTCATACTCTCTCTAGGGTTCACTAACGCGATGTATAGCGGTTACGGCTACACTGGAACTCGCGTGCTCGAGACGGCCTATGGGACCAAGGCTTACGAGGTCTTCAACTTCTCGCAACAGGCGACCGTGGACTCCGACGGCGACGTTTGGATGGTCGGCAAGGAGTTCCATGCGGTTCTTAAAGTCCCCAAATCTTCCCGGTATAGTGTTCCGCCATGGGCAATCCATGTGATCAGGAACCAGGTATCTGGACTGGCCCGCTCACTACAAGGTCGTTGCTGGTCGCTGGGGACGTTCTGGCTATTTGGACGGCAGTAACGGAGTCGCCATGTTCAATGCACCGCTGAGTCTAGCAGTGTGGGAGAGAACAGACGGGTGCTCGGATCCGCCCTCTCCGCTGTTCCTCGACCTCGAATACTCAGAGCTGGGGCATCCACTGGGAAGTTCCTTTTAGTGGCCGACACCGGCAACCATTGCATTCGTCGCGTGAGTGTTGGGGATAGGCGGACCATAACGCTAGCTGGGAGGAGGTGGGATCGTCAGCAGCGTTGCTCGTTGATGTCAACACTGTAGTGGTGAAAGAGGCCATCGTGATGGCACCGGCCTCATGGCGCTTTTCGACACACCAACCTCAATTGGGGTGGAGGCCACCACGGGCAAGGTGATGGTCTTGGACGGTGGGGACAGGCTCCGGCTCATCACTACTCGAGAGACAGCCGACGACCTCATAACCAGCGTGGGAGCTCGGGAGGGGTGTCGAGGGGTTGAGAAGCCTTTCAGGTTGTGACCATCGTCAAGGGCGCGTGCCGGTCCATGGTACAACACTTCATATTATCATCGATAGTAATCCGGGAAGTGTGGTGCCACACGCAGTGGGCTGCCAGCTCTGTACCACAGGAGCAGGTGGAGATCTGGCAGTACCCTTACGTGAGTCGACAATGGGTTGGTCCCTCCAAGGCTCTTTGTAGATGTGCGTTGGGCATATCGCGACATGTGGGCCTCGGAACCATCCGGGAATCTCTGATAGGGAATCTGCCTGGCTGCAGACCCTGGACAACTTCACACAGAGTCAGAACGACACTGCCACGAACGCTAACTTAGAGACTGGCACATTCCTAGTTGACCAGACTGGTGCCGCATGATCGCAGAGTATCGCAGAAGTACGGCGTTGAGTGACAGGAGAGCATCCTTCTTGGGAGAGCGGGGCCCATCAGATGGGCCCCATCTAGCGTTGGTCATTTGGATGTCCATTATCCTGCAGGGCGGCTTCGCGGTGATACCATCGGGCCATCCAGGAAGGCTAGTCAATGCAGGTTGGCGACATTACTTTCGAGTTCCAAGGCATGGGTCCCGACACTGCATGAAAATGCTTCTTCGCCCACGCCCAGAAATACTCCATGCTTAGCACAGTCACGATCTGGAGGTGGGCGACTCAGGCCGAAATCGGCCGTCGACTATACACTGCGCTGTAGATGGACTTCTGGGCGCTATCAGGGAACGCGACACGGGCATGGTCATTGTTAATTGGGAGGACTCGTCCGGTCTGACGCGATGAGATTATCACATGAGCTCGAGTGCGATGTTCCAGCATATGATGGCACAATGAGAAGTGGATGGGGTATCTTTTAGAGCAACGGGTTGTTATCAGGGACAAGAAGAAGGCTGACAATGGTTTGACAGCGAGGTTCGCAAAAGCTACGCAGGTGAAGGCAGCTGAGGAGTACAGCTCCCAGCTCTGGAATTCGTCGCTAATTGGGCATGTATGGGTCAGGAAAGATGCCGCGGACGAGAAAACGGGAGCACCAGTGACGCGGAAGTCCAAAAGCCTCACTTAGGCAAAGGGTGGGAGCAAAATGACTAAGACGAGCGTTGAGAAGGCTGTGGCGATGAGCTAATCAGAGGAGACAAGACCTCCTCGAGGTTGGTAGCTGATGCCTTCGTTGGTGACCATGGGTGATTTTCTACCCTTCCTGTTGTGATTTCAGTTTGTACATGCTTCGAGGGTCATGTTGTTCGATCAAGTGAGTAGTCGTAGCAAGGTGTGTGTACTTGAGATAATTCCAGTCTCAAGTACAACGGCAAGGATGGTACTGTTGAAGTAAAGCGACGTAAGTGAGACAACCTTGGCGGAGGATGCCGATCCTTCTGGTGCTCTTCTCCGAAAGACTCCCTTGAAGAGGGGTATATGGATATGGATAAAAGGGTGGGTTTCGAGAAAGATACACAGACTGTGAGGAGGACAGTGCCTGCGGCTCTCGAAACCAAGCCGGAATGTGTGAGAAATTCTCACAAAAACAAGATCCCGCTTAAAATTAGTGTTGGATGATAGCGTCATGTTTGAGTTAACTCCGCCAGGCTGCTTCGAGCACAGTTTGTATCAACAAGCGTGGCAGGGGAGTGCTCTTGCGTTGGGAATCCTAACAGCACGGAACTCGTTCTGGGCGCGCGCGTTTTACACTGAGAATGTGGACGCGTATACATGACAGCACAGTCGTCTCCATTTCATGCAGCTCGAGGCCGCTCGCATATGGGCCATGAACTGTAGAAGAGCTCATTACTGCTAGTCTACTACGGGCTGATTCCCAAGGGCCGTTGGGTGGTGTGTGTCTATAATAGAGAGAGACCGTGACGCCGTCTGCGTATTACGGTCCGATAGTTTCCCAGAGGAGGAATTGAATATCCATCATACCAACCAGTCTCCTGAGGTCTCGGACTCACACACGCATCTGGTCAGAAAGTCGGAGACGCTCTTAATCCGACCGTTGGGTGCTGTTATGATCATCTACGGTTGATTAGTTTTTGTTGGTGTAATAGTACCATGTCCGCTCTCCCAGTTCGCGTTGCTCATGCATGGGCAATTGTGTGGCTTGATTTCTATCAGGTAAGCTCAGTAGTGGGAGGTATTCGCCGCATTGAATCCACGTCTTAGACACCCTGCTTGATAACGGAGGGTTTCACTGACGGCATCAAGGGAATGTTCAGGGAGATAGGCAGAGGGAAGCAGGAGTACCCCTTCAACCCACGTAAGGCAGGGAGCGCTCTCGCCATGGGAGTGAGCTCAGATGTTTTTAGTGAATCCTGCGAACGCGACGACAAACCGCTTGGGCCGGAAGAAGAAGTACTGTAACGACAAGGACTCTTTCCGCTTTGGAGCGACCTATTAGAAGAAGCGCTCGGTGTTGAACAGTTTCACAGTTACCGTGTAGATCATACTATGTTACATGTTTTTGCGTTGTTGAGGTTCCACTAAGCTCTTTGGGCATCACAGCTCCCCTCATTTTCACGTGGGTAGATGCCAATTCGAGAATTCTTCGCTGTGCGCGGGGTTGAATCCGCGCGGCTCACAGCTGTCCAAGTTCGGGTAATTTAGGTACAAGCCTTCCTCTGGTCCGGCTTGGCCATTCATATGGACCCTCGCTTATTCCTGTTCGACCTGTTTCTCTTTGTTTCTAAGCAAAGTTGTTAGACTTTTCAATGGGAGTGGTTACGGAAGACTGTTGAGGTTTATGCCAGCGGCTGCTATGGTTGCCGTTCCCCTCGGCAGCAAGGAGTGGGTGAATGCTCGCCAACAGTGTCGAGTAATATCGGTTATCTGCTTTGCTTGTCCGGGCTTCTTCAATGCTCTACAGGGTGAGTCACCCAGGCTATAGTACCCTGAGGTCTTTATGCCTATAGGTCTCGGTGGAGCCGGGATGAAGTCAACCGTTGCTGCTGATGCTGCTAATGTGGCTCTCTATCTGTGCTTTGCCGTGGCGGGCTTCTTCGGAGGGTCTCTCTTCAACATGCTGGGTGTACGGAAGCTTATAGTGGCGGGCTCCGCGACGTATTGTCTGTACGCAGCTGCAGCGTACGTCGCCAGGGAGAAAGATACACTGGAGAGCTACTGCGTTTTCGTCTTGGCGGGGGCATTGCTTGGGATCGGCGCGGCCTCTCTGTGGACTGCACAGGGGGCTGTGATGGTAGCGTATGCCGCGCCAGAGGAGCGGGGTCGATTCATAGGGGAGTTCTGGCTTATCTTCAACCTGGGGGGTTTCCTCGGCGGCCTACTGCAATTCATAATCAACTACGATGGAGAAGAGGCTACTGCCTCCAACGGTTGGACCTATCTTGTTTTCGTCTGTGTTATGGTCTCTGGTTCGGCCATTGGATGGTTCATGATTGCTCCCCCAGATAGAGTCATGCGCTCTGACGGCGTACCCGTCACAGTGTACCCTGCCAAGCCGGTGGGGAAGGAATTACGAGACACAGTAACAGTGGTGAAGGAAGGCGCTATGGTTCTCCTGATGCCCTTATTCTTGGGCACGAACTTCTATTATCCATACGTCTTTAATTGTGTGAACGCCTCGTCGTTCACCGCTCGCTCCCGCGGCTTTAACTCAGCTTCATATTGGGTATCACAGATGCTCGGCGCGGTGGTCGTTGGCAGGTTTCTAGATCGAACCGATTTATGCGTGCGGGCCAGAGCTAAGCTAGCTCTCTTGGGACTCATCATTGGTGGTATTTGCGTCTACTCCTATGGAGCGATCGTGGAGGAGTTTTCGTTGCGCTTCATCCGTCGTGGTGCAGCACTGGATGTCATATCGAACCCTGGAGGCTCACTGAGTATCATATCACTCTTGGTCGCCTATGGTTTCCTAGAGTCCATACTACAAGCATATTGCTACTGGTTACTAGGTGTCCTTGCTTCAGGTAATGCCAATGTCTCTGCGAAGTATACGGGCTTCTATAAGGCTGCTCAGTCACTGGGTGCGGCACTTGGATGGGCCCTCGATACTCCAGCAGTGGGTGTGAGCTGTCGCAGTCAATTTTGGCTCTGTGGCTTGGTGTTTACGATGGGCCTGTTACCGGTTTCTCACGTAGTCCGCACGGCACTTCGAACCAGTGGAGAACGCTCTGTGGGAGTTGAATAACTCGTGCCATGTAAAGACTGGTGTCGCGTTTGGGACACCAGTCATCTCGCGTCTGATGCCTAATAGGTCTCTATAGTAGATGCACAATAGAGGGTTTGGGTCATCTTTTATTGTCGAGCTGATCATGAACGTTATGTTACTAACTCAGAGGCCACTGAATGGCACATACCTTATCTAGGGTCACAATGCAGCTATGTTCTCAACATCATCCGCCGCATGAGGTCTTATCCTGGCCCACTTAAAACTCCGACAGGATGATCGAAAAAAGCGCCCACCCTTCGCAATTTCCTAGCACAGGGCAATATCAGACGAACTCAAGTACCGTTTTGAAAATCTCGACGAGTGGTAGTTGAATCAATTCCAAACTCTTCATACTCGACAAGCTATGACGATATATAGAAAGCTGGGTATAGGGAGAAGTGCCGGCAGATTCCATTTCTGCAGTGTTTCCGTCTATCCATGGTCCAACTTAGCGATATGCACCGATATTTCGTCATGTGGCCATGGAACGGTAAACCTGATTGGGGCGGCTATGCCATCGTGCTTCCCACTTTGTGATATGCACCGATATTTCGTCATGTGGCCATGGAACGGTAAACCTGATTGGGGCGGCTATGCCATCGTGCTTCCCACTTTGTGATATGCTCCGATATTTCATCATTTGCCCATGGAATGGTAAACCTGATTGGGGCGGCTATGCCATCGTGATTCCCACTTTGTGATATGCTCCGATATTTCATCATTTGCCCATGGAATGGTAAACCTGATTGGGGCGGCTATGCCATCGTGATTCCCACTTTGCGATATGCACCGATATTTCATCATTTGGCCATGGAATGGTAAACCTGATTGGGGCGGCTATGCCATCATGCTTCCCACTTTGTGATATGCACCGATATTTCATCATTTGGCCATGGAATGGTAAACCTGATTGGGGCGGCTATGCCATCATGCTTCCCACTTTGTGATATGCTCCGATATTTCATCATTTGGCTTTGGAACGGTAAACCTGATTGGGGCGGCTATGCCATCGTGCTTCCCACTCTGTGATATGCACCGATATTTCATCATTTGGCCATGGAATGGTAAACCTGATTGGGGCGGCTATGCCATCGTGATTCCCACTTTGTGATATGCACCGATATTTCATCATTTGGCCATGGAATGGTAAACCTGATTGGGGCGGCTATGCCATCTCTTTGCGAATGCTGCAGAAAGTTGAGCCATACAGTGCAGAATTGGAATCTGCCAGCACTTCTTTCTATTCACGGCTCTCTACATATCGTCATAACTTGTCGAGTATAAAGAGTCTGAATTCGATTAAACCGCCATTGGAGAGAGCTAATCAAGATCTCCGAGATGGTATCTGAGTTTGGAAGATATTCACATGTGTTAAGAAACTTCGAGGGGTGGACCTTTTATTCCCGATCATCCTGTATGTGTATAGTGCCTGGTTCTCTTCCATTCGATAGTTGCTCATGGTGTCAGGTGTTACATTTGACCCGATCGCGAAACGACGAGCTTTCGAGCTGAATACACTTGACCAGTGCTCGTGTTCCGGAGACTTTTCTCAATTCGCAACTGGTTGCGTACTTTCCCTGCTCAGCTTCTTTTCCAGACCATCACTTCAATGTCTGGAGAACCTCGTGTGGACAAAACTGGCACTCAAGCCGGGGAGACGCCGATGTCTCTCGACTCATCTACTTCCAGTAGAATGGCCGCTTACTCTAGAGGACTAAAAACAGACGTCTTCTATCATCTCGGCTTGGACACAGACATGGATCTACATGCTACCTTCGGTAATGTTAAATTCTTTGTACTCATGGGGTCAGCCCAGAGAGCCGAGTACTTCGCCGAAGCTATGGGGAATGCATTAGTCTCTAAAGGAATGCCCAAACCTGTAGTTGAACGTCTAGGTAAGACAGAGCGCTACAGCATGTATAAGGTTGGACCTGTTGTCTCCGTCTCCCACGGGATGGGTGGTCCCTCAATCCACATCCTCCTCAATGAACTTGCTAAGCTTTGTGACCGCGCGGGTATCGTAGACTCCGTGAAGTGGATCCGTATGGGTACTTCTGGTGGATGCGGAGTACCTCCTGGCACTGTGGTGGTAACAACCCAAGCCATGAATGATGAGGTGGAACCATACTGGAGGTGTGTCCAGCTTGGCAAAGTCGTCAAGATCCCCACCGATTGTGTGGATATGAAGTTCGTGGACGCTATATTGGAATCTGTGCCCGACAACATCAATGCTGTTAAAGGGAAGACTATGGCAGCTAATGATTTCTACGAAGGACAAGGCCGTCTCGATGGGGCACTCGAGACCTGGTACAACGAGGATGACAAGATGGCCTTCATGAAGCGCTTGTACGACGCTGGTGTTCGCAACATTGAGATGGAAAGTGTTGCCATGATGGGCTTCTGTAATCGTGCTAATATCACGGGAGCATGTGTCTGTGTCACCATCGTTGATCGTCTAAAGGGTGATCAGATTACAGCCACCAAACGTGAACTTGCTCGCTTCAATGAGCACTCGACTGATGTCGTGACCAACTTCATCGCAAGTGAACTCAAAAAGTCCGGATGTTAATCTCTCCGGTAGGCCATAATCTTGATAACCTGTCTTCGTCGTACACGGGGATTATAATAGTCGGATTTCTCTCCATTGCTAAGTTGCTTATGTTGATAACACGGCGTTGAATATTGAATAGAATTTATCTTTGATTATCTATTGCTTCGGTCGTGTTTGAGTTGCGAGAGTTTATGTGTCAATTATTGAGGTATCTTGCCAACGATGATGAGAGCATTTCAGCATTTACTATCAAACGAGCACGAAGTTAATTCGGTGGTTGATAACTTACAGAACTCTTGAGTGACAACACATGAAAGAACGTCTGAACGAAGGCTCGAGTATATAGGCTACGAATGCAATGGAAGATGCGCGACACAAAGAGGAAGACAGGAAGGAAATATTTGCTCCGCTGTAGTGCTAAGCTTAGGAGGTCTTCATTCGTCATACAGTATAGATACATATCAATCGTGAGTTATTAGCTCAACTGGTCTTTGGAATCCCAGCAATATGTCGACCACTTCCACCCCTGCCTCCAGACACAACATCTCCCCCTATGCCCAAGCGTTGTCTTGTGACCATTACTATCATCTCGGCCTCGATACCGATATGGACCTCCAGGCCCTTTTCGGTGATGTCAAGTACTTCGTCATGATGGGCTCTCCTGCCCGTGCTGAGACCTTCGCTGAGGTCATGGCCAACGCCTTTGTGGAGCAGGGTCTCCCAAAGCCTACTGTTATGCGTCTTGGTAAGACCGAGCGTTACAGCATGTTCAAGTGTGGGTCTGTGATCTCCGTATCTCACGGTATGGGTGGTCCCTCTCTTCATATCCTCATGAACGAAGTTGCCAAGCTCTGTAATCGTGTTGGTATCATCGATACCGTCAGGTGGATCCGTCTTGGTACTTCTGGTGGCTGTGGTGTTGCTCCCGGAACCGTTGTATGCACCACTCAGGCCATCAACGACGAGATCAAACCCTGCTGGAGGACTGTGCAGCTCGGTAAGGTCTTCGAGATCCCTACCGATGTTCTCGATATGCAGTTTGTCGATGATATCATCGCCAGCGCCCCTGAGGATATTCCTGTTGTGAAGGGCAAGACCATGGCTGCTGATGATTTCTTCGAGGGTCAGGGACGAACTGATGGTGCTCTTACCCCCTGGTATACTGAGGAGGATAAGATTAACTTCCTCCATCGCCTACATGATGCTGGTGTCCGCAACATCGAGATGGAGAGTGTCGCCCTCATGGGCTTCTGCCAGCGTGCCAAGATCCCCGCTGCTTGCGTATGTGTGACCTTGGTTAACAGGTTGGAGGGTGATCAGATTACCTCTACTAAAAGACAACTCGCCAAGTACAACGAGTACTCCATCCGTGTGGTCAGCAACTTCATTGCTACCACTCAGGCAAAGATTGCCCATTAAATGATTTATTCATTTGTATTATCCTGAATTTGTTGTATTTTCCAAATAACGAGACTCTAGGTAGTCTCGAGGTTAGACAATAACCTAACTACTGTCGGATTTGGGTGATTACTTTATGCTTCATCATACTACTTGTAGATCATGCTTTGAGTTTGTCAGTTGGGTGCACGGGCAACAGAGGGAATGATTTCTCTGCATGAGAAAAACTTGTGATTTCAACAAGAATGTTATTGAACCATCCCACTTGACGTAGTGGATACAGCATCAATACTGTAGATGTAGGGGTAGATTGAGTTTCAGTCGTCAAGTTCAGTGGTTTCCTTCTACAACGAAGCAGCACTTCGCCTATCAGTGTAGTAACTACCGAAGGCAACGAGCCGGTAGCTTGAGTAGTTCGGCTGCATCGCCTCTTCAAGGGAAGGTTAAGAAGATAAACGGAGGCGAATCTCGTGAGCACCCACGAGATTGCACCGCCTTAGTTACCGAGAATATATTCCAAATACTCCAACCCTGGCCTCATAATCTGGTAGAATGGTTTGGTACTCTACGAGTACCGAAGAGGGGAAAATACTCAGGGACACATATTCTGAGTGACACTCAGTGAATCTGTGTCGACAATGCGTGTCCTCACCCTCTTCCCTACTTACTCCCGAGAGTAGAAGGATTAGGACCAATAGAAATACTCCATCTGCCCTTGAACACAGCATGATATGCAGAATGCGGGGAAGACTCACTTGCCTCTCGGTTCCATCTCTGAATTGTGAATCGGTAGCGAAGCGATGTGACGCGACTATCCGTATTGGTATTCAACTAGTGTTAGTCATCATGCCTTTTAGCGAGTCAAGTGCCGTTTGTCTTTCCAATATAAAGCTGTGCGAGCTTAGTTCGACCAGTCCATGAAAGCACATGCAAGCATGCAACTAGACTATTCGACGCTGGAATAGCAACGTTTATGATGCTTCCGAACCACTCAACTACTCTAGAATGATGCTCTTGTGTGTTAGTTGTAATATATCGACCAGACGATCGCCGCTGGAGATTCGATACCATACCATTTGCGACAATCACGAAAGGAACCATCCAATACAACCCCAGCCAGTATTCGAGAACCAGATCACTTGAATCGGTAGAGATGCTCTACATAGTGAGGCGTTGTTGGCCGAGAAACACGTTGCGTCTCACACGAGCGGTACAGAGCCTTCTCATCTCCCTGCATATCACGTTTCTGGCCAATCTCCAACTTTTCATGTCCGTTAGAGAGGGGCTTCCGAGGGCGCAAGACGGGCGATGCCAGACAAGTAGGACCTCCCTTCACGGCCAAATGACTAGGTAACCGGAAAGCCTGTCGGTTTTCACGAGTTCCACTGTGAGTGCTCCGTATTGTAAAGGAGGGGCCTACCAAAGTCGGGAAATGCTGGAGAAATTCAAGAAAACTACACCATTCCAATACGCCTGATCCATCACGTAGGAACTCAACAGACGGAGATGATAATAGTACTACTATAGATGATCAGCTGATGATCTCCGCCTTAGTGCAATCTTGCAACCATAGGCTGATGCCCTCGTGCTTAGTCTTCCGAGGCAACGCCCAGCCTGGTAACGGCTGAGGGAGGGCCTTCAGCACCTCCTCGCAGACTCTGGGATATCCCATGAACGCTGCGACCTCCAAAGCATTGACCATCTGCTTAGTGTTGCAATACTCACCCAACAGGTGGACCATCCCAACGTGACCTCTCAGCGCTGCGACGCTCAACGGCGTTGCCCGAACGCCTCCTCCGTCGCTCAAACGTATCCTCTCTGCTGCCTTGTCCGGCCATAAGGAAAGCAGCACGCGTGCACAACCCACGTGCCCTGTGTAGGCCGCAATGAGCAGGGAGTCGTACCACCACCCGAGACTTTCCTTCAACCCTTTGATGTCGGCCGAGAAGAGTAGCCGCTGCAGACACAGTTCTGAGCCACCTAGAGTGGCAGCCACTAGGGCGGTCTCAGTTACCATACAGCCGTTGTTGAGCAGCATATCTAACACAGTGTGATGGGCATTGACAGAAGCCCTCTCAAGAGCATCCACGTACGTATTCGGTACCACCTTCAGTCTTATCTTCGGTAGGGAGATGGAAATAGTAGCATAATCACGCAGTAAATAATACAGACATCTGGTGGAGCCGCACTGGGCTGACCGAACCAGTAGGGCCTCCTCAAGATCGTCCCTGGGCAGCAGAACACCGTTACTGGTCTTCTCCATGACCCTCACAATAGCACTGGGGGCGTCTTGGGCCACCGCGATCTCGAGTGCCTTCAGCCTTGCCCGTTGTGGAATCCAAGTGGACGACCAGAGCGTCTCCAGCACCCTCGAATGGCTCACATGCGCCCCCAATATTCCGATCCATTCACTGTCACTAAATCTCAACGCCTGGCAGTTGCTCATCAAAATCGCCACTATCCCCGGGTCAGTGGCCGCTTGAAGTGCCTTAGGGCTGACTCGAGCTCCGTGCTCGCTCAGGAGGCGAGCTACAAGACCAGCGTTCGAGCAGCCCCTACAAGCCTCCACCAGAGCCGCATCCAGTACAGCGTTGGGACCCTCAGGGAGAGACTCCAACAGTAAATACAGTATGTTGTCATTTTGCAATCTTACACATTCCTCAACGCTGCCCTCATCCGGGCCTATCCCGCTGTCCAACAGCCGCTGCACCACATCCTTCCTACTAGTCGCTACAGCGATCTGCATAGGAGAGACGCTAGTTCGCCCCTCCGATAGGACTCCCGCCGAGGCAGAGGGATGCACTGGCCCGAGCCGTATCAAGACCTCTTCAATGCAGTGCATGCATCCTCCCGCGACAGCTGACATCAGAGGCGTCACACCAGATAAGCTGGCGACTGTCACCAGAGTAGGGGAGCTCCTGAGTAACAAATCAACACAGTCACATCTAGCCCGGCCCAATGCCTCCAGGAGGGGCGTAGTGATGGCACTGTGAGAGCCCACAGGCATACCACACCTCAGCAACTTCTCGAGGACATCAACTCGACCCAACTTGGCAGCAAGGATGACAGGAGTGAGGCCCGAAGCGCCCTCGTACTCAGCCATACCAGCCGGGTCCTCCTCCAACAACTGCCCGACCTCCTCCACACTACCGTATCGCAGCGTGCCATACACACTGGATGGGAACCGCCGCTCTCGGAGGGCTGGACGGGGGACTTCTGGTTGTGATGGAACGTGGCCCATGAGGACACCTACGCTCGACAGGACATGGGAAAACAGGGTGAATTCACTACGCAAGAGATAAGCATGCGCCATAGTACGAGACAGCAGCCGATTCTGATGATATCAACAGGAGGCCTACATCCAGCGGACCAGGAGCGTGTCTAGGACGGGTCAGTCGCCGACAGTTCCCCGACGCAACGCAAGAGACCCCACTCGTTGATGACCCCACGACCATGAGATTCCTCATAAGCTCGGTGAAAGGAACTACTAGGGTCGGTCCGGAAAGAGAAGGAAAGGAACTACTGTCATTCCGTGACCATGGGAGACGCTGAATGGAGAATACGCATCCCAGGTCTTATCCAGTCTATTCTAAGCATGTCCGTACGTGGGTCTGAACCAGCATTCAGAACACCATTGGATGCCAGACAGGACCATCATACATCAGCAACCTCCACGATGATGATATCCCTTAAGGAGAGAGGCGCGGCTGCTCGCTTCACAGACTAGTGTAGGAGGAAGCGACTGTCCTTCTACTAAACGTACAGATCAACCGAAGAGGGCTCGAGGTCGTCTCCTAGTTAGTCTTGCAAAAGGGCGCAATATCTTGAATTCTTGGCTGGTCTGCAAGAACCCTAACTCTGCCCTGACTGACCGTGCCTCTGAAGAAATTCTTTGTAATTTTCATCATTAGGAAGTGTAAGGGATTCCTTGCTTTTCATGGAGTGCCTGAAACGCAGACCTGCTTCTAACCGTAAAAGGCCGAGCGATGTGGGTTGCGCTGAAATCATGAACTTGTCCCAGCGGCTTGTATGATTTCCAACAAATTTGACGACTACAGGTAATATCTAGCAGAGTCCAACTCACGTGCATCAGCTCCTACCGTCACAATCAATGAGGTCTGACGATACGAATTCCCTCATGGTCGTGGCTACTCTACTCTCGAAAGAAGTAAGTGTCTTGCCAACGGTTTACGGTAGGCCTCAGATACTCTACTGCTAGGCCGAAATAAGAATGGCTATTCGCGATTCGCGATTCGCGAAGAAGTATGGGAGGGCACTGCTTCCGTAGTGCCTCCGTAGTGGACGTGCTCCGTACTCAAATGTTAGCCGGTCTCCGCCACCTCTCCGATGAGCTCACACGAATCTTCCTCACATCGTAGGATGCGTTTCTTTTTATGGGCGAGCGAATGTTCCTATTCAACCATGCTAACGAGGAGGGTGTGAATCGAGTTGCTCAGTTCGTTTCCAGGTTCACTTACCCTGGCTCAGCCAACACGGTCCCAGCCCGACCCGTAAATATTCGAGGCGCGCTTAGAGCTCGTGACTTCCGAGCATTCTGTTCGTCATTGTGGAGTTTCTCGTGAACCTTCTTGGGATGCGGAGCGCGCTATCCATGATTCAACTTGTTATTGCTTTCTGAGGTTCTACAGCATCGACGAATCTCTTCCTCGTGTGGTATCGTTCTTGTCTGATTTCATGTCACTATCACCGAGTTTCGCCTCCTTCGCTGTAGCTCGTATCAATGCATCGATTTTGACTATTCGTAATAGTCTGCAATGCCGACCGGTGGTTTGTCAACGTACTTCCCTCGTGTGGCTCCACCCCTGCTGCTCAACTCACGAGTGCGGCGAAATGCATTTGGGTTGCCTCCATGTGCTTCCTTCGAAGCCGCAGATCCTCCGCAGTCTTTCATCGACTTGTCTCAGCCATGTTCCCCCAGCCTGCCCAGCCATATCCCGTCACAGTTAGCGGTTCGATACCACCTACCCCCAGTGCTGGCTCCGAGCCTGCCGTATTCTGGCCATCTCGTGAGTGTCGTTACCCCCACTCTCCTCCGCTCAGCTTTGGCGTCACCTTTCAGTGTTCCCAGCTCCTTCGTTGGTCATCCCTCGTACGCCATTCTCGACATACCTACCCCCAAGATTGACCAGCCGAGTGGATTCGATGGGCTCCGTGACCACCGTGGTGGGGAGTCAAGGCGCAGACACGCAGAGAAGTGAGCCACGCAGGCTGCAGAATAGCTGCGCCAGATTCCCCGCTTTTGGTATTGAGCTCAAATAGTCCTTCGTTCAGGCCAGGGACTCTCCGACCAAACCGTTGTTAAGGCCACTTCACCGAAGCCTTCGACTGCTCACTCTGAAGCTGAGCCAATGACTAAGACTGAAGAGGACAAGACGGGTGTTGTGGGAGTTCCTGGTAAGCCTAGGACTCGACTGAGGCTATCTGGAGTATTGTCACATGCAGGTGCGTCCGCGGCTTCATCCCATAATTCGGAACCGGAAGGCATCAATTCTAAGAAGTAATTAAAAGCCAATCGGGGTAAGTAGGCATATCTTCAGACCCTGTGAGAAAAAGAAGGAAGAGGTTGAGGACAAGGTCGCCAACAAGCTCAATACCGAGCTCAAAGAGCTCCTGGAGGAAGCCCGCCGTAGCGAGGAGAGATACGATTGTATCAAACGTAGGAACACGTCGAGGTTGAGCGTGGTTGAAGTTGCGCTCCAGTTGAGATCGACACTCTTCGCGATTTGAATCGCAGCAGAAGTGGCCTCATCGATGAAGCCAAGAAGCTGGTTCATTCCTTAAGAGAGGAATTGCTGGACAAAGAGATCTCTTTGAGACAAGTGAGATTATTGTGACTCAGCATCACATTTGGTGTTTGTCAGCTTCAAAACGAGAAGGAACAGCTGGAGTTGGATCTGAGGCTTGTCGATGATGACGTGAGACTCGTTCGTTATCGAGGAGCTCTCATTGCTGTTCGACTCGGGCGTTTAGCGCGAGACCTGTGGTCGTGTAATCTTTTTTGCGAAATTCATTTTGTCAGGCGCGTTTCATCGAGGAAGAGCTGACGAGGTTGCAGACGAGAGCCGAAAGGGCCCAAGCAGAAGCCGACGTAGTCAAGAGTGGTAGGTTTCGTGCAGGGAACATAATACTGACCCAGGCGACATTCATCCGTGAAGAACTGGCAAAGTTGAAGGCTGACGAGGACGATGAAGAAGATGCAGAGGATGCCAGCGAAGAGGATGAGGACTATGAAGGGAGCAGTAGCGAGGAGGAGGAGGAGGAAGATGATAGTTATGAATGCGAGGAGGAAGATAGCAGCGATGACAATTCTGAAATGTGGGTGTGTCGAGTGGTGGATACAACGGGAGAGTCGAACTGGTGGGCTTTTAGGGCGGTCCGGAAGAACCGAGAGCAGTTCTTTGAGATGATGATGGAGTTGGAACAGCTCAAGATTGAAGCTCAGGCTGCTGATCAACTGGACAAGCTCGCCGAGGTATGCCGACGACGACGACCGGCAGCTTGTGTTCGTCTTAAACTTATATCATGCTTCATCGCGGTGGAGTGGTCCATGCAGCGAAGTTGGTTCGGAGCTCGATGGCTGTGTCAGGCGTTGAAGAAGGACGAGTCCAAGCGTTTGAAGGCATTCGAGAATAAGCTGAAGCACCGTAGCGAGGAGTATAGTGAAAACGACGGCACCAAAGATAAGTGGGTACCTATCTCCGCATCACAGTCTAGTCTACGACCAGTCGTCGCACATGTTCAGTCGCCCTGTCCAGACTGAGGTTATCTAGCTCTTTTTGAGGGCTTCCACTGGAGTATTGACTGCTGTTATACGCGATACTTCTCATTATCATCATCGCAATAATTTTTGGAGTCCGCCCCCCATGCATGCCCTACTATCACTCACTTTCAAAAAATATATACTTTCCGCGTTGACCTCTGTGGGGTGTTCAACTGTGGAATTTAGCGATCGCTTTGGCACTCTCTGCGGGGTCAGATTTCCGATGCGATTGTGCGCCGATGGTCAATGGAGTGTTTCACGAGCTGCGCGGCGAGTTTTTGTAAGGGGTACATTTCGGTACATACTTGAGTCTTCACCAGTAGCATATCTCTGCCAGGGAAGTGAGGCTTCCTTTTACTCGCAATTGCTATGAATATTTGTTTCCTTCGATTTCACTAGTCCGCTCGGTTGATCGAGGGTGTACACTGTGTACCAACTGTGACCACCTGGGTCGTCAGCTAAGCGAATCTCTACAGGCTTGTCACTGATCCTTTGAATGGGCTATACAACTTGCGTGTCCGTTCCCATTTGTGTGCTGGGGAATAACGAGGCGGCTAGTTCGGCGAGGTAGAGGTGTTGGTCGTTGATTAGCAGTTGGAAGCTTTTGGGAATACTGTTGCCACCACCAGCACTGTCTCAGCCATCAGTGAATGTCGATTCACATATTACGCCCGTCCAGAGAGCTATTATCCACCATCAACATAAGGCCAGCAGCATGGCAGCTGACCAAGCATAGCGAGCTGCAACAGCGACTCAAAAACGGTTGCGACCCCGCGGAGATCGCTCGAAGCCACCTCCAGGTCATGTCGGTCAGTAATATAAATTTGGCGATGAACCAACTGCGAGCCCAGCGTGAGTTAGTAATCACAATTTCGAGGCGTAGTGAAGCCGGTGCTCTTGTATCATGTCTAGGTTCTACTGACGTTGATGTAGTCATTCAGCTCGGGAGCAAGCTGCTGGAATTCGAGACGGCCAAGTGGGGTCGTCCCAGCCACAGTTTGGTGAGCGGCAGGGTCATCTCGGATGCAGTGTACGCCTTGACGAAGCTTCTCGCCGATGTTCCCGATCGCGATAGGAGGCGACGAATAGCGTAGAATAGTTGACAATGACTTTCCCATGTAGTTCACTGCCGTTTCAGCACGCTTGTGCTCGACCACGCTATACGAGTTCGTGTTGAAGCTGTTAAGATCTCCACCGGTGATGCTGCATGTATCCTTTGGTCGCTGTCCCGAATCAAGTCCTATATAGTTCCCTCTGAAGAGAGGGAGCTTGAGGTGGGTAGCATATCATGATAGCAAGACCGTTAGCTCCCCACTAGGCTTGTTGGATGGAGCTCTGCTCCTATATGGGGAGGGGGGACATCGCTAAGAGGCTTCGGCCGCCGGAGGTGGCATTGCTCTGCTCGGCAGTATCATCTCCGCATTCTTTGGGTATTGCACCAGCGCAAATGTGGGTGCATTCGTCTTGAGTATTTCTGCACGGGACGGTTTCATCTCATAGGGGTGCGGTGTGGCGTCACGCGATAGCTCCCAAGCTGGATAACGAATTCACTGCACGCAACGTGGTTGAAGTAGCCGCTGCCTTGGCGTGTCTCTTCCCGGAAGAGCGGCTCCACTCGCGACCCAAATGGGCGGCCGAGGCAGGCAAGGCCCTGGCCGTCTTCACGAAGATCAATCTGACATAGTGAGCTCTAGCGGGTGCAGTTCGTGTTGACTTGCTGTACTCCCTTCGCAGTTTCACCGGTCAAGGGTTATCGAGGATGTTGCACGCCCTGGTTCGAATGCAAGCCCTGGACAGTGTCCTTGCTCCAAAGGTCATAGCAGTGGTGTGTAACAATCCTGGAGTCTACGATGCGCGAGCAACAGTAAGTTCTTGTACCCAGAGGCAGTAGTGTGGAGATTTCTGTATATTCAAAACTGAGAATGAGCAGAGTCTCGAATTGCTATCACAGCCGTTTTTCGCTCGCTCTCAGTGTGGAATAGCATACGCCATCGCAAAGTCCGGGTACCATTCGAACGGCCTATGCTTGAAGGCATGCGTACGAGTGCTTGCTGTCAACAGCGTAAATCCACAAACTATGACGAAGCTCATCTGGGCCAGTGACGTGGTCGGGACCAAGGTTCCCCAAGAGTTATGGCACTTGGCATCTACTATAGCCCCAGCATCGGAACGCCTTATTGCCACTATGGCTTCCTATGTCGCCAAGCACCCTGGTTATGAAATGGTCGACTTGAGACCTGCTATACTGCGCGGAACTGCGCAGGATCTATCACTTGTCCTTTGGTCGGCCAGCGTGAAGGGATGCATTCTAGAGGACGATTTGTTGCTTGAGGCGGTCGAACGTATCAGAGTTCTTCGGCCTTTAGATTCGCAGTCCCATGTGATGTGTCTCTGGGCTGTTGCCGTCCAGGCACATTATCGGTATGAGAGCATGTGGCTCCATCGCGGAAGCCGTTTCGGATCGTTTCGATGATAACAGTTCACGATGTCGTGTTTGAGTACGTCAAAATTGGGTGCTAGTCTCCACTGTGACAATGATGGAGAAGTGGGATACAGCGAACCATTCAGGAGTAATGGGTCGAGAATGGACTAAAAGCTCTATACTGCTGAAGCCGAGAATGCAGCTCTGGAGGGGAAGGCTGACTCTATAGCAGTTAGGGCCGGCAGTTATTGAGGTCGAAGGCAGAAAAGGATTGTTGCGTTCAAGTAGTCGAGTTGGTTCGGGGGATAAATTCACGCAATCATTCGACACGTTGAAACGCGGTGTAGTGGAGTAATGGGGCTCATCCTCATCGATAACACTACTAGCAGCTGCTGCAAAGCTCCCCTGCTGAACGAATACATTGGCTGGAAAACCATAATAAGGCATAAAAGGGATGACCTGTCGCTACTAGAGACTTTCTAAGCGTGTGCATCGCGGTAATGTGTCGACGTTCGGTACGAAAATGAACGTTGTTCATACTCCGTAGTCCGGTAGATGCAACTACGCATGGCCAAGCGAGACTAGTGCGATGAGGCGTGCCTCGTATGTGATCGGCACAGGATACGCTGTATTTTTGACTCACAGTTCGTGTTCTACATCTAAACACTTGGGAACACGTGTACCATCTTCGTAGAAAAGGATATGTAATACATGTGTTGATGCACATGGATGAAACTATAAATGAATCGATGAATCAGAATGCCTGATGAATAACTCTATGAGTTTTTACAGTCACACGATCTGCCCTGTACATCGGACATGGGGCCGGACACAAACGCTGGCGCTCAAACATATGAGGAAGATGAGGCGAGATAGGCCGGTATCTCGGGATGAATCTTGGCTTTTGAGCAGAGAGTAGTGGGTCCCCAACGGCACGTGGATTCTTAATCGAAATTGAGTCGCTTATAGTTGGCGATCGACAGCATGGAGCGAGAGGGCAAGACCACTCGCAACTGAGCGGACCAGGCGAGAATTGCTGCCACACCCGACCGCCGTGTTTAAGTGTTGACAGAGGCTGGCTCATCTGCAGACGCACGTTGCGTTCTATTCCGCGATGGCCCCGGCTCACTCGAGATGCACAAGAGGCGAGAGCCTGGCGGGTGAAGCCATCGCCCGTTAAGGAGTCACAAGCAGCTACCTCTACTTTCTCCCTCCTCCCCGAAATTTGAAAACTAAGTGGTGTCTGCGGGGATGGAGGCGTTGACATGTGAAGCGCCTTGAATGGTGTTGAGCATGTCGTGGCCGGCGTGGCTCCTTGTTCCGCTGTGTGGGCTCGGCGTGAGAATTCTTTTGTACTCAACCTCGGTAGCGCATTCGGGCGGAGGTCTTCAGTAGAATCCGCCGAGTTCACCTGACAGGAGACGGGTCAGTGATGACCGATCAGATTCTGCAAGCTACACGTTCCTTCTGCTTGTAAGGAGTCTTCGTGAGAGCCACTTCATCACCGTAAGTGAATTGCCTAAGTACTTCCTCGGAGGAACAGTCGTAGCGTCCAGCTCACCTCTGGGTCCCAGCAATCGCCTGCTGACCATGAAGGGCCGTAGTTCGTAAGGTCGACATGCGATTGAGCTGTGCCTGCCACTGATACCTCTTTCGCTCGAGCCTATCCGAGCCGGCAAGTCGAGGCAAGAGGAAATTCCAAGACGGCGAGGATCAAGCGTGCTGTCAGAACACTGTTGTGTTGACTCACGGCGCAGATCGGACTCGACCGTGATATTTCGGACTCTTCATGCTTCGTTGCAGTAAACGCGATCTCGGCGAGGCTGTGACTCGAACTGTTATCGGACCACGACGAGCGGGAGACAGTTCGTCTGAAGGGTAGGGGCGGTTACAGTCACCACACTCAGTGTTCGTACTCGACACTGCTATTTGGAGGCGTCCGGCTCTGGCGTTCCATCGTCTGATACATGTAGGAACCCTCGTGACGCCGTTCATTTTCGACCAACGATGAGGAACTCCTTCGAAGAGTTCTACCGAAATTACTTCTGCTATATTCAAAACGCGGCGCTGTACCGAACGAAGTCACCTACAAAGGCACTCTTTGCAAGGCTGTCCATGAATGTCAATAATGACATGCGCGATTGCTACCCACCACTTTCCTATTGCGAGTTGTGGCCATGCCTTTGCCGACTCGTCCGCCGCAGAGCTTGAGCCGCTCCCTCATGAGATGATAGGCAGCCCTCCGGCTCGTGTTCATCCCAGCGTTCAGACCGCGGGACACGGGGGGCTTATCTAAGACGATGTGGACAGGTGCCTTCAATGGGGTAACAGGAACATACTCGTCGCGGCCTTCCACCTCACTCGGGGCGAGGATACTCCCCCACTACGGTTAGAGAGTAAGTCTGCTTGAGGCGATCTGCCGTAATCAATGCATGACCGGATGCTCCAGCTCCTACTTAGGGTAGGCTGACGGTGTTGTTAAAGGGTAACTTCGAACTGACTGCTGGAGAGTTGGAGGCTGGAGGAATCTCTTGTGAGACTCGTTCATACGAGGAGGCGGGTTCTCTCCCTGCCTGGGCATGCTAGTACTAGATATGAATACACTTGTAGGTTTTCCCGAAAACACAATCTCTGTTTCTTAGCTCGACGTTCAGCTAACCACTGTGTTTCGCTGTACTTGTCTACTGGAGAAACTCCACTGTTGTGTCTACCATGGCTTCTTAGACCAATGCCAATCGCAATGAAGTTGAACTACTCGTCTGAGTACGACTTGCTGCTCGAATCAGTTCAAGTCGCTCAAGCCTGAAGGAATCAGGGATCTTCAACGTGTACTCGACACTTATCTTCCTGAGATCGTCAACGAGGTTAAACCAGCAAGCCGACAGCTGGACAAACTGTTGCATGAAAATTCATGTCAACCCGCCACGTGTGCGCTATCCTATGCGGGCTGGAATCCGCTCCTCATACACGCAGAGAGAGAGCTCGATGTTACTGCCGAACCGTGATTATCTGTTCTGAATATCATCGTTGGACGTGTTTGAACAAGTTGTTATTAAACACTGTCTGCATGTAAACTATTCGGAAACAAAATTATCAAAGTTATGGTACTAAGAGGTCATTGTTAGCCGGAAGCCCGAGAACTGTAAATGGGTGCGGCAAACATGAGGAACATATACAGAACCGATCATATGCCAGTAACAGACTTAAGATACCCAGTCGGGCGAGACCAGGCTAGGGTGACTTGCACGTGATGACACTCACTAAGCCTAATACGAGCAGGAACGGGTGGAGAGCAATACAGAGCTCCAAAGCCTATGAGAGCGAACACCGGCGATCAGCTTGAATCTAGCCTCCGTCTCCAGTATGTGCAGAAGAGATTATAAATTTTCACGTGGTGAAAAAACACCGTAGAGCCAACGAAGGAGCTCAACAGTTTGGTAGAGCTACGCGGAAAATTCCCTAAACCAACAACACCCATGCGACTTGAGGCACTTAACACGACAAGCAACTTGTGGAGAGAGGTGTAGAGCAATACCCACTACGACGAAATACGACTGGTCCCGTGTGCTGGCTGCTGATACGAGGATGCATCTCTTGCTTTCGACATTGCCGTTAGACTTGCCTATTATGAGGAAAACCGAGTCGCCGGGATTAACGCGCTGGCGCCGAAGAGATGCCCGTAGAACGTGTGAGACACGTTATAATGTGACGGCAGTCAGGGCCTGGCAAACACTGAGCTGTCAAGAATAGCTTTTGACAGCTGGGACAAAATTGATATCGAATATCGTATTGGATACCATCACAGTGCGCCGACTCTGCTGAGTATTGGGAATCACGAACTGAGTCTTTGAAAAAATTTTAAGAAGTGAGGGAACAGAATGAGAAAAGGCTACAATATTATAAATAACAGCAGGCCACGCCATATCGTGGCAATGAAACCATGAGGAGCTCTGGGATAGTCGAAGACAGTATCAGTAAGAGGAGCAGCAACATTAGAGGCAATCTTGGCTGGAGACCTCAGAGACGATGCTAGTACAGACAAACAGTCGGAGTGGAGGCAATAGGAGTACTCATTAAGTAGTAGGTGATGTCTATATAGCTCAACGATAGCAAAATGAAGAACGCCAGCACGATATGTCTAGGAAGTATACATCGGCTGTGCTACCCAATATACGGGATCGTCGTCCTACTACTACTGAAGTCGCAAGCCCGCCGCATGGGTAAGGTAAATTCCTGCAACTATAATACGGCTATAGCGTAGTAATAGTAGCAATGGGACAATGGTACACTGAGTCTATGAGACAATGCAACGAACATAGAAATGTAACACGATGATGATGATGATGATGATGATGATGATGATGTTGAGTGAGTGTGATGCTATCGCATGACTCAGAGGCTCTCGCTCGACTTGGACGTCGTGAGACTGCTAAAGGTGCCTTGCCGGTCGAATAGGCAAGAGGAGCTCATCACCCACGCCGCCACAACAGTGATATCATCAGGCTTGCCACCAGCGTAGAATGTGCCATAGTGTGCACGGAAGGCTGCGGCAAACGGGCTCTTATACCTAGGAGCAGCACTCTGGGAAGCATCCAGAAACCTATCACTTTTCTCGGGGAAAACTCATTTCAAATTTTCCAATTCTAACAATCAGTTTTCCATATAAATGTCATCACATTAGTAGCATTTTGCCCATTGTGATCAAACTCTGGGCAACGTTATCTTCCAAACTCTGGATAGGTCCCTAGCAGGACTCTTCACCAATCAATGACAATTCTCACCTCCTCGTCATTTTGCTTTTTTCAAGAGCTGCATTAGTCAAAATCGACGCTATTTTTTCCGGCGGTGTTGGTGAACAGCCGAAATTACGGGCCTCCACAGGGGACACAGCTTGTGACAGAATACTGCTGATTCTACTAGGCCACAGATTGTCCGTCACACCGTCAGTGCACAAAACAACGAGATCGCCCTCACGGAGCTCGCATTCTTCCCGAGCCACCTGACGAGAAAACGGAACTTCATAGACAAGTAACTGCTAAAAACAGCCGAGCTCACCCCGTCTCGTTTTAAAGTGAGCGACTCACCGTCGGCCTTCCTCCTCACAGCATCAACCAACTCTGGAAACTTGTTCGCGAGCGTATCACACTCGTGGAGCTCCGGAACTCGGCTGAGCTGATAAGGCATATTAAAAGTATGCTGCTTCTCGCTGGTCCACAAGACTGCTTCGCGGTCGACATCTGAACAACCTATTCGTGCATTCGACCAACAATGCGAGGCCGACACTCACCACTACTCTCACGTCTGAAGACCATAGCAGCGCTATCTCCCACGTTGGCAATACCCAGCTTGCTTCCCTCTACCACAGCGACTAAGGCAGTAGAGCTACCAAACGACTTAGTCCGTTGATGAGCTTCTGCCAGTATACGAGAGGCCCGGGAACTGGGAGATCTGAAGGGATAGTAGTGGTGGTCCCTAATAAAAAATTACCTATCAATTCATATCATATGATCCATCATAGAAATAATAAATATGGTATAAAATGGTAATTATAAGGAGTTGATGCCCGAGTGACTAATAATATAACAATAGATTGGAGTTTACCCGTTTTTCGTGAAGTGGCGTAATCCTCTGTGAAAAACCCGTGATATACAGTAGTCGTGAAAAGTGTTTTTCATATCACTAGGGTGGCGAAACTCCATTGAATAGGTATATAATAATATAATACATCGTCCCCTTACAAGTCGGCGCTCTCCTGTCGATCTCCTCCAAGCAGTGTTTCCGCATTTCCCATTAGTTCATCGGCGAACTTCTTAGGATTGATCTTCAGGACTTCGCCCCATTCACCGACACCGTCGGCTACCCCCGCCCCAACGGGGCTGACAAAGCAAGAATCTTCGCCCTGGCAAAAACAACAAACTGCTGCTATTCAAACACACACAGCGATAGCTGTTTTACATTTTTCCACATTTTCCCTTCCTCAAGTGGGATCTGATGAGAGGAACCCCAGAGGTAAAACCCTTGCGTAATTTCTTCTCCAGTTTCCTCGACATATTCGCCCAGTGACAACTCGTGGAACAGATTTGCATCAGAAGACTCGCTGTCGAGAAACTGATACAAAAACCGATATAAAACTAAACCGCCCTCAGCTGTGGCGGCCTGAACGTACCGAGTAAGTCGTCGTAGTGTCGAAACTCCTAGTGACGGATCTCTTCATATGCCCCTTCAGTGAAGAGGCTAAGGTCTCCTCTTGAGATAGGCCGCAACATAAGGGCTGCTCAGGCCTCTCTGACAGGCTGCCGACTTTGACGGTATTTTCCATGTCGGGACCGGTATCAAGATCATCTCGCTCTACCACACCAGCAGCAGCAACCGATTGACCTTCATCCATCGTAGAATAGGATCGACCAAGCAAACATGATACGCGCAAGTCGAGTCCCCCTCAAAGGCTCAACACATGGATTTGGGAAAGTTATGGTAGCAAGTAGATGTACACAACTTTTTTATGCCGCAGCGGTCATATCAACATCATCTGTAGACGATCGATTGTCATCCATAAGATCCTCATCAGACTCGCTCTCGTCGCCCTCTGCCGTGCCCCCAACCCTCTCTGTGAGAGGCACCCAACTCTGATGAGAATCCTTGCTGTTAGGACAGTACCTGAAGACCAACAGACGTTGGACAGAAAAGCTGAAGGGCTGACAAGAAGAAGAGGATGCTGCCGGTCATCTAATATGGTCCTACTGTTTGCGAAGGGTCTCGAATACTAATATCCGGTACAGCTGCTCCACGAAGGCATCAGCTTCTTCGTCGATAACGAGGCGAAGCTAAGGGAAGAGAAAAAATGCAACGAGTGGGGATTGAACTCGGCAGCCCGTGAACTAGCTTGAAGATACGGCCAAGCGTATCCACCATCACGACTATCACTATCCGAAGATGTACTTCTACCTCTCTTGCTAGATCTGGGGCATCAGTTCGTCGATTGATCATTCTCATTATCCAATCCGTTAGCTCTCTATCAGGACTGCCCAGCCACGACGACACCTACAAAAGTATTAATGGAGTTGCACTCGTTTCACATAAAGTGGCGTAAAACTCGGTGAAAAACGCGAAATTCGCACTATGCAGTAGTCGTGAAATACGTTTTTCACTAGTGCTTTTCATATATATCCAATACAGGTATACACTGTAGGGAGGTTGTATAATGGAGTTTCACCCTAGTGATATGAAAAACACTAGTGACAAACATATTTCACGACTACTGCATATCACCGCGAATATCGAGTTTTTCACCGATAATCATGTCGCTTCACGTAAAAATGATGAGACTACAATAACCTATATACACTAATACTATAGACAATAGCATCGAAATATTTATGGATATTCTCTATCGTATATATCATCTCCTTCTTGAGCAGCACTCTTCGGACCAGGCGTAGTTGCCAGTATCAGGGTACAGCCGCGGGTTAGAACTCTGGTGAATCACCAGTCGTGAATTGCCGCGATTTTCCGCTGTATCGATTGTGAACAAGTGGATCATATATAGCATCCATGTATCTCTATGGATATATGGATAGTCTCTATAGTCCATATATAACATAGATATTCGATTACCACACGAGGAGATAATCTCTACAGTGTGTTCGATTTTGATAGTCCGAAACGACAAAATGTTGTAACTTCGCTAATTCGACCATTAAGAATTCGAAACCTCGAACATTTCGAGGTCTATAAGTAAGCAATATATCAATATGTATAATCATTATCGATCACGTACCGTTGCAGAGTTAGGGCGAGCGCACACCTCTGAATGTTCGAGGTTTCAGATTCCTAATCGTCGAATTAGCGAAGTTACAACATTTTGTCGTTACTATCAAAATCGAACATACTGTAAAAGTAAATAATATACGGACACCAACAGATGTATCATGACGAGTAAGTAGGACAACCAGTACACTATCATCACGTACAAAGCCCGAAAGAGAGCCTTCTTCAAATGAATCTTTCAACCCTGTGTGGACCTCAAGATACCCTTTCCCTACCTGCCGACGCACCCACGTCCACAAAGTCTGCTGGACTGTCGTGGACTGACTCAACACATAATCCCAATCAATCGGATGACGATAAATATCCGACCGTTCACTCGGTACCTAATAACGCACAGCGAAGATTTCTCAATGGCAAAATCCTAGTAAAAGATACACTACCAAAGATATGAGCTCATGGATACTCATCGTACTCCGACTCTTATGCTCTCTTTTCCGCCGCTTCCTTTCGTGTCGTTCACGTTTCTCCGTCTCTACATCAACCTTATCTGCCGCCTCTCGAGCTTCTAGATACTGAGCTCGTACCTTGCACAGATAACAAACACGTCCGAATACAGTTTTGAGCCACCGTACTAATGTTGGAATATATATGCGCTTTCCTCAGCTGAGTTTCCTCACTAACTATACAAGTTTATATACGAATTCGAGTAGAAGTGTACAGAAACCAATGAGCAGTTTGGGAATATATGTTTAGTTCCATAAACTCAGCTTGTGAATTTTTTTCTCACTACATTATGGAAATCAACGGTGAAAGTTTACATGACCAGACCATCACTTCCCAAAGTTGAGTTTCTATATTACTATTAACACATGTAGTTGACTATGTGCATATATTCCCAAAAATTTTCACTTTGTCACCAACACATGTAGTTAACCATATGCATATTTTTCCATGCTACTACATCAGCCAGCTGCTGTTCATTCTTCGACAGCTTCTCCTGCTGCTCGGCTTTTCCCAGCAATACCGCCTCAATGCGCCTCTCCTCCTTCTTGGCAAGGGCGCCCTTCCAATTCTCAGTCCCCCTGGCATTAGCCTGCGACTTCTCAGACTGAATTCTAGCCTCCCCTGCCCGGGCAATGTCCGATAATATACCCTTAGCTCGGTTAACCTAAGGGGAGCGAGATGACACCAGGTAAGTGGAATAACAGTAGAGTTTCACCCGTTTTACGTGAAATACTCTGTGAAAAAGGCGATATTCGCGGTGATATGCAGTAGTCGTGGAATACATTTTTCACTAGTGTTTTTCATATCACTAGGGTGAAACTCCAACGACAACCATCAAGTACTGAAGGCTATATTCCTATTGTTCCAAGTAACGACTAGGATATACTGAGCTCAGTGAAAGAGATAACAAAAGAGAGGCTTCTCCATTGTTGGTGTATTCGACATACTTCCCCCTCAGGCGATAAACCCTAGCAGTGGCTGCACTCAAGCCGAACATACCACTCCTCTTGTAAAACTATGTCAATCAGATGTATACCCCCCATGGCCCAATACTACCAACTGGTATATCTCATCATCCACCAAGTCCATAAGGTTGCTAGGCACCTCATACCCCTCCTTGGCAATCCTATTAGCAACCTCTCTGCCTCTGACACCCCTCCAGTGGTGCATCATGTCTTGGGTCCGCCTGTCCACCCTAGCGTATATCTCTCGCCCAAACAATCGTATCCCACTAAGGGCTCGCTGTGCCTTGAATGCCGCCCCACACGAGCGGTATTCCGCAACAGCGAAGGTCTCTCCCGGAACCCTCCAAAGCTGTATGAACTGGTCATTGATCGACTCTATAGCCTCCTCGCGTTCTGCAGTAGTAGAAGTAGTCTGCTTCTCATCGTCAGCTGGTGCCGCCGCCACTCTGAACATCTCATTGAGCAGCTCCATATCCGCTCTAGGGTCGAGATGGAAGGCGAAGAGGAGGCCTCGTCGGACCCCGCTCGTCCCCAATTTGTACGCGGGTCTTCTTGAACCCCCTGTAGGGCGGGTGTTGATGACCCCTTCTGATGGTACTCGAACAGGTGGTATCGGCATCGCTGGAGGCATGGGAGGACCTCCACCAGGCATGGGTGGCGTGCCCATCATAGGAGGCCCTTGGGACGGTAGAGGTGGGGGCATCATCATCCCCGAAGGCGGGGGTGGTCCGCGGGGCGGGGGACCCCAGTTAGTCCCATGCATAGGGGGATGGTCGAAGCCTTTACCCTTGCCAGCCCACATAGGAGCCCATCCACCTGGCATTGGAGGCATCATCGGGGGTGGGCCGAATCCCTTGCCACCAGGGAAGCCCTTACCGCCGAAGCCCTTTCCCCCAGGTGGACCGGAAAACATTATACGGAAGAGGAGGAAAAGACTACGGGACCCTGAAGCGCCCATCCTCCCCAGGACAGGAAATGCAACAAATGCGGGTGAACCAAACTGATCAATCGATGTGCGGTTTCCACCGTGACAATGTGGTCCATCGAATCGGCCGATCGTCTGCCTCTGGTCCGACGCTAGCGATGAGAAGGTCTTTCCCTACTGCATGGCACAGCCTAGTCAAGCCTATGACCTGAACAACGATACGGTGGAGAGATCTAGGAGTGCCTCGAGCCAGCTGCATACCTCGAGATGGTTGATGAGGCTCTCATGACTGGTGACCACCACACCGTACTGGGAATGTACATCATCCCTATCACCAGCGTAAAGCAGGAAATGACAACCGAACTTCAAGGCGCCCGCAGAGCTCACATTCCATCTAAGTAGGAGTCAGAATATTTCCCCTCAGATGAACTCGCATTACCCAGCATTTGACAGTTCTTCCTCCACTCGTTTTAGCTGGTGACTCGTTGCCATTAATACCCAGCAGGACGCGTTAAGAACAGCTGATGGACATGGCACAAGTAGAAACTCTACTGTAGAGCTTTAACCCTAGGAAAGGTCAGTCGCCAGGAAGCCACACTCTCGACCATCGCAGCAAATCATGTCACGACAGATTTTGCACAGGTACACCAACGATTATCCCGGAAAAATTTTCGTGACGTTTTAACTCACTTTTCATGGAGCGATTATGCGCTGTCTCGAGTGCTCAAGATTGTCTCGTGCGCCTGGCTCCCATCACTCCATCCTCATAGTTGTACGGCGCCCGCAGCCAACACATGTTCGCCTATTCGGCAGTCAGCACTTAGGAAAATTCCAAACTGCTACAGCTCGTCCTCGAACACTGTTCACTTCGAGGTCTTCTCCCATGTTTACCTTTGGGAGTATTCGAAGCGTCCATATGGCGCTGTGAACTGCCCTGCACGGCTTACTGTGTCTGTCTGCTAGTGTGGGAAAATATACACGTAGTTGATCACATTTTTTGGTGAAAAAATCTGAGGAAATTTTGGGATTTTTTTTCATTTTTGCGCAGTTCTACCCGAATTTTTATGTTATTCTCCGTTTTCACTGAGGAAACTAGTCCTGCTGATTCCAGCTGAGGAAAGCAAACATATATTTCAACTGGGCTCTCTCCATGGGCTCGGGAGTTCCTCTCCGCGTGGTATGTCGACAGTTATTGCCGCTAATGAGTTCGCTAGATTCCCTCCGAATTCCCCAGTCCAAGAAAGACTATATAGTCCAGAAGCTCAATCCCCTGCTCGAGGACATGGTCACCGAGTGCCTCACTGAGATGCCCAACGACCCTACAGAGTTCATGATCAAGTACGTCCCTGAGGTCAACCTCTTCCCTATGGTCTTCTACTAGGTTCCTACGTGAAAGGAAGTCCAATGGCTCGAAGGAGACTTCCTCTTCGGAGTCTCTCCAGGCCGAGAACACTCAGCTGAAACAGGAAATCAAGAACCTACGTGACATGCTCAAGCACAGTGTTGGCGACGGCGTTGGGACCACCGATGGAGTATGTTGACCATCGGCATCGCCTTTGGTCGTAGTCCACCCCACCCTCCTCCTCAGGACAACGACTCCGTGTTGGACTCTGACGATGATGACGACGACTATGTAGATGAGATTCCCGCTAGCTTCGTTCAGAGTGAGGCCCAGCGTGGCAAGTCTCGGGCATCGGTGAGACTAGGGCCCCTTTTCTGGCCCTTCCTACAAGCGTGTCTTGGCAGGTCAGTGCAGAGGCCTATGGCGAGTGGAACGTCAAGAAGGTGTTCACTCCTCCAGTGTACCCCAAGGGGGATGAGCAGAAGGCCAGGTACACTGTAGGTCTGAGCTCTTCCAAATGCATGGCTCGGTGGTGACAGAATTAAGGAAGTCCTGTCCAAGTCCTTCCTCTTCGCTGCTCTTGATAGCAATAATCTTGCTATTGTCATCGATGCCATGAAAGAGGTCCATTCTGTTCCATGGTCCACTTGAGCGTAAGACTTGTGTGTAGGAGATACTGCCTGCTAAGGAGCGTGTTATCAACCAAGGCGACGATGGTGACTTCCTCTTCGTTGTCGAAAGTGGCGAGCTCGAGGTCTATAAGAAATTCCCAGTGGGTCGTCTTGATCTCCATTCTGATGAGGTCCTCTTATCAGGGCGAAGATGAGGAGAGGATGCTCAAGGTCTGTGAGGCAGGTGACGTCTTTGGCGAGCTCGCTCTCCTCTACAACGTTCCTCGTGCTGCTTCTGTGGAGGCTAAGACTGAATGTACTCTACTGAGGCTGGACAGGGAGACATTCAACCACATTGTCAAGGTGGACTGTCACTATGCTTCCACTCAGCGACTCTGTGAATGCTCAGGATGCCGCGGCGAATAAGCGAGAACGGTACGAGTCGTTTCTGAAGTCTGTGTCACTGTTGGCTTCGATGGACGCCTATGAGAGGAGTCAAATAGCTGACGCCCTCAAGCCTGTATCGGTGGCTGCGGGGGATGTGATAGTCAAAGAAGGTGAGTGCTATGGTGTATGTGACCAGTGTGGGAAAATATGCACATGGTCAACTACGTGTTTACGGGAATTCCGAGGAAATTTTGGGAAATTTTCATTAATTTCTATACCAGAGCTCGTACGAATAAAAAGACTCAGCAGAACTTCCCAAAAATTTCCTGAAAATTTTTTATTTTTTCACAATCCCACGTCGTCGAGAATGTGCAACTTTTCCCACATGGTATGAGATTTACTCAGGTGATCCTGGTGACACTTTTTACGTCATTGAGAACGGTGACTGTGAGGCATTGAAGGATCGTGGTGGAGTTCAGCAAGAAGTGGTAGGAGTATTTTGCATAGAGCAACTGCCTTGTATCGAGCACCAGGTCATGTCTTACGTCGCTGGAGACTACTTTGGCGAGCTCGCCCTCCTCCGTGGGGAGCCTAGGGCGGCCAGTGTGAAGGCCAAGACGGACGCTAACCTTCTCGCTTTGGACAGGTTTCAGCGACTATCTTCCTTCCATAGGCGATGGTTGTGCTCTTCAGGCGCAGCTTTAGGAGGCTGCTGGGACCCCTTCAGGACCTCCTAGTGAAAGCCTGTGATCGTTACGCGAGTTAGGTAAGTGAAATTCTATATATACCCAACATTGCTGTTCATTATTGTATACATACTCCCCAGTAGGCGTGGGAGTGTCTGTACTTGATAAATGGCGATACCATGAAGAGTGATGACTTCGTCGTGGTGGTGTACTATTGTGTTAGTGTCATCAATTCCGAGAGGGTTGAGTCTCTGCTGGTGACTCGAATAGGAGTTGGCTCCTTGTTCGCCTTCTCCCATGATCGGTACGCCCCTTGCAGATCGGTGTGGCTTCTTCCCCCGACAGATCCAATGAACTCACTCGCCACTTGCGGCCACACGTCCATCGATATTGATTCGATCATCAGCTCTTTCCGTGTTGGACCTCCCATGCGTCTCTCACCTCGGGTCTCGGCTGATCAAGTGTCTGTGCTAGACTGCTAATCTCTGTGATGAAGCTGTTTCAGGACATTGCGGAGTTCACCCTTCACCGTGTGGAAATTCTAAGGAAAATTCTGAGGAAATTTTGCCCAAATTTGTATGTAAAATTCTATAATTAGTGAGGCAACTCCTGAGCTCAGCTGAGGAAAGCGAACATATATTCCAAGACTATCACCCTCTTTGCTGCTGCTTCCAGGGACGAAGTGGAGGATGAGCGTCCCCACTGCTCGGTACTTTCATGACTTCGACCAAGCCCTCGATGAGAAGTACGAAGCGGTATATGGTATCAACGCTGGCTTGGATGTGTCTTCCACCCTCGTGCCGCCCGCCTAACTTATTCACCTGGAGGTCAACAACCTTCAATGGGTTATGTGGAGCCCAACAGATAGATCTAATCCGATCTCATGCCACTAGGGCGGACCGTCATCACCCTGTGAGAGAACTAGGATGCGCAGGTTTAGCTGGAACTATCGGTCTTGTTTGACGCCTGGTGAAAGCTGGATTCAGACACATAGTGCTGTCGACTAAGTGTCTCCTATCGATACGATCCCTAGGAGGACATCGATCCCTACGATCCCTATCCCTGTCCTTACTCTCTGCCGAAGCCTCTAGTTGGAGTTGGCAGCGTTTGGGGTAACTGGATAACGCAACGAAGGGCTCATCAAGTGGCTAGCACATCGGTTGCATCAAGTCTAACCAGGCCGGCGAGGGCGTCGGACATCAAACTGGCCCGCACATGGCGCGAGTCGTGGAAGTTATCCACCTTAGGAACTACCATGTTCTCCTGATCTAACTGGTGTTTATCATTATTACGATGAAAGTCTGCATCATTCCGAACTCTTCTTGCGGCATACCAAAAAGAAGTATTTCGTTCCCTCTCTAGTGCTGCCCCTGAGACCCCAGTAGACTTCCCCTATGCCGCTCGAGCCTCCTGTCGCTACCACCGAGACGCGACCTGGAAAGCAGCCCAAGATGGCCCTGGATTTTCCCGCCCTTCAGGTTGACCCTTTACCCCCTAGATTCGAATTTAACAGGGATTCTTCAGTAACGCAGAATTTTGCATCGTCAATGTGGACGTTGAGTTCAGGTCCCTCACGCTCCTCGGAGGCCCCACACTCTCAACTCAGTGGAATGTCGGCGCGCTGTGAAGAACGCCCTTAGATACTTCCCAACGGCATGCCATGCCGAGCTGGCTCTTGAGTTTGCCCGAGAGCTTGATGAATACGGTCACATCTACATGTAGTTGCTCCAGCCGTATACACTTCATATGTAGCAACATGCAACAGCAGGTATCGCTTCCGACCTGTTGGGCGGGTCTTCGCTCAGTCCATAGACAGCTACCCCGCGAAGTAGGTTCTGGAGAATATACCTCTAGTATCTCGAGTCCACTTGAGGTGTTTGTTGTTCAGATGCCGCCAAGCCGCTGGGATCATGCTGATGATTCAGAACAATCTTGATCCTGAGGTTGCGCAGTTCCCACACGAGCTGGTCACCTACGGTGGCAACGGTACAGTCTTCCAGAACTGGGCACAGTACCACCTCACGATGCACTACTTGCAGATCATGGAGGAGGACCAGACTCTCGCTATGTAGATTACCCCATTGCCCTTTGCCCCACTGCCGTAGACTGGGTGGACCAGGTACTCGGGCCATCCCATGGGCCTGTTCCCAAGCCATCCGGACGCCCCTAGGGTCATCATAACTAATGGTATGGTCATCCCGAACTATTCTACTATCGAGAACTATAATAAAATGTCAGTCTACTATCATCAACTCCGCCGTGAGACCCCTACCCCTCAGGTTTGCTATGGGAGTCACTCAGTATGGACAGATGACTGCAGGTAGCTACTGCTACATCGGTAGTCAGGGTATCGTCCATGGCACGGCTATCACCCTCTTTAACGCTGGTAGACTCTATCTCAACGTGGAGGACCTCAAGGGTCATATCAAGGCGGGCTTGATAGAGGCTCATGGACTACCGTTCAGGCAAGTTGTTCGTAACGGCAGGGCTCGGCGGCATGAGCGGCGCTCAACCCAAGGCCGCCAGCATCTGCCAGGCAGTCTCCATCACGGCCGAGGTGTCCGAGGCGGCCCTGATGAAGCGGTGAGAAGCCTGTTGTGAAGGGCCGGCCACTTTATCACCCCTTAGGGTCAATCAAGGCTGGCTCGATGAGTATCGGAAGAACACCTCGGAGATCATACAGCTGGCCAGAGAGGCTCTGGTCGCCAAGCAGTGTATCTCTCTGGGTTACCTCGGCAACGTGGTCGATCTGTGGGAGGCCTTGGTGGAGGCTGATCTCACTCCGGACTTGGGCTCGGATCAAACGAGTCTGCATAATCCATTCGGCGGTGGCTACTACCCCGTGGGCGTCACCTATGAGGAAGTGGGAGTCGGCTTCGGGAGGTATCTATTAGTTTCAGCTCTGCCGTTTTAGGGTAACCACATTCTGGCCACCGATCCAGCTCGCTTCAAGGGCCTCGTTGAGGAGTCCCTCGTCCGGCATGTGGCAGCGGTGAACAAGTTGGCGGCCAAGGGCATGCGCTTCTGGGACTACGGCAATGCTTTCTTGTTGCAAGCCAGTCGAGCTGGAGCGGACATCGTGAAGGACCAATTAACCGGACAGTTCAGGTGGGTTGGCAATCGCGTGGCAACCTTGTGGACCTCCATCAGATATCCATCCTATTTTGAGGACATTATGGGTGACGTTTTCTCTCTGGGGTTCGGTCCTTATCGTTGGGTTTGCCTCTCGAACAACCCGGCTGATCTCGAGGCGACGGATCGTATCGCTGCGGAGGAGCTCGAGCGTCTGTTGAGGAGTGGCGACGTCCCGAAACAGAGCATCAGCCACTACCGTGATAATCTAACATGGATCAGAACGGCCGGGCCGAACAAGCTGGTCGTTGGTAGGCTCCCTTAGGCATGCGCTATCATGGAGTCCCGGATGTGATAGGCTCCCAAGCTCGTATCCTGTACGCAGACTGTCCAGGGAGGGTAGCTATAGCAGTGGCCATGAACAACGCGGTGGCTTCCGGAATACTGCAGGGCCCCGTGGCGATCAGCCGAGATCATCATGACGTGTCGGGTGAGATATTTCGTTCATGGATGTGTTGGGGTATGTCCAAGGCAGGGACGGATTCACCCTATCGGGAGACTGCCAACATCATTGATGGGAGTCGCTTTACTGCGGACATGGCCGTCCACACCTTCGTTGGCAATGCGTGTCGAGGGGCCACTTGGGTGTCGCTCCACAACGGCGGAGGAGTTGGCTGGGGAGAGGCAAGCTGTGATGAACTTTGGCAAAACAGTTCTGACTCGTGCAGGTTATCAATGGCGGCTTCGGTCTGATCCTGGATGGCACTCCTGATGCTGAACGTCGAGCTAGGGCCATGCTCCACTGGGACGTCACCAATGGCATGGCTCGAAGGTCTGTGGGCAGTATGGGAAAAATATGCACAAAATTCCGGGGAAATCTTGGAAAATTCTAGTTGGTTTCTGTATGCTTCTATCCGAATTCGTATGTGAATTTCCTCGATTAGTTCGGAAATTCTCTGCCTTAGCTGAGGAAAGCGTATATTCCAAGACTGATCGAGGTGCCCGCCGTAGTCTATACTGTCCGTGTATGGTAGGTGCTGGAGCGAGAATGCTAACGCTGGTGTAGGCATATCGCAGGCCATGAAGGCAAATGCTAAACTAAATGTCACGTGAGTCGGGCAGTGTCTCCTCCTCATTTAGGAAGGGTTCCCTTCTCAGGATGCCATCGTTCGCCTCTGAGGAGTTATTAAATTCTCTCCACTTCAACTCGGCCAAATGAGAGCGGCCATTGGTCTATCAAATTTTTCAATTGAGTTTTTCAGGTCAAATCTGTATAATTTTCGTTGAGTCTCGACGCTGTCAAAAGGCATGTCACTCCGAGGTTCCATTTTTCGAATGGTTATCGCCACCTCATAATCGACAGAGCCGAGCGATGGGAAACTGCGAAATACTCTAGGGGATAACAGATTCATAACATTTGATTGGAGGACTCGGAGGAGAGCATGAGTGTCATTCTTGACCGATTCGCTCACTTGAGCTGCGAGAGTGAGATGAAGCGAGACGCTGAAGTTGTACCTAACGTTTACATTACTCTCGGAGGTGGTGATGTTTACAACCATGTGACCGACTTATTGTGACGCTTCTGATCCACTGCGAGTGTGTTGTTACCATAGTAGGGGGATGAATACACGAAACCCGCCTTCTTACTCGAGATGATAATGTACTTGTGATTTTTTGTATATGCTGGCGATACTGGTGATTGCCCAGACCATTCCATCGGCCAACCGTCGAACTCTCACGAGATGAATGCGTATGAAACTAAACCCGGGTTGAGATGAAATTGCATATAATATCGATGAATCACGAACATTATTCAAGGTCGACGAATCTGATATTCTCGGGCAACTCCAGTAGTTCCTCTGGTCTCCTCTTCAGCATTCGCGATTTCAATAGTGTCAGACACTCAAGAGTAACTTCTGTCTCGAGAGTGCGTCCCATGGACAATATTAGTTTACCATCGCGCTTAAAGAGTATGAGGTCACTCTGTTGTATGAGGTTATGCGATAGATAAACGATAACGAAATAGCCAGAGAGAC